TGGACGCTAAGTGCTTAACAGCAGGGGTTTTAGTAACAGGAGTTTGCCGACTGAGAGCCATGAAGACAAAAAAAAAAGCTTTGCTAAGGTGTGATGTTAGTGTATATAACCTTCATTAGCATTGTTGTGTTAAAATAATGAATGCATCACTAATGTATGTAAAATAAGAGAAGAGTCAAGCAGCATATTAATAGAGTCCACATTTATTTACATTTCAACCCAAATTTTTAATGCAATTTATTTAGATTTTATGATACATAGGCTTTCAATCAAAACATTAAAACCAACATCTGAATACAGTGGTTCTCAGGTTTGGTGGAAGTTAGTGAGGACCCAAATGCAGAGACGAGGAGACAGAGATGAGCTTTCCTGATTTATTAACGATTCCAAAGGCAACAGAGGCAAAATCCACTAAATAAAAATACAAAAAAAAAACAAAAGACGCCAGGGGAAAACACACAAGAGGAGCTAAGTAACAACGAGAAACTGAAGAACTTATAACTTTCACTTCACTACATTTCAAAGTCAAATTTTATACTTTGTACTTCACTCCATTTCTAGGAAGCTGCTAGTTACTTGTTCCTTTTGGCTCAGCTTAGCTTTTTAAACTGCTGTTGCTGTTTCTTGCAAGATAGCATCACTTAGGACTGAATTTGGACTCCACTGTTTTAGATATTTGCATGACAGTCCTCAAATATTAGAAACTCTGGGCAGATATTATAAGTAGTTTATAAATGTTATTAAGGTAGTTTTTGTGGCAATAGAAACAACCTTAAGACCCTATTCCATAGTGAAGAGAATGAAGACAGTCAAGTTTTCTTTTAGATTTGTTTCTAATTAGAAATAATAATCAAGATAGCTCTCTTAATTTTTTGTGGCATTTTTATGCTGTAGTTTAGAATTTGTAGCAGTGGTTCAATGGTTTCTGAGATTTACAAGGTTATACAGAAATGTACCGGTACATCCATCCATTTTCTGACATGCTTAATCCCAAGTGGGGTCGTGTGGGGTGCTGGTGCCTATCTCCAGCTGTCTACTGGAGAGAGGCGGGGTACAGTCCATCGCAGGGCAACACAGAGACAAATGCACACACTCACACCTAAGGAGAATTTAGAGAAAACAATTTTCTTAACAGTCATATTTTTACCCAGAGAGAACCCACGCATGCTCAGGGAGAACATGCAAACTCCATCTAGAAGATATTATAAGTAGAATCTAACCCAGAACCTTCTTGCTGCAAGGCAGCAATGCTACCCGCTGCGCCACTGAGCGCCCCAGAAATGTACTGATATTAGAAAATTCTATTTGTATTTTTGCATATTTAAGTATTTCAAAATGAATGTACTTTTGAATACTTGAGTATTTTCAAAAGTGAATACTTTAATTTGAGTAGATGATTGACAAAGTAACTTTTACTTGTAGTTGAGTAAGATTTGACTGTGAGTATTAATCATGGACGAAATCTTCATTTCAGAAGTGGGACGGACGCAAGTATTTTTTAATACTGTATAACTAAATTCAGCGTGTTTGACCATCCAATCACAGACCCGGTTCAGTGCGCACAGATGTTTGTAAAGTGAGCTTCTCAAGAGTGGCAGCCAAGACAGCAAATCACACAAAGAAAAGACAGTAGGCCAATCAGGAGCTTGTAGGTATTCTAAGCTCAGGGAAGCGGACTTCAACTTGAGCAGAGGTTTTTCCGATTGGTCCTAGTGCTCAACAAATGTCTCTGCACTGTTGCGTAACATTGTTTTTGGACAGTAAAACATGCATGGGACCAAAACTGCCTTTTGAAAAAAATGCAGGGGAGATGCCCCCCCTTTCCCCACCAAGAATTACGTCCCTGGTATCAATACTTCTACTCCACTACTGTTGTTTAGTACTTTTTCCACCACTGCCTGTCAGTAGAGGTGAACAAATTTGTCTTGGTAGTTTATTAATTGTACTCTACTTCAGTGTTTCCCAACCGGGGAACCCCTAGTGGTCCGCGAGTCCATCGCAAAGGGTACAGGAAAATATTCCATTTTAATAAAATAGGGCTGGGATCTGTTCTACTTTTTGAGGACCCACATGAAAAATTAAACAAGCTTTTTTCAACCAAAAAGTAAAGTATACTTATATGTTTGAGTTCACCTTCAGCTGTGACACACATCCAAACCAAGCAGAGGAACAGACTGGATGTAGAGAACAGCCTGGGATCAGCTGTTTTTCTCACCTAGCTATCAGAGCTCATCAAAGCAGCTCAGCTGTCTTGATTAAGTGTTTTTTCTTTCTCTTCACATTGAAATCCCCATAATGTTGATGTTTGTGGTTGCAATGTTCTAAAATGTGAATGTTCAGGGGTGCGATAACTTCAGCAGGACACTGTATGTAGCAATAAAGAAGGAAAATATCTGTTCACTTTTCTAAATATATATCCAACATGCCAGTAAAATGTGTACTTTTGATAGTCGTTAAAGAGGAAACTGATTTAAAATAGATGTCAGAAATAACAGAGATCTCCAGTTGGAAGAGAGGGACATCATATATAAGCAGTTTAGAGGATCTGAAGTTTCAAATTGTAGGTTTGTAATAAAACCCCATGACTGTCCTCACCCATGTGACCCCATGTGACTCCATAGAAGAAGAAGATCAAAAGAGAGGCGGACGGATTCAGCAAGGGCATCAGGGCATGAAATGTACACGGACTGCTGGACATGAAGATGGAGACAGTGGATGAGAATATGTGGTGATTTAAAAAACAAATCTATTATTTTTCTATAATATTTCGATTTCAATTCAGTTCAGTTTATTAATATGGTGCCAATTCACAACACATGTCATTTCAAGACATTTTACAATTCATCAGATCATACAGTCAAATTGATTTAAAGTTTTCTATCGAAGGAAAACCAGTTGATTGCATTGACTAATTGCCTCAAAGGCAATTCCTCACACCAGGCATGTTTGTAGCGACAGTGGAGAGGAAAAACTCCCTTATAACAGGAAGAAACCTCCAGCGGAACCAGTCTCAGTGTGAGCAGCCATCTGCTGAGGCTGACTAGGGTTCAAGGAGACAGAAGCAGACTTACAGAAAGAAGCAGAGCACATAAGGAACTTGTAGAAACACTAGTAAACCTGCACATAGAGAGGTTTTAACTACAGTTTGTGGACTTCCTCAAAGTAAAGAGTTACAATAGTCCAGCCTTGGAGTAACAAATGCATTGACTAACAGTTTCTCATCACCACCCCTGGATAGGATATTTATCAGTTTTGCAATATTCCACAGATGTTAGAAGGAAATTCTAGAAACCTTTTTGATATGGGATTTAAATGACAGATCCTGATAAAAAATAACACCAAGATTTTTTACTTTATTATCTGAGATCAATTTAATCACATCCAGCTTAAGTGACTGACTAATCTGGTTCTTTTTCAAAGACTATTTAAACAGTATATTTAAGAAGTGAGAAGAACTTGCTGTATAGTTTTGCATTATCTGGGTCTGATTTTAATTAAGCCAAGTTTATGAATCCCATTTATGTGAGCCCTGATAGGCGAGGAACGAGGGAGACATCTACTGGTTAAAAGTAGTTGTTACATTTTGGTAAAGTTCAGATTTTGTTTTGAAAGGATTTTCCATTAACTTAGAGGCATTGATAAGGAATGAGGAAGAAATTTGTTCGATATTAATGAAAATGTGTAAATCAATATGAATTTAAAATAAAATGATTTATCTGTTTCCATTTGTATCATTAAAAAAAAAAATTAAGATAAAAAGTAGTTTGGTAAAAAAATATTTATAGACATGCGACTTAGTTGATATTAAGGAAGTCATACCCTACCTATGATTACTCATGATCATTTGGAATGTTTTCCTTGGTCTATTGATCAAGTAACTTTAATAATGAGAGAATTATGTGAGAATGGAAGAACTCCCAGCCATCACTGTTATATGTAGCTCCCTCCAAAGATGTTTATATTAAATCTGGACTCAACCTTGACCACCCCATTAATATTTTTAATCATTACAAATTATCTCATAGTTAGGAGGTAGTATCATAAAACCATAATTCATGTTTGTGGCATGGCAGTCTCATAAAGTTAAAATATTTCAAACTTGAAAAAAAATAGTAAATGTAACACTGAATAAAAAAAATAAAATAAGATAGGCTTTGACATAAATAAAATAGAATAATATATTTTGCAATGATTTTAGAATCTATTATTTAAAATTATCTTTATCTTTCATAAATACTTAGGTTGTTAAATATAGTATACATATATACTTCTTTTTGTCAGGGTCATGGGGGCCTGGGGCCCCCTCTCCAGCAGTCTTTGGTTTAAAGTTGGGCTACACCATGAACAGGTCTTCATTCCCCTTATTAATTCATAACTACATTAGTTACAGATTATGTATTTCATCTCCCCAGAAGTGAGATTAGTTAGAATTTCAACTAACTGAGGTATAACCTACCAGAACTGTTTTAAATGACACTTTCTTCATTGATTTGTTCCATGTTGTATAAGGACCAAAATTTAAATTGCAAAAAGGAATGGAAAATGCAAGGTAAAAAGGAAAAGGGATTTGCAATTAAGTATGATCTTTTTTTTAAAACAGTGATTAGAAACCTTAGGCCTATTTGTAGTCTGATGTGTTGTAGTTTTCATATACCCATTTAGAAAGAGGACTTGAAATATATCTTCAAATTGCAGTATTTAACAATGGATTAGTAATTAAAATGTAAATTATGAATAATTCCATTTAAAATGTTCATTTAGAAACCTCTTTTGAAATAGGTTTTCAAATGTTAAATTTGAAAGGGTTGTTTTTCTTCAGTAGCGGTTAAATATTACTGTATTTTAAAAGAGAAATCTTTAAAATATTTCATTTTTTATTTCGGAAATTTGTTTTTCTTCAGTGACGATTAAGTATTACTCTATTTTAACAGAGAAACCATTAAAATATTTTATTTTTATTTCGGAATATTATTATTTTTTGCCCCGCCCTTGACCTTTGTCACGTGACCCCGTGCCGCAGCAGGAGTCACATGATCGTTAGCTAGTTCTTGTTTTCCTGCCTCCTATAATATCTGATTTCCGCTGATATATTTGACTCTACTGGACCATTAAGTAGATATTAGCAGCTTGGGCGAATACAGGTTTTAGTCTCCAGCCACTAGTCGCTAGTTAACCGGTATGTTGACCATAGCAGCATCTGACTGGATAAACCGATAACAGCAACATCCGCCTTTTTCTCCGACAAAAAAGAAACTAAAGCCTCGTTACATCTCATAGCTAGCATTAGCTTAGCTTCTTCAACGTTTCCCTCAGTGGTGGGCAGTGACTGTGTGACATGTCGAAGTACACTAGCTTTCCAGAACCGACGGAGGACCAGAACCCTTTCCAGGTGGGTGAGTGACAGGATGATGACGGCTCACTGATGTCGCTCATCTGACCTGGTTTTTGTCCAGGCCCATCTGTCCTCCTGTATAAATCATCTGAGCCTAAATTTAAATGCAATAGAAAATTCAATGACTTGTTGATGTTTTTTTTTAACTATATACTAGGACCCTGCTGTGACTCAGCATAGCAGCAACACAGAATTTGCAACACTGGACCTTTACAACCCGTTTGACAAACCAGCTGGGGTGAGCAGTGTCTTTGTTTTTGCCTAGAAAATAAAACAAGCAGGAAAATATTACATATTTGGTTTCAGTTGTCTTTACATTATTATCCATTTGCTCCTCTACTCATTCATTTATCCATTATTTAGACCTGTAACTCATTAGTTTTTATACTACTACTATAGATTATTCTCCATCTTTTTTGTTTCTTTGTCTCTTCATTACCCTCTGTTTACAGTTACAGGTACTATTTTTTAAGCCAGAACAGAGTAGAAATATTTGACACACATTTACAGTCAGCTTTTGGTCTAAGTAGTGGTTTTAGACTAAATCTGAGGTCCTCAACAGGGGGTCCGTGGCCCCTAGGGGGTCCTCAGTGGTGCTGCATGGGGGTCGCAAAAGTTTTGGTTGATTATACTTTTTTTTTTATATTCCACTCTGCAATTCTTTCCAATAATTAAATTGTCTTTAAATACACATTAACATGAATTCAACATGTTAGTGGAGCAGTGGGTAGCACTGCTGCCCTGCAGCAAGAAGGTTCTGGGTTTGATTCCTGTCATCGAGTTTGCATGTTCTCCCTGAGCATGCGTGGGTTCTCTCCAGGTACTCTGGCTTCCTCTTACAGTCCAAAAACATGACTGTTAGGTAAAGTGGCTTCTCTAAATTCTCCTTAGCTGTTAGTGTGTGCGTGAATGGTTGTTTGTCTATTTGTTACCCTGTGATAGACTGGCGACCTGTCCAGGATGTACCCCGCCTCTCGCCCGTAGACAGCTGGAGAAAGAAACCAGCACCCCTCGCGACACCACTTGGGATTAAGCGTGTCAGAAAATGGATGGATGAATTCAACACACTGTAGTGAACAGATAAATGGAGGCAGAAGATGTCTTTTATTAATGCACACATTCAGCGACACACAGTAGCTCTTTTAAGCTGGGCACCGTTTCATTCACAACACCTCTCCCATCAACCAGGAATCAGAATCAGAAATACTTTAATAATCCCAGAGCAAAATTACTTTCGTTACATTACTCCATCTGTAATAGAGAGACAATAGGACCAGTTTGATATAATACAATTTCATACAATATATATAATTGGGGGGTCCCCGCTCCATCTCGCCATCAGTTTGAGGGTCTTTGGCCTGGAAACCGTTGAAGACCCCTGGACTAAATTAACCAGGGGGGCAGGATAAGGTCCGGGTTTTCTCATTGGGTGACAGAAAAAAAGAATAACGCACACATAAAAACTAGGGCAACAGTGCATTGTTCAGCATATTAAGTGAGCCAAAAAAAATGGTTTTCAGATTCCTGATCTAATGGATGAAAACTGTGATTGCATATCATAAGAAATTGATTTTGTATTTAGCTAAACAATTGCAGGTGAATTTTCCCTTAATTGCAATGAATAAATGGGATGATCTGGCTAATGATGAGTATTTCTGCTCTTGAAATGAAATGATTAGGTATTATCCACTTGAAGCAAGATAAATGAAATGCTTTTAAATCATTTTACACCATCAGCATATTATCTTACCTCCTTAAATCAAGGGGAAAGACACCAATTTCAAGAGAAAATGACTTTCTTATACTGAGTGTTTTGCTGTGTGTGTTTTCACTACAGGGGTCTTAACAGGGCCCATGATCTGTTGGCCCTTATCTAGAAGTTCCCATTTCTAAATGTAATTCACACTTTGATATTAACAGCTGTATAGGAAGCCAAGTTATATACAGTGTTCTGTACAAGAGGCCCTGTTTATTAACTCGTTGGTTTTTAATGTTTTCTTCATCACTCTAATGGATATGTTTTGTTGTTTTATTTTTATAGCCTCCACCACCATATGAAGCCACATCTCCGTCTGCACCTGCTCCTGCACAGACGCCACCCAGCAGAACAACACCCACTGAGCCTCGCAACTATGGCTCCTATACCTCCCAGGTAGTCATTTCGCAATGTACAGTTACCACTAACGTTGATGGAGCATTTCATCTTACGGCCGATATTTTTGGCCGATCCAAGCGTTTTTTTTCTTTCTTTTATCAGCCGAATCATTAGTATATTCAGCAGCCATACCTTAAAATAGAATGAAACATGTTTGTTTCCACTTCCTCTATTTACTGTTTATTGTTATTGTTTTATTTGTTAATAAACATTTCTGTTTTTGTTTGTTTGCTTTTTTTTTTTTTTTTCCGTTTTTGTCATGTGAATGGAAAAAGAAAAAGCAATATAAGCTTCAAGAATCGGTCCAAACATATCAACAGCACATACCGGGAATCGGTTAGGCTAATCTCCAAATAATCAGCGATGGCCTTAATAAGTCGATCTCTCATCACTTTTGCCCTCTTTATTTCAGTAGAAGTTAGGTTCACATATATATGTGGCTCTGTAATTATGAATGTGATAAAGAGGATATGAAGTGCTTTGCAAAGAATACTGAAATCATAGACTTTTAAAGCAGGATCTGTTATCGCTGTGGATGAGTTGTAAGAAAGCCATAGCAGGTTCTTTTTTGGTCATGTAAGACAGATGGCAAATATAAAGGAAGGTATTTTGGAAAGACTTGACATTTTAGCTTTTCTGTCTACTTGTGTGACAGGAAACTAGCACTGCGTGTCAGTCTGAACACATCATCCTCACTGAGAACCGTAGGGGCAGCCTCCCGCTGCAGGGATGCATTTTTCAGGACAGAAAATCGGGCTAGAGCTGATGAAAAGAAAAGTAAAGCGACATACAGGACTAAAAACTTTTTCTATTAATTATAAATGTAAGCATCTAAATGAGTCCACCACTTTAAACCACTTAGAACTGCTTTTAAGCTATGACATGTTTGCAAAACACTTCTAAATATTAGAGGCGACTGTTTTTTTTTTTTTCTGTGAAAGCTGACCTCCAGTTTTCCTGCTGTGTCTGTGTGTTAGCCTGCAGTGAACGCCACCACAGCAGAGCTCCTGAGGAAGCAGGAGGAGCTTGAGAGGAAAGCCCAGGAGTTGGAGAGGAGGGAACGGGAGTTGCAGTCTCACAGCCTCGGACCAGGAGCCAGTAAGACACAGCAAAGCTAGACTCTGCTTTGTTCAGCATATAATTTACTTTTCAAAGTGGAAAGTCCTTTTTTCTTTATATTAATGCTTCCTGAAAGGACTCTATTGGCGTCAGTTTGTCAAATAAATATTAAATAGGGGATTCTTTGGCTTTAGCTGCTTCTGTTCTCTTCTTCAGCGCGTCAGAATAATTGGCCCCCACTGCCTTCCTTCTTTCCTGTCGGGCCCTGCTTCTACCAGGACATCAGTGTGGAGATCAGCCAGCGCTTCCAGCGTACTGTCACCATTATGTACTACTTCTGGATGTGTGAGTTTAATTAACTGTAACATATACACACCACACACTTCCAATTCAATAAGATCCACGAGCTCATGAGAAGCAGTTGTTATTTAGCACGGTTCTGGTCAGATGTTTTCTTAACCCTTTACAGGGCACTCAGTGAAATACTTTGAAAATCAAAATGTCAAGCCAATAGTGTTATTGGAGAACAGGACAAGAGCTTATTACCTTTGTAACATTAAAAAAATATGAATATTTTGATGGCAAAAATTAATGTCAATGAAATAACAAGAAATGCCATCTTGCCTGAATATATTAAGAAAAATAACAAAAGCGTTTCTATAAGAAATTCATCAAAAAACACTTTTTGGTACAACATAAACGTAGAGGCATTAATGCTGATACTGGCCCTTTTTTGGCATTTTTTAGTATAATAGTATAATATAATCGTTAACTAGGCTTATTCACTTTTTAACTTTTTTAATTAGCTTTTTACCTTTTTTCTGTATTAACTTTTTAAAATAGCTTATTACCTTTGTTCCTGACTTTTAAACTTTTTTCAAATGCCAAAATAAGATGTACAGCCATGTAGCAGTATCTTTGCTGAATGGCTGGATATAGATCTTGTGCTTCTAGATCTCCCTGAGGGACAGGGGGGACTCCATTTGTAAGGGGAATACAAGTGATCACAAACGGGAGCTTGTCCTATAAAGGGTTAAACCTCCAGTAGGCATGACTTTTACATCATATATTCACTGATTTATGTGAACTGCTCTTTTATTTGCAGTCAAGTGACGATGCAGTAAACAACTTTGAGGATTTTTACAAAAACACAAAATCTGGAGGCAAGTTTTTCCTAATTCTCCAATTTCAGTTACAAACTCAAATACATCCCCCACTTATATATGGATTCAAATCCTTCAGAAAGTTGCAGAGAAACTGTCATTTTGGTATTTATGTCAGCAGGTTGTTTAGTGCTGGCATAACCGACTTACTAAGAAACGTTTTTTTTTCTTTAGTTCTTTTTATGAACTTCTCTGTTAAACTATGTCTGTTTAATATGAATGAAGTATGGTTATTTTGAATTTAGAACCGTCTGAAAAGCAGCACTCTATTTCCTTGCCATATAAAGAGATTTATTTCCCTGTCTTTGTAACAAACAGTCTGTGCGTTCACCCTCCTCTTCAACCTGATCTCTTCCCTGGCTATGTTTTGTGTGGACACCAGCGAGGGTTCCGGTTTTGGACTCTCCATCCTCTGGACTCTCCTCTTCACTCCCTGCTCCTTCGTCTGCTGGTATCGACCTGTTTATAAAGCCTTCAGGTGATTCCAGCCTTTTCTCATCCTTTGTGTTTAGACAAAAGATACTGAATGTTATTTTTCGACTATTAAGAATCACTTCCTGTGGTTGCTGCTTTGTCCATTTCATGAATATAGCAGATTTATATAGCAACTTTAAGTAGCAAGAGAGTACAATGTGCTGTACATGAGAATAAAAAAACTGAAAAATTTATTAAAACTAAACAATCATATATAAAAAGATAAAGTGATATAATATGATTATAATGTTTTTCTTTTGCAGGAGTGACAGCTCCTTCAACTTCTTTATCTTCTTCTTTATCTTCTTTGCTCAAGTCTGCGTCTTTGTCATCATGACTATTGGAATCCCTGGATCAGGATTCAGGTACAACTTGGCACTATGTATATTTGATTCGCTGAACCAATTAATACTCCCACAGGTTGTTGTTTATACCAGCTGCTTTTCCATTAAAACAATGACCTGAAGTCAATGACCTGAAAAGAGCTTGGATGGTTACTGTTGGTAATACACTAAGACGTCATGGTATGAAATAATGCATGTCACAGAAGTTTCCCCTGCTTAAACCAGCACATGTCAAGGCCCATTTTAAGTTTGCCAATGACCATTTGGATGTTCCAGAGGAGTCATGGGAGAATGTCATGTGGTCAGATGAGACCAAATTACAACTTTATGGTCAAAACTCCACTAACTGTGTTTGGAGGAAGAAGAATGATGAGTACCATCCCAAGACAGGGTGACTGCACTGTATTAAGGAGAGGATGACCGGGGACATGTATTACAAGATTATGGGGAACAACCTCCTTCCCTCAATTAAGAGTATTGAAGATGAGTCCAACATGACAATTATCCGAAGCGCACAGCCTGGATAACCCCAAAAGAGAATTATCAGAGCGAGCTCAAACTCTGTGTTTGTCAGTAACAGCCCAGAAACCTGACTGATCTAGAGAAGATCTAGATGACAATTTCAGACCCCTCCATGATTTCTAAGTGGGAGAACTTGCAAAATAGCAGGATGTTCAAATACTCATTTTCCTCACTGTAGTATACATCAAAGCTTGAAAGCAGTTTCAGTTTTTATCTCCAAGTAGTAGTGTGATTAATTTGACTCAAAAACTAAAAGTTGCCTCTCGTGATAAAAACATAATCTCTTAAGGGGAAATTGTCATTTTTGAGCTGATAAACTTAAAACGGTTTAACAATGTGTGAGGTTTTTTTTAAGTTCCTTTGCTTTTCCTTGTTTACCCTCCTACAGACCACTGTGACTCAGGTGGAAAGCCACGGTGAGGCAATCCAAGAAGGGCTGCAACTAATGATCATTTTCCTAATTGATTCGTCTGTCGATAATTTCTATGATTAATGGATTAATAATCAGATTCCAAAAGGTTTCTTTTTTTTTTTTATTTAAACTCAAATTTAAACCATGTGCAACTAAAGTTTTTCCGCTTGAGGAATATATAGACATATTAAAAAGTTTTTGTTTTTATCTTAAATGTAAAATGTTTATATTATTTTATTTCACAGTGTGGTATAATTAGTGCTTTAAGTGGTTTGCTCTGTTAGCTAAAGACATTCTCTATTCTGCATTTAACAATTAATAGATTAGCAGATGATTATATCAATAAGATATTAATCCATTTAATTGTTTCAGCCCTAAGTTTAAATAGTCAAGTCTTGTCCATTTTATTTAATGAGTACAAACGTCCCTAAATAGAAAATAAGACAAATTATTTAAAACAAATTGTAAAGCAATTGTGTGGAAAGGTAAAATAGCACAAGAGTGACTCATATTTAAAATTAAGAAAAGAGAATGACATTTGTAATTTTCAACTAAAATACCTGAACCTTACTAAAATGATGATTTAAAAAAAATATATGTTTAGTGTTTGAGACACTGTAGCTACTGATCAGAGGTGATCACAACCAAAAAGACTTAAAACACACCAGCTGATCTGGATTTAAAAATATAAAGCAGCTGTCTGGAATATATTTCCTTTGACCAAAGACAGTGAAGAGATTTTTAGATGGGCATAATTTGCTCAAACCTTTAGAGTTCGGCTAAAATGGTTGCCTTATTGTGCGTCAGAATATTTTTTGTTTCCAACAAAGTGTGCCTTATAGGATTCTTAACTACAACTAAAGATGTGAGCCTGTTTTTTTCTAAATCAGGTTGTGTCAGGAAGGATGTGAGGTTAGCTAATTCTCTAAGGTATTAATATGCAGTCTGGCGTTTATGCAAAATTAAAGCAGCATAGTGTAAGTTCCAAAGTTTTTGCAGAAGATGACATTTATTTTATTACAATTTAAAATGAAAACACTATGAACGACTCATACACAAAATAAACGGCCAGATTGAGGCGTATCAAAGTACATGGGAACCGTTTTTAAAACCAGAGAGGAAAGACTCAAACACTATTGATCCACAATAAAGATGCAGTGTGTGAGAATTATTATTATTATTTCTTTTTTTTCTTTCTCTTTAGTCTCATCTGCTGGCGGAGGTGGGGGGAGTACAGGAGGGATTCATGGTTAAATGTTAAAAACCCAAGTCCTTCTCTGTACAATCACTCAACGTTGTACACTTTACAGTACTGACAATGTCATCACTGATTTTACTGTATGTTTAATTGTTGAAGGATGTAATAAACATTAAAATAAAATAAAAATAATAAAATGAAAACACTGGCTGCAAGTTGAGCCAGTAGCACTAGAGCCAAGTTGACCACTTAACTAAATACGATAATTGGTGGGTAACTTAGGGTTAAGTTCCTTGGTCAGCCGATAATAGAACAGAATAGAAGACATCTGCTGCAGAATATAGTTGAGAAAAACACCATTTCGACTTAAAGGATGGATTAGAGGCAGTCATTTAAAGCTGCATAAGATCAATTAGACCAGAGATTTTCTGATGATTAAGGTACGTTTTTATGCCTTTTGTTTCAAACTAAATTTGCTTATACAGATGAGTTTCACTACTTCATCTAATGTATTCAGCACAATTTTATTTTATGAAAATCAAGACAAGTACGGTAGATTTGTCCTGGAAGGCTACTGCAGCTGGTAATAATATAATCTTTGATCATTATGCTTTTCTTGATATAATCTTCATTTTCCTACTTTCTCTCGCTGGATCTTTACTGTAAACTATTTTTCTCCTCAGCGGCTGGATTGTGAGCCTGGCTCTTCTGAGTAAAAGCACCGCCGTTGGTGTGATCATGATTATGAACGCCATCCTGTTCACTGCCCAGACCGCCATGGGGGTTTTCCTGTTGAAGAAGGTCAGTGGATTTCCATTTGTAGGGCGAATCTCAGGATAGAACACACTAAGGCTGCAGTTTGACAGATGTTTGCGTCCTAATTTTGATCTTTATTTGGTTTAATACGCTTAAACTTGGTTATTCTGAAGCGGTTTACTGCCTACCCACACATAATATACTTTGGTTTTTATTCATTATTTGAAATAGGACATGTTTTAAATTAGATTAGGTCAGTTTTAAAACCTCAAAAGGGACAAGGTCTTTTAACAAACTGATTTGCTCAGTTTATAGTCAGAATAAACTGATTACAACCACACCACCTTTTTATTTACATCTATAGCAGGCACTTCTCGACTCTTTCTGATTCCGTAAGTAGCTTCAATTAAAGCTACAGTGTGTAATAATTACAGGGATATACAGTCAGAAATGTAATATATTATACATAACTATGTTATTTATCATCATCTACGAGCTCAGCCTCTTAACCTTAATATTTGCGTTGCCTTAGAATTCGTTATTTATAATTACATAGGAGCGGGTCTCGCAGCCATGGAGGCAGACATCTTTGCGCTACGGCAGCGCAGAGCCAACAAACTAGCGATTGCGAGATCGCCCATTACGCTCGAAAGTAACTACGGCAAGTTGAGAGGGATGAACTGAGACGGTACTGAAATCTATACCCTACACAGACTAATGAAATACTGTCTGTAAAATTATATATGTAAACAAACCTCATCACTTGAGAAGGTAGGTGATGCGGACGTCGTGGAAGACATTTTGTCCCGTAATGCTCGCCGTACTCTTGGGGGGGAGAAGCAGTGGGGGGGAGATGTTCACGTTGCTGCGGTCTGCAGTCTGGACGTTAGATGTCACTGAAAATTACACACTGTAGCGTTAAGAACAAAATCATCACAAGTTTTTATCCTCCAATTTTTTTCTATATCTATCCTTTAACTGTATAATGGAAGCAGATGTTCTCTTTAAAAAAAACAGACTTTTTCTTTATTTTCATTGTCTCGTTAGGCGATAATCAGCCATGCTGTTATATCCCAGAATCTCATTGTACTCCAACTTGTTTAAAAAAAAAAATGACACAAAGCCTGACTAAATCTGCAAATCTAATGCTAATTTAGCAGATCCTAAACTTTTTTTTTTTTTGATGGGGCCCCTCCTTTATTAGAGATCTTTTGAATCAGGTGAGGCTAAACTGTGCGAATGGAGGAAAGGCAAAACTTAGCAAATTTCATTGTTTTGGCTTAGCAATGGCATTATTTAGAATCTCTATAATTCTAATAAAAATTACAGTTATTTCAAAAATTTAATCATCTGGGGAATCCTGTTAATTGTTTAAGTCCTGCATTTCACTTTAAACACCTTAATCTATGAGACTCCAAACCTGTTACCTTACTTAATTTTTACTATGGCTGAACATTCAGTTGGATTTTACACTTGTTTGTCACTCTTAGAACACATGAACCTTAAAAACTCAGGCATCTTGAACCGAACCCAAGGATTAATCAGACTTGTAAAGATGTGCAATTCTCTTCCTGATATACCTGGAGTTAATCTCCTTTTGAAATATTGCTGATTAGTTGATCAGACGCTCATAAAAACAATGATATATATTCTTGCTGAAATGTTTTAAAAGCAGAATATCTAAGTGTGTGTAATGAAATGAAATGATCTCTATGCTTTGTCCTGTTGAGCCACCCCCCATATATTTAGCAGATAGCAAGCGGTCTCTGAGGGAAAATCCACATATTAGTTTCTAGGTATCGTTTTCATCCGCATTGTGTTGATAACATGACAATGAATTGCTGCAGGTCTCAGGTGTCAGTGTACTCTTCTTTCCTCCGCTTCAGATCCACAGCATGTACAGGCAAACCGATGCCAGCTTCCAAAAGGCTCAGGCTGAGTTCGCCACCGAAGTCATGTCCAATCAGACCGTACGCCAAGCAGCTGCCTCTGCTGCCCAGGGGGCCTTCACTGCACCTCGATAGGACAGCAGGATGAGCGGAGCGCCAGGGATTGATGACAAAGCGCCTCTAGAAAGCTGAAATTCAGCAATCATGCATGAGTTTTCTGATATATATATTTTTTTTTGAAAATGTACAGGAGAAGATGTAGACAATGCCAAACTGAATGAACCAAAAGGTAAAAATTTAGGTGGTGTAAAATATAAAACTGATGCTGTCAAAGTGTCAGTGTGAAGGAAACTATGCTGTCTGCCCAGAATGTGTACCCTGCTTCTTTTCAATAATGGTATTTATGTTTTTGCAGAAAGAAATGTTGCCATTTTTTCCATTTATATCCACAACTGAACAGCTCCTCCTAAGACAATGCTTTTGTTTGGCTCAAGTGTTAAATAAATGATGCTGTTATTGTTACAAATAAGAATACTAACTAACTGGATTGCCAAATCTTCTCATGCTGTATGAAATAAGTGTTGTTTTTGTTTCCAGTGTCTGTGACTGTTCTGTTGAAACCTAAAGTGATTATAATTATAGCACACAGCTGTTTTGGTTTTAATTAAAACACATTGCCATTCTTTCAGATTCAAATACTGCCTTCAGTGCATCATTTTGATTATATACCGGGTTTTTATTTTTAAATCAAAAGTTAGTGTTTTCATTATAATTTTGCTGGTATGGCTCTTTGACCAGGGTGCTTATGGGCCAGGAGGAAGCACCAGTGTGGCAGTAGGCAAATCTGGGTTTAATTTCTAGCTCAAGCGTACAAAGACAGGCGGGGCTGGGGTTTGAACCGGGGACAATTCTGTTGTCAGGACAAACTCCTTCATCCTAGTCCACTGTCACCCATATTATATGTATTTATTTAAAAAATAGTAAATGGTGGTTAGTTTAAATTTCATGTAGATCTGAAATTTAAATAAAGTTCTTAAAAAGTGTCTAAAATGCTTCACTCCAACCGAAACTTCCATCAACCCTGGACAGGGAGCCCCTTTGTTTTAAAGACTGTGAGCCTAACATGTGTTGCAGTTTGATAAAGGTGGGTGAGTGAAGCTTTAAATGACATCAATTTCCAGTGATCGGATAGGACCAAACGCTGATCCAGTGTTTACCTAAATGACTGATGATGATAAATAGAATCCACCTCTGTGTAATCAAGGTTCTGTATAAATGCACCTGCTCTGTGATAGTCTCAGAGGTCGGTTTAAAGCACATAGAGCATCATGAAGAACAAAAAACACACCAGGTAGGTCTGAGATACCGTTGCCAAGAAGTTTAAAGCTAGATTAGGACACAGAAAGATTTCCAAAGCTTTAAACAGCCAAAGGAGCACCGTGTAAGCGAGCACTGACCCAGCTGTCGCTCTTAACTTTCTGCTCAAACAAGGAGAAGATTGGTCAGAGAAGCAGCCAAGAGGCCCATGATCACTCTGGATGAACTGCAGAGATCTACAGCTGAGGTGGGAGACTGCCCATAGGACAACAATATACTGCACAAATCCAGCCATTATGAAAGAAAGCCATTTCTTAAAGATATCCATACAAAGTCTTGTTTAAAGTTTGCCACAAGTCGCCAGGGAGACTCAGCAAACATATGAAAGAAGGAGCTCTGGTCGGATAAAACCAAAATCAAACTTTTGGGCAAGCATGCAAAACATTATGTTTGGTGTAAAAGCAACACAGCTCATCACCCCTACACACCATCCCCACTGTCAAACAAGGTGGTGGCAGCATCATGGTTTGGTCCTGGTTTACTTCAACAGGGACAGGGAAGATGGATGGAGACAAATACAGGAACATTCTGGAAGAAACCCTGTTGGAGTCTGCAAAAGACCTGAGATTCCAACAAGACGATGATCACCATCCAACCTCATGGAGCTCCAGCTGGAGGAATGGGCAAAAAGGTCAGTCTCTAGATGTGCAAAACTGAGACATACCCCCAGCAACCTGCAGCTGCAATCTCTGCAAAAGGTGGCACTACAAAGTATTAACTGAAGCGTGTTAAGTAAGTTTGCACATCTTATTTTTCATTTTTTTGTTAAATTTTAAAATAGCCAATTTACTAGTTTTGATTAAAAACATGTTTACCAACTAAAGATCCTCTTTCTTGAGAGCAGCATATGATATTGGAAGTTTTTTTTTTTTTTTTTAAGCCTATAACTCTCTCTCTTGGTTTTTCCAAACTTCAAATTTAGACTTTTTTTTTTAGGGGGGGGGGGGGGGGGGGGTGACGTCACAGACAACTCCCTACTAAACATGGCGGAGGCTGCGGACGCACCACAACACCGGTTTTACTGTCACTGCTGTAAGAGGGAGACGGAGCCCAAACTGCCGGTGGGTTTCATTTTGGAGATTCTAATCTACTGCCATTAATCCCCTAATTTAAGCTCTACAGAGCGCTTTCTATTTCTTTACGAAAGATTCTAACTTTTAATCTGTTATTTCAACTCAGAATTAGTATAAATGAAATCTCTGACATCTACAGTCTTTTATAGGTACTTGGAAATGGGTCGTAAGCGCGTATTATGCATGAAAGTCTTAAATTAGATGGTGGGAGTAAAATCTGGTTATTCCCTTGGCCATATTTAGAAGCGCTTCTGCTGCGTCCAGCTGCCTGCTGTCAGCTGCATGTCAGTAACACAAGAGTGCGGTGGGTGCGTAAAAACGCACAACACTGGATCCACACACAGCACTGGAGCTATTTGGTAAAGCCTGATTTATCCTTGATTTTCTTTCCTTTTTTATATAAAATGCAATTTTTTTTTCGTAGGAGAAGGAAATATAAATCAATATATAGGCTTTTTTTCTTTTTCTTTTTTTTTTTTTTTTTAACCACACTGACTTTTTAGTAAACCCTCTTTCTGCATTATATTAATGAAAACTTTGTTTTACAAATAGTGGCCCCCCATTTCTAAGCAATAAAACATTATTTATCTTACATTTCTTTGGTGTTTGCATTGATTTGTAACCTCCCTCTAAATTGTGTCCTTTCTAATGTTGAATTTCTCAGTCATCATTTTCTGCTCTTTTTGGCTGCATGCATACAGTGTAATTCCTAGTTTGGAGATGCAATTTCCTTTTTTTTTTGTGTATCTAGAGGTTGCCTGAAAGTACTTTAACCTTGGTTGTTCAATTCAAGAGACCCTTTTGATGCCCCCCTGGGCAACTGCCAATTATTGTCTGTATTTATTTACTATGAAAGAAAGTATAAGTAATCCTAAAGGATATTTATATTATCCGCAGTTTACATTTAGGCCAGCTCATAGTTTTAATACAAAAACATTAAAAGTGTTTAATTATAATGGCCAATATGTTTTTTACTTGTCTATTTAGTTAAATTTTAGCTGGGGCATATACCTTAAGCTTCAGTTTTAGCAAGCTTTCAACTACAGTCAGCAGGTTCCTTCATCTTCATGGTATATCTAGTATATATTTTGTATGTTAATAAAAATCAATTAGCCCAAATCAAACTTTGTATATAGGTATGTATGTCATTAAGATAAAACACATTTTAATTCTTATAGGAGTTTGTTTTCCTTTTCCCTTCCCTCTAATTCTCTATAAAGCATTTTAGGGTTACCTCAGGGATGGAAAATTGTATAAATAAACTTGCCTTGCCTATTTACTTGGTTAAAATGTTTGTGAGATAAGAGAAGTAACATTTGTATTTAGAAACACTTAAAATTATGAAGAAAATGTCCTCCAAAAAACCAAAATATGTTTATAATAAAATAAAAAAATGTAATTTTTAGATATCAAATGTTTTCATTGAAGATAAGATGAATTTACTTTTTGAATTTAAGGGACAAAGATCAGATGAGCTGGAATAAGAACAATTCAATTGTATTCTGAAGAGTAATAATTAAGACATCTGAAGCATTGATTGTGGTTTATAACAAAAAAAAAGAAGAATAAAAAAGGAATAAAGTGTTCCTTTAGTTAAGAAATTAAAATTCTTAGATACTTTTTGGCCCTGATCACTTAGAAGGATCTTTTACATTTTTTGGGGAACTTTTTAATTAAGTTTTTATTAATACATGATCAGGTTTTTAGATACTTGAATTTATTTTTTTTTTTTTACCATTTGGGGTGTTTTTACATCCTCTTTTAATTAATCACGTATTACTACTAGCAGAAAAAGTAATTAAAGTGTACTTTAATTGTTATAAAGGCCTGTCATGTTTAGGGAAATATTCATTGTATGAAGTTGTCAGCACTTTTAAAGTTATAAATGGCGAAATTATTTGACACCTATGAGAAATTAGATTTTTTATTTTTTTTTAACTCGCCACTTTTAAAGAAATACATCTGAGAACCAAAAGGAAAGAGCAGCTTGTACTAAATGAGAATAATTAGTATCTTCTCTGTTTACAACAAATAATGCTGTGGATCAGTAAGATGGAACCCTGCTGCCAGATTCGGCGCCTGTCTTGCAGGAATAACCCCCAGCCTTTATAGCAGATGAGGAAAGCCCAGAAGAGTATTTCTAAAATGAGATAGGTTGATTTCTGAGAAATAACTTTTATTCCCTCAGGATTTCATCTGCCCCTCATGTGAGTCTGACTTCATCGAGGAGGTATCAGAAGACTCCAGGTAAAATCTGATATTGCCTGAAACTGAATAAATACCATTTAATGATTTAAAACTAAAATAGTTTGCACTGATTTATTGCACTGAAAACCCAGTTTCACTATTTTTTTAAAGACCTTTTTTTCATAAAAAGACAGGAGTAATTGAACACAGGTTCACGTCGAATAACAAGAAGCAAAACTTTCAGGCTTGTATTAAATTCATTATATGAATAAGAAGCCTCAGAAAAAAAAAATCTGTATATATCTCATCTCAGTGGCTTCAATTTGGTTTGCCAAGGGGAAAATGTATCATGCAAGACCTGTTGCATCTCAGTCTAACAGCAACGAGTGGCATAGCTGTAACAGATGGCCTGTCATTTGTTTACCTGGTAATGCATTTAATAAATTTAATACTAATCTAAAGGCTTTTTCTGCAGGTCATTTGAGATGATGGAAAACATCCACCATGATCCTCTTCTTTAGGTCAAGCTGCAGCTGTATAAGAAGCTTTGCCATATACACTGTGTGAATCTGTGTTCGATTGCTCCAGACTTGAGAAAAAAAAAAAAATTTTAGAACTGAAAGTTAGATTCCTTAGACTTAATGTTCAGTGCAACAGCTGTGTTTTAAATAAAATGAATTTGATTTCAACTCATTAAATACACTTTGCATTTATGAATATAGTTGCAGTTCAGTGAAATTACAGTACATTTTTTTAAATGTTTGCATACACATATTCATTATGGGCAATTTAAATGCCTTTTCTGATATTCAAGTTTAGTTTCTGCCCTCACCTACAGTAGAACAATCAAATGTTAAATTGGTCACAATTCCTCAAATTCCTTCAACAGTGGAAAATGATTTCTAATGCAAACTGAAACAGAGGTTTTCTGTTAACTATTTTCTTATGTTTGTTCTCCATATTTATTTATTTATTTTTTTTTGTCTTGTTTTTTTTTTTTGTAAAGCCTCCTGCAGGACAGCAGAGCATCAGTACCAAATGAAGAGTCAAACTTGCTGTTTCCAGACGTAGGTGAAACTAATTGCATTTCAACAATGGCTCCTTTGTGCCTCAGCCTTTGTGTGACAATTTTCTCTGGTCTCCCTTTGAAAGATCTGGCAGCTGCTGTTTATGGAGCGCTCCGCCCTGCTGTCCAACCCGCCCTCCTCAGAGTCCCGCCCAGAGGACAACCAGCAGGTATCTGCAGGTCAGAGACCTCCGTCTCCAGCCTCCCCGGTCGTTACAGACTTGCAGGAACAGGAGTCGCCTCTTAACTCTGAAGGGGAGGAATCTTCCAGGCCTGAGCAAATTCCTGCTGTGTATGGGTGTGTTTGTAGACACATCACTGACACAGGGTTGCAGAGTTATTTATGTTATTTTAGTATATACATCTGTTGTAATTACAGAATGTTTGGGTTAATACAGCTCTTTGCGAAAGTCATCCCTCTACTTTATTCTGGATTTTAGTTCTCGGGTATAAAAACTTTTCTCAAGCCACACCACCATCCTTCTATAGTGAAACGGGGATAAACCAGTGTTGCATCTATTCCTAGCACAAAACCTATATATATATATATATATATATATATATATATATATATATATATATATATATGGCATTCTGAATTGAAAAAGCTTCTGGGATGGGAAGTGAAATGTCTTCAAACTTAGAAACAAAGTCCAGTGGATTGTTTTTTTTTTTTTTTTTACTTTTTTTGGAATGAGTATGACCTGGATGACTGAAAATCTTCACAAGCGTTTCGGTCATCTTTGTGAGAATCTAATCCATGCTTAGCTGATTTTCTATGTTTTTCAGCAAAAACACATTAATCAGTTGAGTTTTTTGTTGAACTTCTACAAAGCTGATTTCATTGTTTGTTTTTTTCCCCCTTGTGACATCTCACCCTAAGAATGGAAGTGTATAGGAAAATTTTGTATTTGTATACTTTGTGTTAAACGGCTTCTTAGAAATGGTGTAGATCATTTCCAACGTAGTCCACACCAAAGCAATGCAGGGATAGCTGATGAAAAAGTATCCTCTTGCTCAAATTCAAAATTGTGTAATAGTTTTGGGCTTACAGTGATCAGATGGAGCGAAGGGGTGGGGAGGAATGGATGTACAGAGAGCCAAGCAGTCACAATTTACCAGGTGTTGAATGATGGCCCAATAGCTTTTGAGCTGTTTGATTGTGCCTTATTTATTTATTTATTTATAGTTTTTATCATAGGATGAGTTATTCATTGTTTTATTTTACCTCAAGTTACTGTAGGTAACAATAACAAAGCAGTTTCATTTATAATTTATTTTTGCTCCCACAAGCAAATTAGTGGTGAGGTTTGTTTTATGGCCTGCAGGGGGCACTGTTAAGTTTAAACTGGATAGACATTTTAAAATGTTTCTAATTATATTTTACCTTAGACAATCAGCACTAAGAAACATGTTCTCTGTTTTTATTTTGGCTTTTATCAGGGTTATTTTATTTTTATAGGAAGCAAAATTAAACATTTGGATTTGTTTCATGTTTCTGCTTCTGTGAAATATTATTGAACAGCAATGTTAAAGGAGTGGAGAAAGAAATCTATGGAAACGAGCCTAGAAAAAAAAAAATAGAACTAGTTTTGTAGAGCCAATAAAATATTATAAGAAGGTCCTTCTATTTGGCAGCAACAGTTACAAAAAATCAGAATCTGTGTAAAACTTGATACAAAAATGTATCTGCTTTGCTTGAAGCTGCTCATCATTTAGAGAAATCAAGTGAAAGTTTTCTGACTCCAATGTTTTTGTTTGTTTTTTTGCTTGGCTTTCCTTAAACTTAAATATATAAATATATATAAGGATCATGCAGCAGGTCTTGGCTGACCTCTTTACCAACCATCCAAACTCGTCCTCCCCTCCAACCGCAGTGGGAGCATGCTTTTTCTTTCATTATTACTACATCAGTTGCATTTATTTTAAATTATTTTTCTCGTGTCATTTGAAAACCTTCCTCTCTCATGCTTTACCTCTCAGATCGAGCATGCTGCAGTTGTATTCAAACCCTGGAGATTACGCATGGGGTCATGGAGGCCTCGACGCAGTCGTCACAGAGGTCAGTAACAGCTAAGTTACTGATTACTCAAGAACAGCCATGCACAAATCTAAACTCCCACACAACTCTGTGTGTGAAGCACCCAAAGCTGTTAACATATTATTTATTATAACAGGCTTTTAAATGAGCTGCTTCTCCTCACCCAGTTATTAGGGCGTTTGGAGAACACAGGTCCACCCCCGGCTCAAAAGGAGAAGATTTCATCTCTGCCAACAGTCTGCATCTCTCAAGAACAGAAAGGTGGGATATATGGCACGGAATGCCATATGTTTGATCTTGTGGCTTTAAAAAAACCCAAAAAACATTTATATCAGATGCAATTTTCCTCTGGTATATTGCTAAACCTCTACCATTTTCAGGTATCATTTAAACTTTTCTTGTCAGTGCTATTCTACTTATGTTTATTTTTAAACCTCTTTTCCTCATCCTGCTCTCTTTTCATTATACGGTATCTTTCTCAAAGCAAAGATATGTTTAGGCTTTGGAAGACTTTTCTGGCCTATTATATACACCCTTGTGTTTCTACTGCACTTAATGGGGTAGAAATTTTCCCCAGAAAAAGGCTCTAATATAGTAACTTACTTAATATAGTAACTTCTTATACTACTTACTTATAGTAACTACTCTAATTACTCTAAGCAATATTTTTCTAACTTTGTAGAAATAGAGAGTAGCTCCAAAAGGAGATATTTTAAGGTTTTTAATTATTTGCATTGAAATATTTTTATGCTTTAAGAATCTGGTCAACTAAAATAATCAAGTTTGGTGCTCAAACAAGAAAGTGACTTTGGTTTCCTTTGCTTGCATCATATCAAGATTAGTTAAATAAAAAAGTGAGGACTGAGGGAAAGCAGCAGTTGTTCTGAGACTCCAGCAAGAACAACTACAGGCCTGTGTTTTGTTTACAGATTTCTTGTTTTAAAGATACAACCCTGCTGCTGCTGTTGTGTGCAATCCACTTTTTATTTATTTTAGATTTAGGAAGTTTCTGTTCATTTTGAACTTGTCCTTTGAGTTGGGTTGGATTTTAGTTTAAACTTTCTTCATTATTCCTCAGAAAAAGAAAAAAAAACTTGGGAAGATTAAAGATGAGCAGCACGAGCTTAGGGGAGATTGAGAAATCATGGTAATGGGATCTAGGGATCAAGGTTTTGGGGTAACAAACATGTCTGAACTTATGTTTTTAATTTTCTAGATTGCCGACTAGAGTGTCCGGTTTGTAGGGAGGAATATTCCCTCGGTGAATCTGTCAGGAAGCTTCCCTGCCTCCATTTCTTCCACAGTGGCTGTATAGTACCTTGGTTAGAGCTGGTAAGGATGAGAACTGGATAGGGTTTAAATGCCTGCTTAATCTATTAAGAGGATTTCTTGTTGAAACACTAATCTGGATGGAGAAAATCTCCACTTATGCTTCATCACATATTCATGCACAGTGACCAAAACGTTTTTTCTCTCCTCTCGTAGCATGATACCTGCCCAGTGTGCCGCAAAAGTCTCGATGGCGTCGACAACAGCCTCTCGCCCACATCGCAGCCCCTAAGTGAGCGCTCCGACAGGCAAGAGCAACAAGAGAGAGAGGCGATCTGAGCAAAGAGGCAGCGACTCTTCGTGTCAGATGAGCTGCTTTTAAATAAAACAATACTTGCACCGAGGCCCTAAACGCAGCTCCAGCCCTCATGTCAGTCATGCATCTCTGTGAAGGACCTTCGTGTTTTTTACTCCAGGATAAAAGTTTTTTTTTTTATTGCCACAGCTCCAACTGAAGGATCCAGCAGTTTGCTTGACAACATCCTGAGCGGGTGTGCTCTTCCCACTGTGCTGCTCGACGAGGCAGTTTTCTGAATGACTGACTTTGATGTGATGAACTAATAACCACTGCTCTGCTAGTGGCTGCCAAAATGACGAGATCTTACAGGGTTATGGGGAAACACTTTTACAATGTTTTGTTGGTGAGACAGTTTCAGCATTTTGTTGACCTTTAACCAACTGAAAGCCTCTATTAAAGCTTAACCCTGTGACCTCCACTCTTTGTACATACTTCTGTTTTATAATGTGATAAACACAGGCAGGTGTTACACTCCGTTCAGTTAGGTTAACATGGGGATTTCATGCACTGAGCTCAACACAACTCCTTTGTCTTTCATGTCAGATTTTCTATAAAAACTGGTAATTCTGATAAATTATTTTACTGAGTTGAACTTAACACTTGACATCAGTGTTATAACAAATGATACAAAGTAATCTCATATACTACTTTGTTGTATACAGATGCATGTAAAAAAAAAAAAAATTTTTAGTGACATAACATAAATTACAGAAATTGTATTTAGAATAAAATTCATATATACATATGTTTTTGCCAATAGAGTAACATGTTTTTATTTCCATTAATAAATACTTATAATGACATATTTACACAATTAGAAGGAAGATTCCTGATCTGATATGTCCTGCAGACATTGACACCCACCTTTAGGTAAGGTAAAACAGAACAAAAACAAAATCCTTGTTAGAGAAGCTAGTTGTTTACATACAGGGATTTCCAAGCATTTTAATGGAAAATTGTGTGGAAGGACAACTGGTTAAAAAAGTGTACATGCAACCATGATTAAAGGTGAGAGAAGATGAGTTTGAGGGACATCAACCAGATTTCGGCTACATCTGGCACGTTGCAACTGTTTCTCATGACCACAATGGTAAATATGTGACAAATAATTAGAGATACGCTGATCTAATCTGATACCACATACTGATCCATACTGATCGTTGCGGGTACTGGATCAGTGCATCTCTACAAATAAATTAAAGTCAACCTAAGGAATGCAGTGGATTATATTTATTAGGTATATGTAAAGGCTTAAAGTTGCAGGATTCCCTACATTTTCTCCTCTGTTTATTTTATAAATTTATTATTAAGTATGATACGAGACAGGAAAAGGACTAATAGTCAGGTAAAATTGTTTAAGACAATAACTGAAAAAGAAATGGATGAAAAATGAGTTTTACTTGTTCATAAATTAATGTTGCAACTATCCCTTGTGACTGTTGCAATTTTCTGCGTATATCTGACAATTTCTCTTCACATACTTGTTTTACTCCAGAGTAGGAGACAAATGTGAGTTTACTATGTTAAAATGTTGTTATTCAAATAAAAATAGCTTGTGAGAAATTAAGCGAAAAGTAAAAACTGTTAAACTGTCCAAACATTAAAGTCTGTCCCTTCAGTGACAGCCTGCTGCACCTTAAATGCACCAGGGAGTGTTATCACAGATCCTTCCTCCCAGCAGCTGGAAGACTTTATAACCACCACTGCACAACCTCAATAAGTTGTTAGATTCATGCTGATTTTGCGCAGTTTCTACCTTTGTCAGTTAAATAAATATTTACAAGTACTAATATGTACATAAATTAATACGTTTTTATTTAAATAGTTATTCATCTATGATTTTACTGAAGACTCCTAGATGACTTGCACAGACACATCATTTTCTCTTTGCCCCATAAAACACAAAATCTATTTTTGCTTGAATTCTGTAGTTATCATTTTTAATGTTAGTATATTGATGTGCATATCAATATACTAACATTAAAAAACCACAGTGTTTTGTCAAGTAATTATTAATATATGAAAAATCTAAATGTTTTGAATATTCCATTTGAGAGTATTACTGTTGCCACCATCTATATTACAGGGAAATAAATGGTAGGGGTGACGACAGGGATGGCCACATGGGCGGTTCTAGACAGTGTTGGGAAAGTTCTCTTTCTACGTGAACTAGTTCAAAGTTCAGTTCACACATTTTAAAATGAACTAGTTCAGTTCATAGTTCATAATTCAAAACCAAAAAATGAACTAGTTCATAGTTCTTTTTTTTTTTTCATATATTGCTCAATTACACCATAGCCTACTGTAGAACCACAGACAGCAATTATTTTATCAGTTGTAACACTGAAACTGTCCGTCAGATTTCATCTTCATATCCAGTTTTGAATCCTTATCCAACCAGGGTTTACATTAGCATTGAGGGGACAGCATTTCCCCATTGTTGCTTTAATGCTTTGTTGCTGTCCATTCACTTCACACTAGTAGCAGCTGCAGCTTTCACCCCTACAGTATATTCTCAAAAAAATCAGGAAAAATGTGCTGCTTGAATGGTCTTTTTTATGAGTAATTATTAAAAGAAAAATAGGAAAGTAGTCTTTAAGGTGCAAATGTTTTTTTTTTTTTTTTTTTTTATAATTTTTTCCATTTGAAATTCCATTTCAATACATACTAAAAAGGAATACTGGAATCCTGGAAAATTATACCAGGCAGGTTTAACAAACAAGTTACATGGATAGTAAAACCCTCAAGAACAGGGGTCTTCTATGTTTTCCAGACCAAGGACCCCCAAACTGATGGCGAGATGGAGCGGGGACCCCCTAACTATATATATTGTATGAAATTGTTTCCTATAGTCACTCTATTACAGATGGAGTAATGCAAAGAAATTAATTTCTCCCTGGGATTATTAAAGTTTTCTGATTCTGATTCCTGGTTGTTGTGAAGGAAACGGTGCCCAGCTTGAAAGAGCTCCTGTGTGTCGCTAAATGTGAGCATTGATGACTGAAAGACATCTTCTGCCTCCATTTATCTGTTTACTACAGTGTGTTGATTTCATGTTAATGAGTATTTAAAGACATTTCAATTAGTGGGGGAAAAAATTGCAGGGGGGGAATATAAAAATATCAACTAACCATGCAGACCCTCATGCAGTACCTCCGTAGACCCCCTAGGGGTCGCGGATCCCCTGTTGAAGACCTCCGCTCAAGAAGATTTTACTAACACAAACTGAGGGACCAGGCTGAGGTAGGAATTTAAGGTTACTGAAGTGCGGATTTTTTTACTGAAAGCCGGCGGGCAAACTTGTTGCCATCATCCTCACCGACCACCTGGTCATAAACCTGTTTTAAGTGATCATACTGCTGCTTTGTCGCCTCCACGCTGCTGTGGCTTTCACAAGGCATTTTGTTTTGATGACGCACGCGGCTGTAGGCTACGACGCTGGTAGCTATGGCTTGCCATTGGTAGCTGGTGTTGCCAGATTGGGTGTTTTTCCCGCTACATATTAAGGCCTGTTTACGGTGTGATTTAGACGGGGTTTCGCCTGGAGGACTCTATAGAAATCTGGCAACCTATTGAACGGAGTTGAACTGAGAGAGCGTGCCGTTCACAGACACCAGAATGAACGAGTTCACAATAACGTTCATCAGGCAGTAATGCAGTACGTTCAGTTCACGTTCGCCCAAAATATGAACGAGTTCATGAACTTTCGTTCAATGAACGCGTTCAGGCACAACACTGGTTCTAGACAGGGGCCAACTGTGGCCAGTGCCCCTGTAGATCATGTCCTGGCCTCAGTTATGGCCCCTGTACTGAAGACATAATACTCATAGTAATTCTAATGATGATCTGTGCTGGAACAGACATGGTCCTTTGGATCTATTTCAATTTAGTTTTAACAAATTCTGTTTTACTAATTATAAAATTTAAAAAAAAGGTGATAGCTTCAGTGGTATTGAGATAGGATCCCAGTTTTTCTCTGCTAAATCTTTTTTTTAAGCGAATGATAATAAAAAAAATACTTATCAGTTTTTCTTGAGCTCTAATTCCAATTTTATTGAAAACTTGATTTTTATTCCGCCCCTGGTAGATTGACCGTGAGGTTCTGCCACCGATCCACTCTCGGCCACCCCTCGGTGTACATCGATCCACTCTCGGCCACCCCTCGGTGTACATTTATTATTGCCTGGCCACCCTTGTAAAAATGTTCTAGCTACGCCCCTGAATTTTAGAGCGTACAGTTCGTTTATTCAACGGCTTTTGTGCTGCGTTCAAGTTCTGTGTCTCTGTTGTTTCTATACTGTAAACGTTATGTGGCTGATTCTCTTTGGTGGCTAACCAAGGCGGTACCAGGAGTCTGACAGTTGGCTGTTACATACCAGCGAACACACCCTGAACTAACCACAAGAAACTATTAATGGCCACCTAAAATAGAAGCTAAAACGGTGCAGATATACATGTTTTTTTGACCAAGGACCGCAAGAACCGCTCAGAACAGTCATTTCCACTCCTCTCCTCCTCCTCCTCCTATCTCCTCCCTCCCCTCCTGAGTGGGACTCAGAATGCCCGTGTTGAACAGACACAGCAGCGATACGGGGCTGAGCAGACATGGAGGCCCGATTAACGAGAGAGGCCCGCGCTGACACATCCAGGCCCAGCTAACGGAGAGTCGTTGTGGATCTCAGAGCACCTCTGTGGATATTACAAACATCACTCGCTGTAAGGGGAAACTATTTCACCGCCTCTGGAAGGAGAAAATACTGGGAGACCCATTTCGGGTTTCTGTTGATTCAACGCAGCCGCCATTTTGTTGACATTTTTTTTAATAACCTTACACGGCTCTGCATCTGCTGTTTAATACAACGGGAATATAACTGCAATTTTAAAAGAAATTGCTATTCAGAGTCGACATTATTGTGCTTTTGCGTTTGAAACCGAATGCGGACATTTTATTTTTATTTTTTTGCAATAGCTTCAGTGTAGCTATTGCATCGTTAGCCGTCGTAGCTGAGATGTAGTAACACGAGTGCCTACGAGAATGTGACGGAGATGCAAGATTATGGACATCACTTATCCCCGAGTTGTGACATTTACTTTCAGTTACCGCAAATCGTCTTAAAGCTGTAGGCGTTTGCTAACAATTACAAGCCTATTTGGAGGGTAGGTTCATGTTGTTGCTGGGTGAAATTAGCTTAAATCGCTATTAAACTGGCTTCTGATTGATAGCTAGTTAGCAATTGCCAGTACCAATAATACATAAGGGCTGTCTATTATTGGACGAGCGTTAGCTGGCTCTTCATTACTTTATAAAGGGATACATTTGGAATTATAGGGGTTGTAGTAATAACAGATTAATTCAGTTATCCCCTTTATCTTTTTCTAAATACGTTTTTGTGGGGATGCTTAGCATGCTGGTACCCAGCATCTACTCCCTTAGTAACTTTGGAGCTGGGATTTTTTTTTGTGTGGATTCTCTTAGTGCAGAAAAAAAATTTGATAAATAACAAATTTAGGATTTTCTTTGATTTCTAGTTCTTGTAGCTCCGGGGAATTTGTTCGGATTTGTTGTTAGCAACTCTGGAAAACCCTAGATCTGATTGTGTTTTGGTCTTTACCATTTTTTTTTCAGCAGTTGGAAGCTAAATGATCATAATAAAATGTGGCCACCACGTTGATGCATGCAAGAAGACAGGACGCGGGGCCAAATGACGTGAACGTTTCTGGACACATTTTCAAAGGTAAGTGTGCAACAACAACAAAAAACTGTTTATTAACTGTGATCAGATCTAAAAGTAACGCCTCTTTTTTGTTTTCTCCGTGTAACTGATGATGAATTCGCACCACACACATGATTAATAATGCTTAGAGCCATTTCTGTGTTTAATGCAATGAACTGCTCGTTTGGTTTGACATGGATTTCCTCAGTCAGAAATTATCAGTATGACTAAACTACACGTAGCTATTTAACAGCCATTCCCATGAGGGCTTGTGTTGACTGTACAGGAAACTGAATGCAGATTATATTATTTGCTGTATTTTATTTTGTATAACATCCCTAATTATATCACATTACACAAAAAAACATGAGCCTTGTTTTAACAGCAATGCTCAGCTGCAGAGCATGCCTGCATGCTCCAGATCTGACACACACCTGTCATTGCTTTTGCATTTTATTCATACCCTACCACAATCCAGGTTCAGGGTTTAAAACACCACAGCTGCTTCTTTTCTCCAAGGGTCACGCTCCGTTATGGTTATATTGCCCCACTCCATTGTTAGGCAATGCACAGTTAAGGTAGTAGTAAAGGAATTTGGCTGGTTCTTCCCCCTGAGTGGGGCTCAGCCTGTGCAAATACCGATGGAGTATAAAGCCCTGGTGGAAATGACAGGGCAGACGCCAGCCCCTCATGTGAATGATGTGGTGGAGGGTGGAGGTCTGTGAGTGGGTGGGTTGGATTCTAATGCTTTGGCCAAGGGGAAATCAGCAGTTATGAACAACGTGTGCAAAAACGAGGAGAGAGTGAAAGGAGGGGAAGAGAGCCAGTAGAGGGGAGGAAAGAAATGGGAGGGGGCGCGGGAAGTTGTTTACTACGTTCCTCTATGCTCTGTCGTTTTTTTATTTGGTCGTGGGCCTGACATGTATTATAGATCCTTTTGAAAGTCAGATTATTTGTTCTCGTTCATAGATAATTTTTTGCATTTTACATTTTTCCGAATTCTCTGAAACACAAAGAAAGCTGACTAATATGCTAAAACAAGAGGTGGTGTTGTTGCAGAGATATGAACTGTGACCCATATTGAAATTAGTGTTTGTAGGGTTTTGCAAAAGTACCTTGATGCTAAACCTGAAAATGACACCCTTTAGGGTTGGGGATTGTTGATCTGAAATTAGACAAAGGATCGGTCAGTGGCTGACTTGTCTTAGCTGTATAAAGGTGAGAGAAATGATTGGACTTTTGGTTTGAGCAAAGACTTGTGCTTGAGCTACATTTTGTTTCTTGATACAGTGCCCTATGACAGTATTCTTACTCATCTTATTATTGCAAATGGCTATGGACTTTTAGTTATAGCCATAACCTTTCAAAGTAGTTGTTTTTTTCCCGATCAGTAAAAATCTGAAAAGTCTGGTGTGAATTTCTACTTGGTTCCCTTTACTTTGATAGCCCTAAATAAGTTCCAGGGGAACCACTTGCGTCTACAAGTCTCATATTATTTAACAGAATGTTTTATTTTAAATCAGTATAAATTAAGCTTTTCTGTGAAAGCCTCAGTGGTTTCTCGGGGAACATTAGAAATCATGGAGTATAGAGAGATAGGTAAACACCAGAAATGTTTGGGATTAAATTGTGGAAATGTTTAAAACAAGATTAGGTTATGAAACTCAAAGTCAGTCCATCTTCTGAGGTGGAAGCAGTATTGCGTAACTACTAAACTAGCAAGAAACGGCAAACCAACTAAACTGACAGGCTGTGTCTTGAAAAGGTGAAGCAGCCAAGGGGCTTGTGGTATCTCTGGATTGGTTTGTCAACATAAAGTATTTGATATAATAATTTTCTTAAAGAAATCAATTAGGCCTAATTCACATTTCAGATCCACTCTGTTATGAGTTCCTAACTGAAGTTGAGGTTTTGTAGTCGTTTTGGCGCATGCAGAGAGCCACAATAGTATTCCCATTGGAACAGTGACACAAAGCATAAAGACAGCAGAAGGATGGGTCAAAAACAGAATGAAAAGAAGAATGTTTGTTTCTTATTTTTTAAGAAACAGTGTGAGGTGAGATCTGTTTTATTTTCCTCAGTTCTTATTGTAGTTGTTGTGCAAACAAGGCGACTGTTGCCCCCTCTAATCGAATGTTATTGCTCGAGTGAGTTTTAAATTGTAGCACTTTTTGAAGTTTACAACTAGCCACGTGGGGGACACAGCAAAACTAGGAGAAGATGCAAATCAAATCTATTCATAATTTTCCTTCCAGTTCATGATTATAAGGTTACTTCGGGTTTGTCAAGAAGTACAATGGATTGTGTGTTTCTAACATGAAAAATGTGAAGACGTTCAAGTTATATCAATATTTCAGCAAGGTGTTCTTATATCAACGTAGATATCCAAGAATGACAAATATATTGTCAGTGCTTTACAGAGGTGGCACGCAACAGTCGGTCGGGTGACGGATGGGGAGGAAATCTGTTTTTGATTGGTTAAAAAAACACATATAGTTTGTGTGCTGTCCAGGTTTGTGAAATCGCACAAAGAGGCTTTAAAGAAAAGCAGCAAGGGTGAAGAGATTGATTGAGTGTTAAATAAATGGGGAGGTTTGGGTAGACTGGGGTTTGTGTAATAAGGGGGGGTGGGAAGTTTTTAGGAAAAAGGAGAAAATGGCAGAAAAACTTCAGGCTAAAATAATCCAAAACCTATGCTTCACTTGCTTCGCAGTTCAACTGAAAACATATTACTTCTGTTTTTTTGTTTGAGTCATAATCTTAAGCAAACATTGTTAAAGGCCTGACGTACGACCTATTCCGTTTTTCTTCTTGCCATTACTCTTGACTGATGAGTCGACTTATTTGACTTTCCTGAGGCTCCATTAAAGTAGCTCTTTTAGTGCTCATCTCTAATGTAGGGGGGCAGGAAAACCGCTGGCACATCAGTGCCTAATCGCTCACTCTCAGTTGCTGCTGTGAGAGGCTGGGAAAGGCTGCCGGATCGACTGTCTGGTCCCAGAGGACCCAATGTGCTGAGGTCACAGTTCTGAATTGCCTCCAAATGACTTCACAAAGAGAAAGCACCTGCTTGGGGGCGAATCTGCCTTAAATCACTCAGTGGCTGCAGGGAGCAGTAGACAACTTCATTGAATTGAGCAGTTCTCTATGGAGTGCAATTAACAAGCGTTCTGTTGTTGCTGGGCTAATGCCTTTCACTAAGTCTTAAAGCTTGGATACTCTGTGACTACCTTTCCAATGGGTCTAAGGATATATTGGCTATGGACCTCTTGGAAATTCTTTATCGCAGGTGGACAAATCAGAGTAGCTGCGCCAGATGTTGGATTTCTTAGGTAGAGGAGCGACGGATGTGTAAGTGGGTCACATCATATTATAGGCTGTGAAAAGAGCACACTATAAAAAGCCAACTAGACAGAATAAGGGCCACTCTAAAACTACAAAGATAATTAGAAATGGTCCTTGTGCATCTGTTTTAGATTACTCACAAGGTGCTTTTTATTTAGATTATTCTTTTTGTTGTGAGCGGGAGCAGGAGCGTATCTGCTTTGAAGGTGTTATTAAATGAAAGGCCTTTGTGCTCTGGTATTTTATGTTCCCGGATAAACACTTTTAATAGCAACCATAGAGTCCAGATTGGGTTGAAGAACAGTAAAATTAGATCAATACAGGATGTATAGTTTTAGAGCTCTTAAAAAAAGCTAAGGAAAGGTATACAGCAATACCCCAAATTACCATGGGAAGGTATAACTGCCAAAAATGTATATATTACCCAAACACGTGGTGGTTGTTTATTCGTATTAAAACAATTGTGAGAAAGTTCTGGTTAAGATCACAACCCAGTGTTTTTTTTTTCCTTTCCTAACTTTATTATTTGACAGCGGTAACACTCTGAAATGGAATTTATGATCTTAAATAACAGATCCATTCGGCCCACTTCAAACTGTTGTGAGTTTAGGCAGGTTTGAATGCTCTACTAAACTGCCAGAGGCTAAACAAACAAGCTCTGGTCCATCCAGGCTAGTAGGATTGCTTGCAGGTGGGCTCTGTGATGTCTCTTACAGATTAGATTTTATATGAGCACCTCACTGTTGCTCATATTGGGCAGCATTGATGTTCTCAAGGTGGTTTGACCCACTTTCAAAAGTGCGTTGTTGGCATTATCTTTCCAATCGAGCTGAGTGCCCTGCTCTGTTCTGGAGTGGAAATGCCATGAGAGTCTCTTTAAAGCCAGACTAAGCATGTTAAAGTTTTCTAATAATTAAAGCTTTTGCAACGTGTGAGGAAGCAGGTACTTGCTCAAGAATACCTGCTTCATTTAAATTGGGTTAATGAAACAGACTTCTGGGAGGGTTTGGCTGTTGCTATGAAATATTCCAGTACTTCTCCTCTATAATCACTGAAGGCCTTTTCAGGTTCTGCTTCCACATACTCAGAGCTTCAATCTGCCATTCGTTTAATTCCTTAAACAATATACTTAAAGTACACACCTAATACAATTGTACTCAACCTGACTGCCAACTCCTGTTGTGTAGTAAAAAGCGCTACATAAAGGTGGTATTTTCATGGGCAGATCTCTGTTATTGTTGTGTGATTGACCGTAGCTCCTGCAGTCAAGGATAAAAGAATGGCTCTGGAAAGCGATACTGGTTCCTGTAATGAAAACACACCTGTAGTTTGCTTTTTACCTTTAAGGTCTCCTTAGAAGTATTGCTGCAGTGATTAACTGGATTTGTTTGTTGACCTCTCTTTCATGTTTTACTTGTCTCTACTTACAGTTAAAGGACAGAGAAAGTGGGCTGGACAGCCAAGACGGGAGACAAGCCAGTTTAAAAAAGGAGAGCTACCCTCTCCCCTTCTTTACTCCTACCCCATTCCCAGAACTCTACCTGGTATACCCAATAAGCATCCACACCCCTGAAAGTTCTGATGGATCAGAAGGTTCAGGGGCAAACTGCAACACCTCCTCCTCTCCCTCTCTCCGCTGGTGTCACAGTGGAGCGAGAGAAGGAAGGAGGGGATGAAAAGAAAGAAGAGGAGGAAGGAAAGAAGCAGGAGAGAGAGAAAGAGGGATCTGCTGCTGGTGCTCCTGGTCCAGGTGGGCAAGGAGACCCAGGCGGCGACCAGTCCCATTTCTCCATCACAGAAAGCAGCCTTTCCGAGGGTAATGTCAAGCTAAAGATCGGCCTGCAGGCAAAACGTATGAAGAAACCCCCGAAGAGCTTGGAGAATTATGTATGCCGACCAGCCTTCAGGGGTACCGTGAGGCACACAAGTCGTGGGGGAAATGGTGCACGGGGAAACCGGGCTGTGACCGCGGGAGATGGAACGAGTGGTCAGAGCCAGAGCCCTTCAAAGAGCCAGGGGAAGGAGAGAGAAAAGAGTCCAAGTGTGAAAAAAACACCTGCTACATCATCATCATTAGTCCCCTCTGCTAAAGCTATTACACCTTCTTCCTCTCCTGCTGCTCCTCCTTGCATCACCAAAACCCTATCACCCTCCCAAATAAATGGGAGTGCTCCAGCTAAGAAGGTAAGAGCAGATAACATCTTCATTTTAATGTTAGCCTCATCGTTGTTAATTTGTAGCGTGCATGACTGAGCATACTTTTTTTTTTTAGCTGTGCACAAGAAAATAAGCTTATCTTTTGCCAGACTCACTGGAAATGCCTCGGACAAAATGACAGGCAGTAGAGCAATGACTCTACCAGTATCAGGGGTTCATGTTAGTCATAGATGTCGATACCAATACTTTTGAAATGTCGTGATCAGTACAACATTCTGATACTTAGGGTTATCACCTAACCATTCCTAACATCCTTCACTCATTTCTGCCCCTTTAAATGTTTTTTTTTTTGGGAGGGGTGATGCACGGTGATGCACACCAAAGCTGCCTTGATAATGACTGTTTTATAGCTTAAACAAAGAGAATGGCTTCAATTGCTCTTTAGATTTCATTGTGTTCACAGTCAGCCTGTCTCTTTTCATCATGGTAAACTCTCCGTCTGCTCCGACTCTCCTCTGTCTGTTTGTGACCCCGGCTTTTCCACCCCCCACTCTACGACCCCTCTCAGTGGCTCTCCCTCACTGTCCCCAATTTGACCCCACTGAGTAGCTCCTCCTACTTTTTCCTGGTCCAACATAAAGTAGCTCAAAAATTTGTTCAATAAAATCGGAATTCATAAATGAATACACAGTTTTAATTATACCTTTTTTGTAGAATTTTTGGAACTATTTTGTATTTTGATATCATTTGAGACATTGTTATGTTATTAGGCTTGTTTGGGACACAGCAAATACATTTAGTGACTCGAGACTGAAATTAGACATTTTTCTATGTAAAAAATAGAGCAATGGTAAAAAAAAATTATACAAAAGCAGACAACAGCAGTCCTTGTGATCAGAGCTTCAATAAGCCATTCATTAGTTAGAATGGAACAATTCAAGGGTAGACCTCATTTCAATTGAGAAACTGATGTGGCTGGACGATATGGGGAAAACTTTATTACAATATATTTCTTTATTTTGTTCCATACAATATCATTTATATTGATACAAACTAAAATAAAACCCTCAGAAAAAATTGCCAAGTTTTTGCAAAAACTTAAGACCGTTATTTTGCCATTTTTTAGAAATAAAACTCCTTCCATATAACATTTCAGAAACATTTGATTTAAAAAGAAAAACTATTAAAAAAAATTGAAACACCAGCTTGTTGTAAATGCTGTAGTTAAAGACTTTAATGGATGTTGAAATATTAGAAATGTGATATCACTGTTATTGAATTAAATTATAATGCAATTTTTATTAATATACTATTGTGCAGCCTGAAACTAGCTAAACTGAAAATTGAGGTTTAAAAACATACTCTTGGTATACAATTTAAAATAGCCTTTGTTACCTTGCAAAAGAATAATTGAATAATGGCCATTTTAGTCCTAAGAAACAAAAAGCAAGAGGACAAAAAATCTGTAGCTGTAATTGAAGTTAAATATTATTTCTTGGCATACTGACTCAATCAACGCAACACAAATATGGACCACTTTTTTTTTTTTGTAAAAACCTTCAGAGGAACATGGTCATTTTTTTGTTTTTTCTCCGCTTTCAACTTCGGATTTATCTGCTACTTTGTGGTGGTCTTTATCCCTTACATATTTGTTTGTTTTTCATGCAGGGTCCACCAAAGACAGACTGCAAGTCAGATTCAAAGTCGGACACAAAATCAGTCACTAACACGTCTGAAAGACCCCTTAACCTCCACCGACCGCCACCGGACAACAAGACGCATTCATCTGGGAAGAAAACGCCAACTCCGCAAACCCCCTCACGGACATCTTCGCCTTCTTCACCACCTACCGCATCAAAAGAGCCGAACTTTGAAGGTGTCAAACCTCCTTATTACACTTACAGCACTGAAGGTCAGAAAGACAAGGACAAGGGTGTTCAGAGTTGTGGACCGCCCACTGTCACTGAGAAACTAGCCCAGCTTATAGCAACCTGCCCACCATCAAAGACTCCTAAGCCAACAAAACCCATGAAAACTGATTCAAATCCTCCTCTTCCAAGCTCAGGCTTCATGGCTCCCACAGCCAAGCAACGAGACAGGGCAATGGCCAACAGGAACACATATTCAAGACTGATGCACCTTTCCCCACCACCCCCTGTATCAAGACCTCCTGGTCGCCCTTATGGCTCTAGGAACAGAGATGGCGTCTCAGAGAATTCCCCCACCCGGTCACAGCTGGGGAAGGAGGACTCAGACGGGGCAGGAAAAGCGTTAGTAAGCAGCATCAGTAACAGCATTAGCAGAAGTAACAGCAGAAGTCGCAGCAGCAGCCCTGCGTTCACTCATAACCGCCCAATAGTAGCGTCCAAGGATGGCAACTACGACCGCGGCAACAGTCCCAGTGGTCTGTCCAAGTCACAGTCACGTGGCCCTCACAGCTTGCCATCCTCGCCATCTTGTCCTGTTTCTTCAACCTCCTCTTCCATCGCAGCTGAACAGAAGACGGTGACTGCAGTGGGTCATCTAGACCCCCCTGCTCCTTTTCAAGGACACCATGCACAGGAGTCCCCGCCCCTGGCAGAGGAAAGTAGAGCAGGTGAGAGGGAGCTGGCGGGTGACAGCCCCAGGGACTTGAACAAGAGCACTCTTATAGCAGCAACAGGAAAACCAGATGGCAAAGATAAGGCTGTAAGTAATCAATCGTTACACTTTGAGAGGGGGAGAAGCTCAAGTCCAAAAAAACGCAGTCCTAACAGGGACAGTAGCCAGACGAGGCGAAACACCAGTCCTCCTGAGCCTATTAGGCAAAGGACGCCTTCTGCATCTGAGCCAGATGATGAAGAAAGCCCACCAACCCCTCTTAGAGACGATTCACCTGATTCATCCCTAGACTCACCTGATGAGCAGGACAGTAAACCCCTAAAGAAACGCAGGGGAAGAAAACCCCGCTGGGTAATGAACCAGCCACATACCCAGCTGTCAGTTCATGATGGTCTCTTTGGTGAGAACAAAACCAGCATGTCTCTATCTTCAGGTTTAGAAACTCCATCTCCACCAGTTAAGAGACCTGTAGGCAGGCCGCCAAACCCGAATAAGGTCAAACTGAACCCTGTGCCACAAAGATCAACATCACAGCTGTTTCTGCCCCAACCTAAGAAAAGGGGACGGCCAAAGTCCAAAATGCCAAGACTTGATGCCCCAGCCACAGGGAATTCCTCTTATAAGCTGGCCTCTTCCAAAGTCTTTTCATCTTTGCTTAAGTCCAAAGAAGAGCAGGATCCACCTGTTCTTCACCCGGAGGTAGACCTAAACCCTCCTAAGCCTATGCCTAGAAAACGTGGACGTCCCAAGCGCCTTCCTCCTACTTTACCCCAGGAGGGTCAGCCTCCCACATTAGCTCCTGAGTCAGGAGACATGGGAGACAGGCGGTTTTGCAGCAAAGGAAACGGGCAGCTCATTATGAAAACTATTATCGGAAAAATCAATAAGATGAAAAGCGTGAAGAGGAAACGGATTTTGAATCAAATTCTGTTAGGGCCAAGAACTGAAGAAACACCTAAACACAGCACTGTCCCTGTGGCTAACTCTACAGAAGCTACAACACAGTCTTTGTCCTCCCTGGCTGCTTCTTTTGGAGGGAAATTAGGCCCTCAAATTAATGTTAGTAAAAAGGGAACAATTTACATGGGAAAGAGAAGAGGGCGAAAACCAAAATCTGTATCCAGCCACGCAGCCAACACACCGGAACCTTTCCTGTCTCCGAGCACCACTTCCCCTCTGCATCATCACTCTCAGTCCCAGCACCACCAGCTGTCCTCCTCAGAGGTGTTCCCCTCTCCCTCCCTCTCACAGTCTAGCGGAGGCCACAGCCCCATCAGTGATGCCAGCTTTGTGGAACCCAGCTCAGTGCACTTTTCCCACTATTCCAGCTCCCTTCATAACCACAGCACATTCTCCTTCCCTCCCCCAACTTTTTCGGTCCCCAACAAAGTCCTGGGCTCATCATCCTCCTCATTGGCTGCAGCAGCTTCCCAGAAAAAGTCTTGCCGGGGGTACCCTCATCATCATCATTACAGGCAACAGTTTCACTATAATAAGCTGTCTCCTCCTAGGCCACTCCACCCGACCTCCCCTGCTCCTCTTAGCGAGCTAAAAGAAGCCACTCCGTCACCAGTCAGTGAGTCACACAGTGAGGAGACTGTGCCCAGTGACAGCGGCATAGGAACAGACAACAACAGCACATCTGACCGCGGAGAGAAAGCTGGAGGGACAGCGGGCTTGGGCGGAATCTCTTTGCCAGCTGCAATGGGTGGTGGTTTATTAATGCCGGGTGTAATGAGCTCAGCGATGGCTTCAGGAATGGGCCTCAACTCCAGAGGCAGACGAAGACACTCTGCTGTGCTTATGGAGCATCCTTCACCCTCTCCATCACCACATGGAACAAGGTCCTCACCCGATCCTAAGAGACCCCACCCGGCAGCTCCCACCTCATCATTACTGGGACACAAGGAAAAACACAAGCACAAGTGCAAACGGCGCAGCCACGGATGTCCCGGCTACGACAAGATGAAGAGACAGAAGAGGAAACGAAAGAAGAAGTACTTGCAGCTGCGGTCTCGAAGGCTCGACCCTGACTTTCTAGCAGAGTTGGATGAGATCATCGTGATGCTGAGTGAGATACGGATATCGCACCGCTCCACGGGGCACCGCCTCGGCAGTGGGATCAGCATGGCAACTGGAACCAGTCGGATGCCTGGGCTGGGGAGTAGAGTTGGCAGTGGAATCGGCGGCCCAAGCGGCCCCCCTCCTCATCATTATGTTCACAGGGACCTCCTTCCCACCATCTTCAGGGTTAACTTCGGCAGGTTTTACTCTCATCCCGCATACTCCTGCGACCCTTTGCACTATGTTCGTAAACCAGACATGAAAAAGAAACGTGGACGGCCTCCAAAGCTGAGGGAGTCCATGTCTGAGGTCCCGTTTGTTCCGGGGCTTGGATTCTCTCTCGCCAGTGGAGGTTTCTACCACCCTTCCTATGGTGTCCCTTACTCCTCAGGACCCCTGGGGTTGGGCTATTACAGGGGCTTTCCTCCAGCGAGCGCACTATACCCACACCCGCATCACCAGTCACCTCACACGGCCCCATCACATCACTCTCACCACTCACCATCTTTTCCTCCCCCTCCTCCCACGTCTTACATGCACCATCACCACCCTTCACATCTCCTCCTGAACCCCTCCAAGTTTCACAAGAAGAAACATAAGCTGCTCAGACAGGAGTTCTTGGGTGGAGGGAGGCCCCCCGTTCTCTTCCCACCTATGTCCTCCGAGCTGTCCTTCAACTGGCACCATAAACACAAGCACAGGCACAAACACAGAGAGCGATGCTCAGAGGAGGAGCGGGAGGAGGTTACAAGGAGTGGCTCAGCGAGCCGTGTTGGTGCAGGGATTCCTGAAAAAGGAGCTGCTAGTAAAGGAGAGCGAGTTGGAGGTCTGGGAATGACGGAGTCTTTACAAAGATGCAGGTTTGGAAGAGAGCCTTCAGGCACCACTACAAGTAAGCAAGCTTCTGCCAACTCTCCCTCCTCGTCTTCATCGTCATCAGCAGAAAGGTACAAACGCAAAGAGGGCTCCATGTCCTGTCTAGGACCTTCCAGGCTTACACTGGACAGCAGCTCCAAAGGCCATCATCCAGTGTCGTCCTGGTTCAGAATGGGAGGCACCGAAGCAGACTATTCTAAGCTTTCACGGAGCCAGATGGCCTCTGGCCAGGGCTCGTTCTCAGATGGACGGGCAGGGGAGCCTGTAGACTGCTCAGATAGTGAGGACGATGAGCCTCTCACTCCCACAGAGGATGTGGAAGCTCACGATTCTCCTAATCTGACAAATCTGTTCGCCTCGGCTCTGACAAGGACTTCGCTGAAGGGAGGAAGGAGCAGAAAGAGTGAGACGGTAACGGGAAACTCCAGCTTCTCTCACATAGATCGGCCAATGAGGAAGGAGCGCTTGATGTCAGCTGAAAGGAGAGAATTAGGTGAGTCCAGTTTTATTTAATAAATAAGTCTTTGATATGGCATGAATCTATCATGTCACTGTATTTACTTTTCAAGTAAGCCGATAAAAATCTTTATCTGGCTTTTTCCTTTCAGGGGTTGCCACAGCTAGGTATTTGTCTCAGTCTTACCGTAATTAATTTATATTATAAAACTGGTGTATATATATAAAAACTCTACATTATTCAATTAATATAACCAAAATCCAAACTCTGCAAATGCAGGAAATAAGACTTTGAATATTGGATTTAGGAAAAAAAAATTTTTCAAATATTATAACTTACACAAAGAAAATAACAGGTAAATACAGGTAATAAACTCCAACATGTTTCTGCTTTATTTCTCAGAACAGTATAAAAACCTTTAGAAAAAGGGGCTGAAATGATCAACCTTTAAAGTTTTTTTATAACATTAAAAATATATACATAAACTAACAGATTTGTAAAGTTGAGGATTGTTATACTAAGCAGATTTTTTTGCTTTCCAAACATTGCCATCTGGCATACCAAGTGGGATCTAATATTTTGTTTGATCTTCACACATCGGCTCATGTGTGCTTGATGAAACCTCCATTGTGTATTGGAGGTTGTTCTGTGGTTGCTGCACGAATGCTCCGTACCTCAGTTGTGGCTACAACAAACAAAAACTGATCAAATAGAAGTTCTGCTTCTGTAGCCCTCCCAGCTGTCTGCCATCTGTAAATTCAAATAAGATCAAAAAGGCAGCCTATTTTTAGCTGATAAAGATGTCGGTTTCTCTGTAAATTTAACGTTTGATTTTGTAGTTCTTTTAAGTATTACTTGACAAAGAAAAATGGATGTGTGATTACTTAAAGTGTCTCAATTTTGTCAGAGTCTGCAATGTATTTTCATGGGATTAGTACTATGAATAACTGAAGTTTTTGGTCTATATGTGTAGCAGTGTCATAGTGTGTTGATCCCTCAGTAGAAAATCAGTGGAAGCAAAAGACTTCAGGCATGAGTTCACCTTCCAGTAGGACAACAACCTGAAATGTACAGCCTGGGCTACAATGGAAGCTCCAGACCTGCATATGAAAAAAAAAAAAGACAAAATAGAACCATGAGGAAGTGGAGGGGCTGTTGGAGGATAAAAAGGGATATTTATACAAGTTCTTCCTGACAACTTCTAAAAAGAACTTATAAGAACTTATTTTTTTTTTTTCAAACTCTGTGTTCTGCAGCGTTGAGTATGAGGGTTTTTTGCAGCATTCCCACCGTATTTAGCGTGAGCCCAGAGTAAGTGCTGTTCAGCAATAAACCTTGCAGCTGGGTTCAGTTAATGTCACTAAAGTTGGATATTGCTTCTCGTGAATGCTTGGTCCGTTTTACTCTGAATGAGGGGATGCTCTGTGTGAGAGCAATGGTAAAACCGGTGTTAATGAGAGTGACCCCGTGTTTATGTGTATATGCTGAGTAAAATGGGATGTTTAGAGGTCCCAGTGGAGGCAGTTCAAAACAAGCTGAGTAATCTGGGATTAGAGCGTAGGACTTAGGGTCAACCTGCGGTCATAGTGACAGCAGACGAGGCCTAGAGTAGAGAATCTGGGGAATTTGCCGGCATACAAGACAAGTTGAGAATGACAGAAGCAGATACATACATTTTGACAAAAAGCGAAAGTGTCGCAGCTGGTGTGATTAAAAATAAAAAAATAAAAAGTGCCCAAGGGCATCAATGGACAGTAAATAGAATGTTATGTTTATATTGTTTATTTTCACAGAAGAGCAATCGCCTTCCTCTGGCAATGTGTCATAATTTGGATTCATCTATGATCGGAGATTATTTCGATGCCAATTTATCCACTTAGACCTTAAGTACGATGACTATAAATCTGTTAAAATCTCTTTCGGCTGATGATGCTCACCAAACCAAGTCAATTCAGATTTGAGTTTCATATATGATGCAGTTTTAGCTACTGCTGCCATCTAAAGTGGCTCTTAAGCCACATACAGCATTTAAATAATTAATGTTTCTCGTATATTTTGTTTATCTTTACTGTTAAGTTGAACCAGTGAGTCAGAACAAGAACATCTGCCAACAATGATTAACATGTCAAGTTTGTTATGAAATCATACTAGAGAAGGATTATGCAGGTTGTACAAATAAAGGATATTATACATTAAATGGAGCAAAGGAAGCATTGAAGACGGTGGATAGAAGCCTGTCTGCTGTATTTAGTGGTTCATTATGTTTCTGCAGGCTAGAATCTGTTCTATCTAAATCATTTTACGGTTTATTGGTCATAGTTAAACCTCAAATGGGATGTTAAGCCTTCCAGTTAGTGGCTCTCATTACCCGTTTCGTCCCACTGCTCATTGTTAGGTAAATCTGCTTCCAGTTCTTTATGACTGTTAATATTTTTGCAGATAAAGGACTTTGCTTCTTTATTTTGGTACAACCAGTAGCTAAATGTATTATTTTTCTATTTGCACATCGGAGGTTTATTTTATATATTTTGTTTTTCAATTAATTAAATTAACGTACCAAATTAAAACCTCTGTAAACTAAATATGTTTTCAGGGTCAAACCAGGTGTGAAAGGTCCGTTATTGGGGTTAATTTAATCTAAGATGCTTGTAATGCAGAAATGCATGTTAAAATCAAGTCTTTTTGTTTTTATCAAGTCAAAATCTAATCTGTAGCATTTTAATCAACCTAAACGTGGTTTAGCTCATGTTCAATTAAACTTTTCAGTAACTTTTGCCATCAGTTGTGGAACCAGCAACTCCCAGCTTAAAGTTGGTCTTTCATTCAACAGTTCTGAGCATCTCTTGAAAATGTTGCATTGTTTGGTGATTTGCCAATAAATGAAGGTAGTTAGCTTGTACCCCGTAAAAGTAAAAAAAAAATACCCACTGTACTTGGTTTCCAAGATTTGAAGACGTTTCCCCACCTCTCCAGGAAGCTTTTTCAATTCAAATGTGAGAAAGCTTCCTGGAGAGGTGGCGAAACGTCTTCAAATCTTGGAAACCAAGTCCAGTGGATATTTTTATTTTTTGGACTTTTACGGAATGACTATGACCTGGATGACTGAAAATCTGCATCAGCTTAGTTAGCTTTTACTTTTCACCCTCTCCTTTATAGGATATTCTTATATTTTACTTTAAAAAAAATGCGGATGCCTTTATAGAGTTGCTCTTAATAGAGTGTACCATGTTTATCTGTAGATGTGATTGCTATTTGCAGTAGTTTGTATCTATTTGAATGTGGATTCCAGCTCTGAAATGTTAGGAAGCAGAGCAGAGGACTGCCTTTACATGACACGGGCATGCAGGTTGCTGTAACGAAGGAATTTTAAACTAGATTCTAGCTGCACTGTAACACAAATGGCTGACTTAGCATATAGGGGGGTGGTGGGAACATGATCACGCTGTAACTTGATTCCTAAAATGTCCCTTAGGCAATTTTTGTAATCTAATTAAAATGATGTTAAGGTGTAGGAACAATGAAGGAGAATTATACTACTGTTCAAATCCTTGGTTTACCATTTCTATCAACAACTGGCTTGTGCCAAGTAAGACCTGGAGAAACTGCAGCAGCAAAGTTTGGTGTCATCACACAGTAAGCAAAACTTGAAAAATAAAACACCCAAATTTTGATTGAGCAACAACTTACTAATGAGGCAAAAATAGTGATATCTTAAAAAGTTGAAATTGGCACTAGATATAAAGAAAACAAATGTATTTATATTTTCCAAGTGACATGTATTGTCCACCACCATTCCAGCATTTTTCTTTCAGGGTGATTCAGGCCCTAAAAGCACTATTTTTTTTAAATGCATGTAGGTTATTGTTCTTTGTCAGCTTGTTTTCTTTAGTGAAATGTTCTGGCCTGCCCCTATCTATTATACTTTTAAAATTACAGTATTTCTTAAAGAAAATAAGCTTACAAAACAAGAGTCACAGGATGCATGCCAGAGGTAGATGAACTTGCACCAGCCCTATATGAACATGTTTAATACTCTAATACTGCCTAAGATGAGAAGAGTAAGCAAATGTAGACAATATTGACTATATTTTTTTTTTCCCAGGATCACCAGTTTTCCAATCAAGAGGTGTTGCTCTCTCAACCTCTGATGGCTCTGAAGGATCACTGCACCACCGTCAGCAGCACCATCACCCATCCTCTCTGTTTCACTCCCACATTGCACCTGGTTCTTCCTGCCTTTCTCCCTCCCAGGACTTCTCTTTGAATGTCTCTCTTTCCCGCCACCCTCATCGGGTGCAGACATCCAAGCACAGCCTGCATCATGTCAACAAAATCCTGCGCGCCAAAAAACTGCAGAGACAGGCTCGGACGGGTAACAACGTGGTGAAGAAGAGGGGACCGGGGCGTCCTAGGAAATACCCGCTGCCCTCCCCGCCTCCTTCCCCACCACATGAAGTGGAGTTGGACCCAACGGTGCACAGGGACAGTGGGGAAGAGCGGCTAGCTGGGAGAAGAGGCTGGGAGGGGGATACTGTTACAGACGCTATTGAGTCTGTGGTCCAGGGTCAACGAAGAAAAGGTCAGAAGAGGCCACATGTGGAGGATGAGGGGGATGAAGAAGAGGAGGAGCAGGTCAATGAAGACCTGGATGCTGGAGAGACAGAGGAGCTACTTCCTGATGGAGAGGAGAACCAAACTAATGTACCATCTAAATCTAGAACCGAGACAGGACGAATCTGGCCCACTGAGGAGGAACACCAGCACACTCAGGGGTGCGTTATAGCGCAAAGTTTTAGCTACTTATATATTTATGTTTTAACATTTTCAACTTACCCTTGGGTCTATTTTTAGTTCCCTGGAAAGCAAACCTGATGGTCAGTGCTCCCTAGAACCCCCAGGCACCGTCTCCAAGGAGCAGCCTGCACCCATCAGCAGCCAGAGAGAGAAGAAAGCAGCCAGGCTTCCAAAGAAGAAGTTCCAGAAGGCAGGACTGTATTCTGATGTGTACAAGACAGAGGAGTAAGTCCCAAAATAACCTGCTCACAGTTTTCTCTTCATGATGCTGAAGCAGGTGTCCAGTGGCCTGTACATTTTTCTTTCTTTTTCTTTTTTTAGCCCTCGCAGTCAGCTTCTGCAGCTAAAAAAAGAGAGGCTGGAATACATACCTGGGGAGCATGAATATGGATTGTTTCCTGCTCCGATACATGTCGGCAAGTCAAAACCCTCTGCTTATTTCAGTAAAACTATTTAGTCATGTTTAGCATGCAGCTTATTATAATACCAACTCTAAAAAAAGAAAGATTAGAACCCAAAAAGGCTTTTGATCCTGTTATAGTACAATATGGGCTGGAGATGATTATATTTTTACCTTCCCTTTTTTTTTTTTTTATGGCTGTACATTTCCCTGTTTTGTGTCCTACAGGGAAGTACCTGAGGCAGAAGAGGATTGATTTCCAGTTGCCTTATGACATCTTATGGTTGTGGAAACATGATCAGGTAACAATCTTTTTATAAGCAAAAGGTTTTTACTTTTTTCCTCCCCAGGCAAAGCAACCAAAGCTAAACCAATTAAAGCCTTAAGCACATTTTAAAAAATTTCTGTTTGGTTCTTTTTTAGCTTCACAAGAGACCCGATGTCCCTCTTTACAAAAAGATCAGATCAAGTGAGTACACGTTTGTTCAACTAATCAAAACTGTCTTATCTTTGTGTAGACCACTGTTTAAATATTAATCAACAATGAGTTAGTGTTGGTTTATTAGATCATTTTTCATTATGTGCAATTGAATATATAAGCAGTTAAAACCAAATGTGTGAAACAGAATCACTGTGCAAAACTGTGAAAGTAACTTAAATGGAAGTGTTTTCTAGCTTAGTGCAAGTATGGAAAATATTTATTTACCTAAATCCATCCATCCACCCACAAACATCTTCTCTGTTTGGTATCCGATTTTAAAGTCTTATCACCGCTGGAATATCTCACTTAAAATCCTGCTGAACTTTTGTTGTTTTATTTTAGAAATTTGCCCAAAAGCGAAAGAGAATTAACATTAGAAGAATTTTTAAAATGGAAAATGTGTTTTGACCATTTAAAAAATCTCAACACTGTCCACATGTCACAGATGTTTATGTAGATGTGAAGCCTCTCTATGGGTATGAAACGACTACCTGCAACTGCAGACCTCCTGACACTTCCACGGAAAGAGGGTGCCTGGATGATTGCTTGAACAGGTACAGACACATACAGACGAGGCTTACTCCTTATTACTACTTGTTTTTTAAATTATAATGGTATGAAAAAATTTTTGTTGCTTGCTCAAATGTATGATTCTGATTTCCACAGGATGAGTTATGCCGAGTGCTCCCCCAGTGCCTGTCCTTGTGGTGATAAGTGCGACAACCAGCACATCCAGAGACACGAGTGGGTCCAGTGTCTGGAGCGATTCCGTGCTGAGGGAAAGGGTTGGGGGATCCGCACAAAAGAGTCTCTCCGCGCTGGTCAATTCATCATTGAATACCTGGGGGAAGTGGTTAGCGAGCAAGAGTTCAGGTGAGATGTTGGGATGGTTCTCTGCCTGGGTCAGTTTAGATGTTGTTTTGTAGTAGTCCTGTGGTTTACCTGTATTGCTTCATACTATGTGTGTTGTAGGAACCGAATGATGGAGCAGTACCACAACGGCCACTACTGTTTGAATCTAGACAGCGGGATGGTGATTGACAGTTTCCATATGGGCAACGAGGCACGCTTCATAAACCACAGCTGCGAGCCCAACTGTGAGATGCAGAAGTGGTGGGTGTCATGACAACCAGAAACTTTTTTCATCAATATGATCCCTAACCTTTTAAAAATGCATCCAAGAATCTGCTGGACAATGTATGAGCAAAGGCTGCAAGTGGTGTTAACCGCTTCCATTATCTATGTGCATCTTAAAATATCCCAGTTGGTTTAGATTATTTTGTTTGTGGTATAAATGGCCAATTAGATTAAATTACATCAGAGAAGCTGGGAAATGATGCAGCTCTACAGTTTAGTATTTTGTCTTCAAAGTGCTGACATCAATCAGTAATTAGGCTTAAAAATTTGCTTTATTGCAGCTGTGCAGATTCTTAATCCTGTTGACTGACAAAGGAGACAAAATCAGCAATTAATGGCACTGGTTGAATGTAGAAATCTTGGATAGAATTTGATTGAACTGTTTTCCGGAACCAAACATGTGAGAAAAAATGCTGTTTGAAAAGGGCAGAAAAACCAACAAAAATCCGGTTTGTTTGAATTTGTTTGAAAGCATCCTTTTTGGAGGAGTGGTGGCGTAGGGGTTTTGTGCCTAAAAATGGATCAAAGCGGAGAACTTTCATTGAAATGCTCAAAGATGCAGTTACAGAGTAAAGTTACTATTCAACCTGGAAACCACAGCACTGTAGATTAGTTTGTGTTGGTAATCTGATGAGTTGACCTCACTCCCTGACACTACATCAACGCTTTAATGTCACTTTCTCCCTGTCGAAACTGATCACTGCTCTACCTAGAGATTGTTCCCACTGCATGTCAAAGACTTGTCTGTACAGGCCTGCTTGAGCCCCATTCTTCCCAAGTGAAGCCATTTCAAAACATTTGTCAACACATTTAGCTCTCAGATGATCTGCTAGTTGTCCTCAACCAGTTAGGCACTCTCCTAATCCAGGACGCCATCCTGTGAGGACAAAATGTGTATCGGCTGAGCTAAAATAAAAATCCTCCTCAAGGCTGGAGGATTTTCAGTACAACGCTAGACGAGTCATTCATCTTGTCACAGAAGAGAGATTGTAAGTAGGCAGGCCTAAGATACAGCTTTGGTGCTTGAAAACGATGTGCTGAAGCATCTTTTTTTTTTTTTTTGCCTGTTACAGGAATTAATTGTTATGCGCCTGAAAAAAAAGAGAATAATGGCCTTTGTTCTGTAAGGAAAAGTGAAAAGCTGGGACCCAGTTTCATTTGGGAATTTAAATATAAACAACTTCTGTTTGGATATAATTATTTGTAAAACCTTAGACTTCAGTCATAATGTTAAGGGATACTATTACTTTTTTTCTGCTGTAGACTTTGATTTTAATCCTCCACAACATAATCAAAACAAAATCTGATCTTCTGCTCATGGTATAGAACTATTACAAATCTATCACTTAGATTTATTAGATGATTACTATGTATTTTTTAATACGTATTCTTCATTGGCAGCAGTTTCTTTCACATTGTTGGCTAAAGATAGATTTGAATTATGAATTTTAATTAACTATTCTCTTGTAAACATATTTATTTTCCTTTTTCCGTACTATTGTGATCTACTGATTCAGAATTGTAGTATTTTCTTTTTTTTTTTTTCCCATTTCCATTACTATATACTATAATATGCACAAGTAAAGAAATACTAAGGTTCTTTGATAGAAGGTATATGTAAGTAATAATCTATCAAAGCAAATTATCAGATTGTTATATAAATTATGTATAATTAAATATTTTTGTTAAGTAAAACTGTACAGAACATTTAGACTTAGACTTTTCTGTCATTTTGTATACACAGGGTGTATACAAAAATATTTTTTTTTTCAGTAAAGCTCTCAAGACATTTCCATTCCTGGACTGTTTGCAGCATTCTGTGCTTTTATTTGAATAGTTCATTTTTTCTGGCTTGCAGGTCAGTTAACGGGGTGTACAGAATCGGCCTCTTTGCTCTCAAGGACATCAGCAGCGGCACCGAGCTCACCTACGACTACAACTTCCATTCCTTCAACACAGAGGAGCAGGTGAAAAACCTACATTTTAGCTCTTCATAGACACCTGATTCTTCAGCATTTCCTGTTTCCTCTGTCTTCCAGGAGCTAAATATTTGTGAGATATTCATAATTCCAAGAAAGTGGTGCATAAAAGAGATCTAAGTTTTGGTCTATTTATATACAGCGATGTCGGCTTACTGCTGTTAATTTACTTCAGTGAAAAAGAGATTAAATCGGTTATTGCTATTTTGTGTTTATCCTGTCAATATAGAAGCACAGAAGAAAAGCATTGCTTGTAGTGTCGGTGTGTCCATCAGAATGTTTCCATCCCATCACTACACCTGCACTGTTAGAAATATGTCACCTATAAAGTTTTATGATATACTTAATAAAAAAAACCCCAAAAAGATGAATATACGATTTCTTTTCATTTTAAGTGCACTGGCTTGAGTCCAAAATATGAATACCACACAGGGGTTAGATCGATTGGAGTCTCCATAGCAACCAGTTACTTAGTGGCTGCAATTGCTTGTTTGCAGTTTTTGTTATTCTTCCAGAAATTCTCTAGTAAGTGTTGCTCCTTTATTTTTGGCAAAGCAAGTTTTCCCCCACATTGAATGATGATTTGAATTCTGTCTCATATTTACTTTTACTCTTCAGCAAGTGTGCAAGTGTGGCTCTGAGAGCTGCAGGGGCATCATTGGCGGCAAGAGTCAGCGCATCAACGGCCTCCCTGGAAAAGCAGGAGGGACTCTGAGATTGGGTCGACTCAAGGAGAAAAGGAAGTCCAAGCACCAGCTCAAGAAGAGAGTAAGTTACCACTCTAGAGTTCAGTTAATAAAGAAATGGATTGGATTTTCGGGTTCCTTTTCAGGGCCTCATGTCAACATCTTTGAAATAAAGAAGTTAGGATTAGAGTGAAAACTTTGATCATAAACTCTGGGTTTAGAAAGGCCTCAGTGTGTCTAGCCTTATTGTTGGCGCTATTTAGTCTGGTCTTTGTAGCTCGCTATGTCTGAAAGGGCTTTCTTACATCGATGGCCTGAAATTCACTTTTTTTAAATATTGCCTTCAATTTCTTTAACTTCAGGAGGAGGAATCAAGCGACAGCAACAAGTTTTATCCACATCTTATGAAGCCCATGTCTAACAGAGAAAGGTAAGGGATGGTTCTATTTAGGTACTATTCCTAAAATCTGGAAATCTGCATTTGTTTGTCCATTACTGAAAGGGGGTGACCCGTCAAATTTAAATAATTATAGACCAATTTCTAATTTGTCTGTTTTGGCCAAAATGCTTGAATCCCTGGTGAGTGATCAGATGAAAGACTTCTTGCACGCCCAGGACATTTTATCCCCAGTTCAGTCAGGTTTTAGAAAAAAACATAGTACCTTCACAGCTGCAATGAAGGTGATAAATGATATCTCTGTTGCTCGTGACAAGAAGCTTCACTGTGCATCACTTTTTATTGATTTGTCAAAAGCGTTTGACACGGTTGATCATGATGTTCTAAAGATTAGGCTTCTTAAATCAGGGTTTTGAAAGAAAACTGTCTCTTGGTTTTCAAACTATCTTAGTGACAGAACTCAGTGCATTAAGCATGATGGTGTTCAATCTGGTATTTTACCAATCTTTAAAGGGGTTCCACAAGGCTCTGTATTAGGCCCTCTTTTATTTACTATTTATATAAATGATCTTAATCGGCATGTGTCTGATGCAAATTTTCATTTTTATGCAGATGATACAGTTATTTACTGCTGTGCACCTTCTCTTAAACAAGCCATTGCACACTTACAGAATGCTTTTAATGTGGTCCAAAATACTTTGCTACAGTTGAAACTTGTGCTCAATGCAGAAAATACTAAATGTATGCTTTTCACAGACCTTCGGAACAGGTCACTGAATGTTCCTTCAGTGGTTACTCTTGATGGTCGTGAAATACAGATAGTTTCAACTTATAAGTATCTTGGTATTGTCATTGATGACAACCTATCATTTAAGCCTCATGTTCACTGTCTAGTGAGAAAGTTGAGTCTAAAGTTGGGTTTTTACTTTCGAAATAAGCTGTGCTTTTCTTTTAATGTAAAAAAACGGTTGGTGGCATCCACTCTTTTAACTGTGCTGGACTATGGTGATATATTATATGCATTCATCTGCTCAATGCCTTCAGATGATTGACGCAGCCTATCACGCTTCATTGAGATTTATTACTAATTGTAAAGCTCGCACCTATCACTGTGAGCTGTATTCTCGAGTAGGGTGGTCTGCCTTGGCTACACGGAGGCTTTGTCATTGGTATATATTTATATGTAAGGCTATTTTTGGTGCGCTTCCATCTTATTTATGTTCACTTCTTATGAAAAAAAGTACTGGTCATTACTCTCTCCGTTCTCAGGCTGTTGTCTTGTTTTCTGTCCCACGTGTCAGTACTGAGCTGGGTAAAAAGGCCTTTGCTTACTCTGCTCCCTTTACATGGAATTTGCTGCAAAATAACATGAAACTTGGTTCCTTTGAATACTTTTAAGCTGAGAATTAGATGTTTTGAGTTAGACTCCCTCACATGTCAATGTTTTAATTGAAATGTTATTGTAAGTAGGGCTGGGTACCGAACTTCGGTACTTTTATGGTACCGACCGAAATGCTTCGGTTCTACCAAGTATCGAAACATGCCTCGTCTTTCGGTACCAAGTTTCGGTGATTGGCTGTAACACTTAACGTGATTGCGTCATCCAGGAAAAATACACAGGTGGTCACGCCTACAGCCAGGGTTCATGTGAACTGGTTGTGAGCGTCGCGGAACCCCTATAAAATGCCCCCCAGGTCAAAAGTACGGCTTCACTTTATTAAGACTGATGCCAATAGTGCGCAATGCAATACATCGTGCACGGAAATAATTTAAGAGCAGAAAGTCGCTCGGTGTTTGACTGCAAGTAGAGCGGACCGCAGCCGGCGTGACCATCCTCCTCTCAGCAGCCAGTGGGCAGAGCAAAGCCAGAGCGGAGTGAATCATGCTGCTTTCAAACTGGACGCAGCAGGGCCAGCAAAATCACGTCTGCTGCTTCTTTTTTGCTGCTTGTACCAGCTTCTGACGCGCAGCTGAAGCAGCTTTGCTGCTCTGGCTGCGCGGGTGAAAAGTGGGTCTGTCGCGCGTTGGGCGGAGCTACTCTATCCTTTATTTGCCTTGCAGCTATATTTGCTGTGATCAGTGGGAATAAAGTAGTTTTATTATGTTTTTAAGTGGGAAAATCCACCTGAAAACTTAATCGGTGCAGTCAGTTCATCCTGCCTTCCAATATTTCTGTCGGAGCCACTCAGACCCCCACATACCAGCGGTGCACTGTCAATAGGATCCCATTCAACGGGCTTGTTTGTCAGACATTTTCTAAAGGAAAACTGCTAAGTAAAAAGGTCCTCACAATGTAACAGTGAATATTAGACACTGAATTTTTTTTTTTATGTAAGAGGAAAAATGTAAATGGAAAAACAGAGCTTAAAATAAAACTCAAGATTTGTACTTTTTTATGTTGTGTAATTTTCTTTTTTTTTCTCGAATTGATATTATAAAACTGGTATCGAAAAAAGTATCGTTCAGGAACCGGTATCGAAGTGAAGGTATCGGTATTGTTACCGGAACCGAAACTTTTTGAACAATACCCAGCCCTAATTGTAAGTGCATATTTGGCTTTTATGTGTGTGTCTTTGTACGTATGTAATGATGTGATGTAATTTTGATGCCTATCTTGGCCAGGTCTCCCTTGCAAAAGAGATTTTTAATCTCAGTGGGTATTACCTGGTTAAATAAAGGATAAAAAAAAAAAAAAAAAAAAAATGGGTTTCCTCAGTCTGGTTAGAACTTCTGTTACTAGACCTTGTTTGACATTTGCATTCAGTTCACCTTTTCATCAGTGAAAATAAAGTATATTTTTAAATCTGCACTTAGCAATTAAATAACATTTATTTGTTTTGAGAAAAACTTTACATTATTAAACATAGGTGCTCGTAGAAAATGTCTTTACAGTTGATTTGTTGGGAGAAAAAAAAAATCTTTGCATGGCACCGCAGCAGCAATGACCTCCATATATGTTGAAAACCCTGCAGAGCGGAATTAAAAAAGAGGCTAATTATTTATAATAAAAAAAATAATAAATAAAAACAATCCACTGGACTTGGTTTCCAAGTTTGAAGATGTTTTTCAATTCAAAATGTCAGGAATAGCCTTGATTTCAAAGTTTTATACAGTAGCCCAAGAAAGCCTTGTTTTTGTTTTGAAATCATTTATTAAGATGCTCTTCTTCTCTCCTGCCATGATCAGAAACTTTGTGGTGAAGCACAGAGTTTTTCTCCTGCGAAACTGGGAGAAGATGAGGGAGAAACAGGAGCTGCAGAAGAGAGAGGGGGAAAGAGAGAGGGATTCCAGCAATCTATCCATGTATGCTCGATGGGGAGGAGTTATCCGAGACGATGGCAACATCAAGTCAGGTTGGTTAACAGGCAGAAGGTCAGGGAATAGAAATATAGAATAAACGAAAGAAAATGAACCCCTGAGTTGATGTTTATGAATCCAGTTCTGCCTAAGCTGAAGTGTTTCTGAAATCCTTCTGCTCTGTTCAGATGTCTTCCTGACCCAGTTCTCAGCCCTGCAAACGTCACGGTCGGTACGGACTAGGAGACTCGCTGCTGCTGAAGAAAACACAGAAGTTACTCGGACTGCCCGCCTGGCGCACATCTTCAAGGAGATCTGTGACATGATCACCAGCTACAAAGGTTAGAGGAAGCCAGCCTTTATTCTACTTTATTCTACTCTAATTTTAACCATTTAACAACTGTAATCTAATGAACAATAGCATATTGAGCCTGAAACATACATTGAAAAAAAGAATCATGTTTTCCTGAAAGAGTTTAACTTCTTTGCAAAGTGCTGGCGAAAAAAAGCTCACTGAATGAAAATCCTTCTACTCAGCCTCTTGGTCTCTACTCTGTTAAATACTTAGATTTTAGTCCTTTAAAGGTGAAAACGGCAACAAAGCTATTTTTTTTCTTACTTTAGACTCATCCGGACAAATTCTTGCTGCTCCGTTGGTGAACCTCCCATCTAGGAAGAGGTAAGAGTGGAAGCTCTTTTTTTTTTTTTTTTTTTTTTTTTCTTTCTGCAGGGTTGCTTAATCTTGTCTTTTTGTGTACAACATCCACAGTACTGTAACAGTTTTATCTTCTGTCACGCATTTGAGCCGTCAAAGCATGTGTGTCCAGTATTGATGGTAATCAGTCGGTGTCGGAAACAGAAACAGCACTTGTACCGAAGCTGTTATAGTGGCTGAGTGAGAGCCAGCAGGGATTTAAAAGAGCAACATTTGTTTTGTCGTCGTCAGAGGCAATGACTTCTAGCTGGAGACTAACGCTTTGGTGTTTGTGTTTATAAAGGAACAGCCAATACTATGAGAAGGTGTCCGACCCTCTGGACCTGAGCACCATCGACAAGCAGATCCTCACCGGCCATTATAAGACGGTGGAAGCTTTTGATACGGACATGCTCAAAGTGTTTCGCAATGCTGAGGTAAGCTGCTCACTTTAGCATTAAAAGCTGTTGTGGCAACAACAGTGATATTAAGAATGAGACAACACCGTCTTTCCAATAGGATCAAATGTAAATATGGTGAAACTATTTTACCCTATATATATTTATTGGGTTATAAGGATGCAGTTCATGTCTTTAAATGAGGATACATTTTACATATCTCTCATTTTAGTTTCATAAGTTTTAGGCTGACAAGAAAATAAGTAAAAAAAGTCTGAGTATAGAGGTGTTAAAGTTGCAAATGGTCACAAGGCAAACACCAGGTGTGTGATCACTTTGCTGCCATTACTGGAAGAGGAGAAAGTATTTTTATCAACAAAATAAGGAACCAAAAATTCAGTTGTGACTGAATTTTTTGATGAAATATCCTCTATTCTTCTCTATTCTATTCTATATTGAGAATTGGCATAACAGAGCACAGAGAAAAAGTGCAGTTTGTCCTATTCTCTAGTTGACAGGCGCTGATATGTGACTGAAAAGAGGGATGAGGCTGCTGTTGTAGAGCATAGTCTTCATCACTGAGGCCCCGTCCACACGAAGTCAAAACGAACACGAAACGCTGATATTTTCCAAAATGTTTGCCGTAAAGACGGAGACGTAAAATAAATGTGAGCGTCCACACGAATGCATGAAAACGCTGCAAAATGTATGCCAGGCCTGTAAGTGGCGCTGTGGTGCCAATGCAAAAATAAGCGTCGAAATGTTGGGCATGCGCACTAATATTTATACATGGTTGCCCTTCGGGTCCATTTTCGTGGTTAAGTCAAATTCAGGTGCTGAACTATGTCGTCGATATTGCTCTGTTCTTCCTGGAGATATTCCAGAAGAAGAAGATTCTGTTGTAAGCCCGACAGCAGGGTGAGTAGCATTAGCAGCAACGGCGCCATTGTTGTTGTGATACTGTGTCGCGCATGCGTGTTTAGAGGCGACGCTATGACGCATGCGTGTAAAAAAAAAAAATGCGGTTAGAGCGTAAAGATGGAAACGCGAAAATGGCGTTTCGAAATCTTCCCACTCTGAAGGCTGAATAAAAAAAAGATCGTTTACAGACCCCCGAAACGCTGGCTTTGTGTGGATGAGAGGCTGGTTTGGTGAAAAATTTGTGCGTTTAGGCCACGGTTCGTGTGGACGGGGCCTGAATCAGAGAGAAACTATTCAGCATAATTTTCAGTTCTGAGAGCTTGCTCTGTTTAACAAAAAAACAAACTTTTTTTAGTAAACACAGCGCACACATTTGTACAAGCACAATCTGCAGGGCACTCTGATTTGCTTAATTGTTTGAACAAGGGCCACCTAAAACCTCTTGAAGTTGATTAGTCTTTCAGTCAGAGGATTTTGGAGTAGGTTTATACACATTTGTATATGGGTCACCTTTTTTTAAATCAAGGTTTGTTTTTTACTATGTAGAGTGATTTTCTACCTTTTTTCTAAGCTAAGGGGAGTTGTTGGCTTGCTAGGTGATATTTCTCATATCTTCTATTTTAGTCCTGCATTTAATTCACAACGAACCTTCCAAACAATCCAGTTCAATTCTTTATTAAATTATGACTGCTAGACTTTATTTTATAACTAATAAATAGATGTACTTTCTCCTTATGTTATTGTAATATAATTTCCATGTGTAAATTTGAAATGGCGAAAGCATTTACAGCCGTTTTTCTCTCTCATCAGAAATATTACGGCAGGAAGTCATCGGTGGGCAGGGATGTTTGCCGGCTGAGGAAAGCCTACTACAGCGCCCGGAACGAAGCCGCCGTCCAGATTGACGAGATCGTAGGGGAGACCGGCAGCGAGGCAGACAGCTCTGAGTCGCTGGAGCACGACCACCATCAGCACGGAGGGTCAGGGTCACACGACAAGGACGACGACGTCATCCGATGCATCTGTGGAATGTACAAAGATGAAGGAATGATGATCCAATGTGAAAAGTGCATGGTTAGTAAACTGATTCAAAATATGGAGGAGTGGTATTCATAGAGGATGATGGAGCGTTTAAATCTAGTTCCCTTTAAGGCTGCCTTGAATAACACTTGTTAATTTTAGGAAATTAAAATGAAGCTTTTGGATGATTATTACACTTTAATTCTGATATTTTTGTGATTTTATTTGATTTTTGGTTTTTCTTCATGCGTCTTTTTTTTTCTTTTGATCAAAGGTGTGGCAACATTGTGACTGTATGCGTCTGGAGACCGAAGTGGAGCACTACCTGTGTGAGCAGTGTGACCCTCGGCCTGTGGACAGGGTACATCACTCTCTTTAACGGCTTTATGTATTGTTTACCAGTTTTATTGCCTCCTTCTCATGGGTAATGTGTTGTTATCATAACAGGAGGTTCCCATGATACCCCAGCCCAGCTACGCACAGGCTGGCTCCATCTACTACATATGTCTCCTTAGAGATGACCTGCTGTTACACCAAGGTATGGAAATGGAGGAACTAGCAACCCAAAGCTTTTTTTCAGAATGATTATTTCTGTTGATCATTCTTATAGGAATGATTGATAGAAGTAATGGGACCTGTGTAGAGTAGCTTCATTTCTGTCTGTGCCGCAAAGCAGCTGTGGCTGCATTGTAACTTGCTGCCACCATCAGTGTGTGAATGACTAGCGTAAAAGGGCTATTCGAGTTCAGGACGTTTAGGATCATTCTAGAGCAGGACAGTGACCCTAAAGCGACTGGAGTGGCTTAGCTCAAACCAGATTCACATGTTTAAATGGCCTAATAAAAGTCCAGACCCGGATCTAGCTAAAAATCTGAAGCAAGAGTTGAAAATTAATGTTCAGAGACACTTGCCATCCAATGCTGGGGAGGTTGAGGCCTAAAATGGAAAAAAGACAAAGGCAAAACACTTCCGGCTGTAATTGCACCTTTAGAGTGCTCTAGAATTTATTAACTTTGGTGCTGAATACAATATATATATATTTTTTATTTTTTTGTAGTACAAGTTAAAACCATAAACCATTTTACTTTGGTCTGGCACATAACATCCAAATAAGATACGCTGACATCAGGGGTTTTGTCAAAAAGTGAACCAGTTTACTGGATGAATATTTGCACAGGCACTGCATCTTTTCAGTTGACTTACAGTATGTGAAATTTATCACACTGCATATCTGTTGTCAGCTCCAACAGTGACTTTAGGAAACATAAAGGACACTCAGACTTTCACCGGTGTCCTCAATTAGTCTAAAACGGCCAGGTCTTCTGGTTGTAATGTGATCGGTTTGCTGTATGCAGGGGACTGTGTGTACCTGATGAGAGACAGCCGGCGCACGCCTGAAGGTCAGCCTGTTCGGCAGTCCTACCGTCTCCTTTCCCACATCAACCGAGAGAAACTGGACATCTTCCGTATTGAGAAACTGTGGAAGAACGAAAAGTAAGTTGACAGAAATATAAATAATCCAGCAGATTTAAATGTAGAGATGTCCACATCTCACTGTATTGTTGAATTAATCTCCTATTTATCCACTCAAACTGTACAGGGGTGAGCGCTTTGCCTTTGGTCATCACTACTTCCGTCCTCATGAAACGCATCACTCGCCATCACGACGTTTCTACCAGAACGAGTTGTTTCGCATGCCGCTGTATGAGATCATCCCCCTAGATGCAGTGGTAGCAACATGCTGCGTCCTTGATCTCTACACTTACTGCAAAGGTAAAGAAAAAACACCAGTTAAATAGCTAAGACATATATGTTGTGGTTGATGTGCAAAAATGCAGCTGACTGTTAAACTGCAGCATTTTTACTTAATGCCAGTATTCTTCCACTAAAGCCAAACACTTTGTTTCTACAGGAAGGCCAAAAGGTGTGAAGGAGCAAGATGTGTACATCTGTGATTATCGCTTGGACAAATCGGCACACCTGTTCTACAAGATCCATCGGAACCGTTACCCAGTCTGCACCAAGCCGTATGCCTTCAACCACTTCCCCAAGCGGCTCACGCCCAAGAGAGACTTCTCGGTGAGCCTTAGTCGTGTGTTGGTGTTTCACTGGGCTCTGCTTCCGTTAAAAAAAACAGTGCCAAAGTTCTACCATTATTTCTGTAGCCTGCAGCAAACTCCTGCGTTAGCGGTTGAGCTAAGTAGAAACAAATGAGAAAAAACCACACGTATTTATTGCGACCTAAGGGGAAACCACAGAGAGATGTTTCATTGCTGTTTGCATGTTAACGCAGGATAATGCAAAGCTTGAGGTCATTAGATAATAGATGCTAGGTTTTTATTGTAGGTTTGATTTTTAATTTAATTACTTGGAATTAGCGTCTTTGTTGAGAACCTTTTTGTTTTAAAAATGTAATTGTTTCTACTATATAGCAGCTGCTGAACTTTTATCACTGCTGCACTTAAAAAAAAAAAAAAAAAAAAGAAAATGTCTTGAGAGCTTTACTTAACAAAATTCCTTTTTGTACACACTCTGTGTGTACAAAAAGTCTATATATAAAGTCTATATATAAAGTCTATATAGCGGCTGAAATTCAAAGAATCTTATTGTTCTGTTTCAGCCTCACTATGTTCCTGATAACTATAAGAGGAACGGAGGCCGGTCTGCCTGGAAAAGTGAACGATCCAAAGGCGCCACTGGCTGTGAGGATGACGCCTCCTCTTGCGATCGGGGAGAGGACTTCTCACATGGGGTGGAGGATAGAAGCTTGGTGGAGGATGCCGTAGAAACGGCCCCAGAAGATCCTGAACCTCTTTCAGCTAAACCGAGACAAAAGGAACAGGCAAGAGCAGGAGATGAGGAGGAAAATGAGGAGGAGGAGGAGGAGGAAGGGCTGGAGGCTGGGGTGCGGAAGGAGCTGGGGGAAAGTCCAGAAAACAGGTTAGGAGAGATGCTTGAACTGCCTCTATCCTCTGCCTCTTCGCCGCTCCACCACCCGGTGCTAAGCAGGAGGGAGGTCCAGAGGGAACGGCTGGACAAGATCCTGCTGGATCTGCTGCACAGAGCGCCCAGCAAGAACGGTGAGGGACCGGGAACAAAGCAGGGGGGGTAGGTCAACAGATGCATACTGACTACCGTCTCATGTCATTCATACATTCCATTTAGATATGTTTTAATAATCCTGCTTCAGGTTTATCCTGTTTGGTTTTTTAGTAAATATATTTATAGTTGCTAACAATTTCTCCTGTTGCTACCACAGTTTGCTATAAATGCTATGATGTGATATAATGTGATGACACAGTGTAATGAATAACTGCACAGTGGATGAAAAACAGTGGAGATCAGTGGAGATCAGTGAAGAGGCAAAAAACGGATACCTAAACGGACAGATTTTTGGTTCTTTTATATTGAATTTAATCCAGATAGATGAATGTGGCCTCGTCTTTACCAGCAGCTCACTCCGATCTCAAAACATGGACGCAGTCTTTTTAATTTGGTGACAGTATAGTTTTGCCATTGGCCTTCATAGGGGCTAAGCTTAGAAGTTTTCAGTCCAGCCCCCCTAGTGGTTAAAAGTTCGTATTGCTTTAGTTTTCTAATCTTTGCAAAAATTCTCCATTGGATTAGCTCTGTACTTTGGCTGATCATCCCTAACTAATTTTCATATGTTTTGATGTCAAGGCCTCCCAGTTTAGATTTGCAGCTCTGCAATACCCTAAATCTTCTGTTTATGGTATTTTGTATACATAACAAATATGATACAAACACAGGCATCTGCAAATAGGAACCAGCTTAAATGAGGCCTTGGCTCTGTGGCTATATAGCTAAACTCATACGCATGAACCACCCCAGCTGTCAGAATTTCGGCTCTTCTTTAATCTAACAAATAGTCTTTGGGTGAAGCCCCCTAAATTGTCTTCTTTCTCCTTCCCACTAGCTATTGATGTCACCTATCTTCTTGAGGAAGGGGCAAGACGTCGGTTACGGAGAAGGACGCTTGGATTTGGAGATTTTGTTTCCAGGAAATAACATTTCTGACATGCCAGTTATAAGCACTCTGCCTTTTGCTGCTGTGAAGAGATGGACAGAAAATGGAGAGACAGTAAAGAAGGGAATCAAGCATTGTTGCCTAACCTATTTTTTACGGATCACAATGCATCCAAGGGGATTGCGTCTTCAAAGTTTACCTCTTCCAAGACAGTCATCTCTGCTCTGAGAAGGTGGAAGGAGCTCCAGAAGTTCTTACTCAAAGGAAGTTCCACCTTGAAACAAAAACAAGTTCTCCCGGTCTTCTTATTTAAGTGCAACATGCAAATTATTATTATTTTTTATTGAACATAGGAGAAATAACCCATGCACTTAAATGCATCGAACATTAGAAAATCGTGGGTCGATAAATATTGCTTGCAGGCATTAGAATAAAATGGTTGGTACTAAACAGAGACGGACGGGGTAGGGAGGGTTTATTTTCTTTAATTTTCTCACACATCATGAATTATTGTTCTTCATATCGGGATTTTGCTGCAGTGCTGACATTAAAAGGAAGAGAGGAAACTGGCATATAGGAGAACATGTAAAGCTGAGCAGTGTGCTCTGATGCTGCGCTTTAGACAGAGAGAACATTGGTGGAGAACTGCACTTTTGGTACCTTGGATATTGTGAAGCTCTGTGTAATTTATTCACAATGAAAGTACACTAACACACTCACAGTATTGGCTGCAGTCTGACAAAAGCAAGTTACAAATCTAGATCTTTTTCATGCTTCTTTTTTTTTTCTTTCCTAAGTATCTCATCTAGAAACAGGAGGCCTGTAGCGTGGTTTCGGATTATGTTTGCGCTTATGTCAAAGTGTTCTGTTATTATTTCTTACTTAGCTGTGAGGCAGTCAGCTTTGCCCCATGTTTTTAAGAAGCAAAGCGATTCACCAGCTTAAATAAATCAGGCAGGAGGAGGAGGAGGGATGGCACCGGCTTTACCTGTAACGCCTTATGCAGCCGCTGCCGTCTCTCACTGCCTTGCGTGCAAATGTGTGTCTGCCAGATTTTCTGAATATATATATATATATACACCTTTTTGTCTTGTTTTGTTTTTTTTTTCTAAAAAAAACTGTAAAAAACAAAAAATAAGGGCTCGATGGCAATTAACCGTTGTAGGGGGGAAACAATACTTAACATGAAATGTATCTTGACAGTCATATTTTCTTATATTTGAGAATTGCGGAGCAGTGTATACTGTATATTTGGACTTGCGTCTCTTTCCTTAAGTTTTTCTTTGTCTTCGGACTGATTGCCATGGAGAATGTAAAAAAAAAAAAAAAAAAAAAAAGCGATATTTGATGAGATTTCCTTTCTTTTCCCTGTGATGTCCCGGTGTGATAAACTGACAGAAGTGATGAGAACCAGAGAGAACGTGGAACGTGAAGCTGTACAGTGCCAAGTTCTGTAAATATGCACACTTTACATTAACAAGTGTCTCCAAAAGCAATATCTTGAAAATGGATTTTGTTTATTATTGTACTGTACAGATCTCAGCCCTAAATGTATTATTATTATTTCTTCGCTTTGTATTACTATAATGAAGACACTTAAGCTCTGAGGAGAAATGTTTTTCGTAATTTCCAGAGATTCTCACCAATAGCAGTGCTGATGACATGAAATTTGAGTTGTTTGCCTATAAATTAAGTCCACCTGTAAAGTGCATGAGCAAGAAGAATGTCAGAAGGCATTGGGATGTGACAGTGGCTCTGCAACGACACCTTTTCGTCACTGAATTTTGTTAATAATATAACTTTTTTAAGGAGGAATCTGCTCCTTGTTTTTTTGCTGCAAAGTGTTGAACACTAAAAAAACAAACCAACATAAAAATGTTAAGATATTTTTAAATGCTGACAGAAAACAAAAGTAAAGCTGTCAGAAATGATATCATGCTATTATATATATAAATATATAAATAGATATAAATATATTTTTTGTTTTTCTTTAAAATAGGAAAACGGTTCCGTTTTGTGATAGCAGTCATTGTATGATGCTTGTACTTGTATTTGTGTGTTTTGTGTGATCCGTTTAGTTATTTTTAGACAATCACAAAATAAGATGCAAGCATTGTAAATGGCAAAACTGACGGACATTTTGTGATGTGTACAGTTTGTCAAAACAACAACGAAAAAACTTCCACTCGTTCAAAGTTTGTAATTACGATTCTTAAGTCATGAAAAAAAAAATGTTGGTTTTTACTTTTTGTTTTATATTTGTTTTTTTTTCGTTTGTTTTTTAATAAAAAGCACTACACTATTGTGAATTCTGCATCTGGTTATCTTTCAGGATCATGGATGAGAATTGAGCAGCAGTCTGGAAAAATCTCCCCTTTTTTCAACACTTTGCTTTCCTTGCTTCCCCTCTTCCTTGCACATTTCTGTACTCAAAGTATTATTTCTTATTTTTTCTACACTTAAGTCCTGTCTTTATTATTTTTTCCCTTTATTTTACTTAATTTGTCTTTTTTTTCACTTGTCTTCCACCTCTATCGCTTCTGTGTACTTTTGTCCTACAAACTTTATCCTTTTTTTCCCCACCCTATTTTGACCTTCCTTGCCTTTTGTCGCTTCGTTGTGTTCTTCTGTCTTTGTGCTCCTAATTCCTTCCCTTCTTTTGTGGAACCTCCTAATCCATCTTGTCTTTCTTATCCTTTAAGTCCATGACTTCTGTAGGTTTTTCCTTTTTCCAGGTTCCACATTAAATCCTGAGCACTAAAAAAATGTTTGCCATGAATTTATTGTAAAGTTGAGCATTTTAGATCTAAAGTCTAGAAAGTTGTGGGATTTTAAAATTAAAATGTGTGAGTGACATCCATCCTTCCACACTCTGTTTATAATCTTTATTTTTATTCCTTTTTCTGTACTGAAAGCCTGCCCACTGTAATATGTATCACAACTTAAAGGGGACTTTTGATTCAATGACTGAACAGCTAATAAAGAGCTTGGAAAGTAAAGGTAAAGGATTGTTACAGGAACCCTTGAGCAGATATCAATTACTGCCTTGCCCTCACTATGACATTGCTCCTGTCTGCCCTGGTGAAGAAAACATTATCTCAAACGTTGAAGCTCTTTTTCACTTTTCTATGTTCTATTTACCTATATTAAGTGTTTTTAAAATTTTTTGTAGTTAAATAAAATGTATGTTTATTAATCACATAATGTATTTAGACTTGTTCTGGAATTGTAAAAAAAAAAAAAACTCAAATAGAAGTGCAAAGTGTGAATATTGAATCATCTAATGTATTTTAATTAGTGATTCAGACTGAATTAATTCCTACATTATTATTCAAATCTTTTTAAAATATGTTTTAAGTACACATATTCAATCCTGGACCAGAGAAGGAAAATCTGACCCCGAATCTTTTTCTCATTAAGTCGCTAGTGATTCAGTTGCGCTAAACGTTAGTCTCGCGATAGACCTTGGAACTATGACTCGGTTTCCTTGGTAACAACTTACACTGAAGTGAAGCCATTAAACAGTTGTTTTAACTCGAATTTTGGCTAAATTGAACAATTTTCCCAGAAATAATTTGTTTCGATTAAACAACATAATGTCTACAAAAAAACGACTGAGAGATAAATTCAACCAAGAAGCTGAAGGGTCAAAGAACGCAGGTTAGCTAGAAAATAACGTAGTGATTTAGTTTTTAAGTAGCGCTGACAAGCTAACACAAATTTAGCTACCATAACTGTCTCTTAGAAACGTTTAAATCATGTTTCAATTAACAATGTAATATGTATTGTGTTACGGATTTTCAGTTAAAACTTATTTTTTATGGAAATACTTTTTAAATGCTGTTATCATTAGATTATAATGATGTTAAATAATTAAAATCAGCCGGCTGCTTAATCCCTGTACCCTGTACTGAATCTGATTTATGATATATATTTAAATATATATATATATATATATATATATATATATATATATATATATATATATATATATATATCTCGATCTGTCAATCTATCTATATAAACTAATTATATATCTATATATATATATATCATCACTTGTCGTTGTGTTATTCCACAGGTTCCAATGAGTTGTCAGCATTTCTGACTTTTGGTAAGCAATGAAGCCCTCAGTTAATTCACACATTGGTATAAAATTTGTATAAAATTTATTCCCAGATTAATGGTAATCCAAAAATGTACCAGATACCTATCAGTGCAATGGAAACGTGGAGATCGACTTTCCTGCGCTTTGTGCTCTCCTGAACATAAAGGAAATCTTAGCTGTCAGGACCAAACATCCACACTCCACCACTGATAAAAATGAAGGCGGTGTTCGTAAGTATTAGGCTTCTTGTGTTCTTAGGAAAACAGATATAAACCCTACCAAATGTGTTTTTAATTCCTCAAACCACAACCTTCGTTGTGCTTGACTTGGATTTCATATGATGACAAACTAGTGAAAAATTGTGAAGGAGAGGGAAAATGATGTTTGATTTAAAAAAATTCTGCTTGCAGGTTTATCATGGATTTGTATTTTACCCCCTAATGCCTTAAACAGATTTACAGCTAATCTGAAAATTGAATCAACCTGTGGATAATCTAATCACAAAATCAAATCTGAACAAACCACCCCCAAGGTGACAGCATCATGATATGGACAGAAGAGACAAGAAAGAGACAGAGTTGGATGGAGCTAAATGCAGGGCAGTCCTTGAAAACAAAAAAGAAAACATAACAGTAAAGTTTCTAAAGGCTCCATATAACTGGAAAATGGAAAACCTCACAGTAGGACGGCAACCATTAAAACAGCTATAGCTACATTTGAGAGGTTTTGAACATAGAATATTTATAGGCCATAAATCTTGTACATATTCTTTAGCGATACTGAAATGGCTGAAAATGAGTCTGTGTGTGTAAAATATTTTGAAAACCATACCAAGTTAGTTCATTTATAAAGCACCACTTAAAAACAGCACTTCTCAAAGTGTTTGACAGTTTGACTCAAATATTTCTATCAAAGGAAACCAAGCAGGTCGCTTTGAGCCAAACCAGGTCTTACTTTTAAAACACTACATTACATTAATCTATCAAATTAATTCCTCATAAAATACACATCTAAATGTTTAAATGATATGATTAAATAATCCAAAATAATGAAAAAGTCCTGGTATGATACTTGTGCTGGATATTTCTCTGTGAAACGTAATTTTCGTGCTGCTATTTTCTGAGGATCAAAATAATTTTACCTACAGAGGACGACCTTCCAGAGATGAAGACCTTAAATACCTGGTCTAAGCCGTGTTTAAACATTGAGCTGGAAAACGAAGACCCCCTTAGTGCCAAGAGGATGTGGATTTCTGGTAAGAAGCAAACAGAACTAAACCTGATTCAAGAACTAAATAAGTTATTTAAATTTATGTGATTTGGTGATGATTAGACACTGCATCCTATGCCGAAGGACTTTGTTTCTGACTGATTACCTCTTATGGCATATAATAGATCATTACTTCCTATTATACCAAAAACGTCTATTTATCTGAGTAGTCTCCAACTCACAAACCTCATTTCTAGGCTAAACATAAAGCATTTGGCTTGAAATAAAATAAAAAACATAGAGATTTCTTTTCTATAACATGTAGAATTATATATTGATGTCCTCCTGATCTTGAAGGTATCACTGAAGCGACAGTGCACCTTTTTCTTATAAAAATATGCAAATTAAACAGAGCCACAGATACTCTGTTAAAAACGTAAACTATTTCTTATTTTGTCACTTTACAAACATAAACATCAATGTAATACAGAATAATACATAATAACCTCTAGTCATTTCTATCTGAGACAAATTACACAAAGCAACTATGAATTTCAAGTGGAAGACTTTCTTAATTTATTTATAAAGTTTGCAGCCACCATGTTTCCTAGTGGAGATGATGCATAGAGGCTTTTTTTTTTTTTTTTTTGCTACTGAAGGAGTTTTGCTTTAAGGCCAAGAAGTTCACATTACAGGTGCTGGTCATAAAATTAGAATATCATGAAAAAGTAGATTGATTTCAGTAATTCCATTTAAAAAGTGAAACTTGTATATTATATTCATACATTACATACAAACTCATATATTTCAGATGTTTATTTTGTTTAATTTTGATGATTACAAATGACAACAAATGAAAATCTCAAATTCATCATATCAGAAAATTAGAATATTACTGAAGACCAATAAAAACAAAGGATTTATAGAAATGTTGGCCAACTGAAAAGTATGAACATGAAAAGTATGAGCATGTACAGCACTCAGTATTTAGTTGGGCCTCCTTTGGCCTGTATTACTGCAGCAATGCGGCGTGGCATGGAGTCGATCAGTCTGTGGCACTGCTCAGGTGTTATGATAGCCCAGGTTGCTCTAATAGTGGCTTTTAGCTCTTCTGAATTGTTGGGTCTGGTGTATTGCATCTTCTTCTTCACAATACCCCATAGATTTTCTATGGGGTTAAGGTCAGGAGAGTTTGCTGGCCAATTAAGAACAGGGATACCATGGTCCTTCAACCAGGTACTGGTAGCTTTGGCACTGTGTGCAGGTGCCAAGTCCTGTTGGAAAATGAAATCTGCATCTCCAAAAAGTTGGTCAGCTGCAGGAAGCATGAAGTGCTCTAAAACTTCCTGGTATGTGGCTGCGTTGACCCTGGACCTCAGAAAACACAATGGACCAACACCAGCAGATGACATGGCACCCCAAACCATCACTGACTGTGGAAACTTTACACTGGACTTCAAGCAACGTGGATGAAGTGCCTCTCTTCTTTTCCTCCAGACTCTGGGACCTTGATTTCCAAAGGAAATGCAAAATTTACTTTCATCAGAGAACATGACTTTGGACCACTCACCAGCAGTCCAGTCCTGTTTCTCTTTAGCCCAGGCAAGACGCTTCTGACGCTGTCTGTGGTTCAAGAGTGGCTTGACACAAGGAATGCGACAGCAGAAACCCATGTCTTTCATACGTCTGTGTGTGGTGGTTCTTGAAGCACTCACTCCAGCTGCAGTCCACTCTTTGTGAATCTCCCCCACATTTTTGAATGGGTTTTGTTTCACAATCCTCTCCAGGGTGCGGTTATCTCTCTTGCTTGTACACTTTTTTCGACCACATCTTTTCCTTCCCTTCGCCTCTCTATTAATGTGCTTGGACACTGAGCTCTGTGAACAGCCAGCCTCTTTAGCGATGACCTTTTGTGTCTTGCCCTCCTTGTGCAAGGTGTCGATGGTCGTCTTTTGGACAACTGTCAAGTCAGCAGTCTTCCCCATGATTGTGTAGCCTATAGAACTAGACTGAAAGACCATTTAAAGGCTTTTGCAGGTGGTTTGAGTTAATTAGCTGATTAGAGTGTGGCACCAGGGGCCATCAATTTTGAACCTTTTCACAATATTCTAATTTTCTGATATGATGAATTTGAGATTTTCATTTGTTGTCATTTGTAATCATCAAAATTAAACAAAATAAACATCTGAAATATATGAGTTTGTATGTAATGTATGAATATAATATACAAGTTTCACTTTTTAAATGGAATTACTGAAATCAATCTACTTTTTCATGATATTCTAATTTTATGACCAGCACCTGTAGGTCTGACCAGAGTGTATTTTTTTACACTACTGTGTCCATCGTTTGGTTTGAATATGAGCCTGTCAGGGAGGGGAAAAGAGGAGGACACAGGAAAAGGATTCTTTTTATGACAATCATAGGGATGAGATGGCAGCAAATTGAAGACCTTAAAGGGATTGTCTGGAAGAAAAATAAAAAACAATCTTTCTGTTAAAGCAGTATTGAAGAATTTACCCTTTATTACTGTTTTGTTGTTGTTGTGGAAAATAAAAGGACCACCCCAGTAATGGGCCTATATCCAACTCACTTAATCTCGCATTATTCACAGATTTTACTCTTTCAAAAAAGTAATCTAAATACAAGTTATCAAATGAATCCCAAAATATAAGCAAGTTCTATAGACTGCGGTAACCGTAAGATTTGTGCTTGATATGCAGGATGTAAGGTAAGTGAGCAGCCCTACAGAGCCATGCAGAAGATGCTCCCCTCCATGAACCACCTTCAAAGCCTTCAGTGAGTAATGAGCAGACAGAGAGGCGCTCTCCTGTTACAGCAAACAGCTGCTGCTGTCTGGTTGTTATTTGCCTTTTCTATCTTGTCCTCTATGCTGCAGGTTTTGGCAGGCTGGACTCACCGATCCAATGGTGATTTCCCTCACTAACACGACATCTCTGTGCTCCAACCTGAGGTGAGTGGATTCTGTGACATTGAAACTGTGAAAACATTGCTTTAATTTGCACCTAGCAGGAGACAAGTCAGGAGTATTTTTGGATTTGGAAGTAAATGTGCTGTGGAATATGTAGAATATGAATTGCTTATCCAGCTTGTTAACTCTTCGCCATGGTAGAGAGGTGTCACTGGAAGGCAATCCTCTCCCAAACCTGAGCTTCCACCATCTGCTCTCTGAAGACAGCAAGTGAGTCCAGCAATCCAGCACTAATAACCCAGTTTTTTTTTTTTTTGTGCATAAGGATGTCTAAATTCATGTCACGTTTCTCTGGTCAAGATTCACCCAGGTGTCCTTGCGGAATAATCGGATCGGAGATGAAGGCGCCCGTCTGATAGGTTCGGCTCTCTCCACCATTAAATCGGCTAATAAAAATCTTCTTTGGCTCAACCTGGCATTCAACAATATTGGGGATGAGGGTGCTGCACATATTGCAAAGGTATAATTCAGAGCTAAACCGTGTTCTCCCTGCATGCTCCCATCAGAGCTGCTGATACATTTTCAGCTTGTTTTCCCTCTCAGGGCCTGAGGCTGAATCGTACTTTACTCTTTATATCTCTGTGCAAAAATCAGATTGGAGACCTTGGAGCTGCCCATCTGGCTGAGGTATCCGTTTACCTTAAAGACTTTAAGTGGCAGATAATGCATTTAAATTTACAGTTAAAATTTCTTAATCAAATTCTACTTGGTGGACTAGATATTATACAATTTAATAACCCCCCAGAGCTAAGCATTTCCATTTTTAGATAATCGGGGAGTTTTCTCTCACACATGAGGAAGTGGAAAGAAGAAAACTCCTGTTTCAGAGAATACAGGCTGTAAGTAACATTTTGTGTTTTCTAACTTAAAGAAGTTCAATCAAATAATTTATTTCTCCAAATTAACAAGATTTTTAAACATCTCATTTAATTAGATTCATTGCTTAAAAAAAAAAAAAAAAAGTAAAACTTTCACATATTTGTAGCTTATTTAGGATTAATGAACACATGATGCCTCACTGAGGTATTCACACATGTTGCCACATTACTACTGCATAGCTTAATTCATTATTTGACTTTAGTTTTATTAAAGAAAAAGTCCGGTCAGCAAGGAATGATCAATGGATCATTATCTATTCCTAAAACGAATACGTTTGCGGTGATTTTATGAATTTAGTGTTAATCAGTAAAAAAATTAAAACAATAGTTTTCTTTGCGATCACTCAGTCTGGGACCAGCCATTTCTGCCCAAATATAGTAACATCTCATTCCTGGGATCTTCTGGAAATGACGTCATGGTGTGGTAAGCCCAGCGCCATTCTCCCTGCTTTACAAGCAAAATCAATGAGAACTATTATACACACCTGCTTTCAACAACAATTATTTAAGATTTAGAGTGGGCTTCACCGTTGAAATTCAGCTATAGTTGACAATGCCGATATGCATCGCAGTTGGATGTTGTAATACATGGGGTTAAAGTGAAAAAAAACAGTTATTTCACTTTTCCTAATTATGATCGTCCACGGACGGATTCGTCTTTGGATTGCCAAGTTGAAGAGGGAGGATTTGCCATCGAACTGCTGGCCAGAGGAAAAACATGTAGCCAACATTTCGAAGAAGAATGTTTTCAAGATTACTTGGATAATAACGCGTTGTGACAAACATACAGCACTGAGACTTGCTTAATAGCCGATACCGCACCGTGATGTCACAAACCGGTAGGTGGCAGTAGTTTTCTTTGACAAACATGGATGTCTCCATTAAATCACATTCAAATGAAAATGACTCTTAATTAAAACACTTATCATTTATTGAACATTATGTATTAATTTAATATTTAAAGTACTTTCAATAGTTTGAATTCTGAATATGCCTGGACTTTTTCTTTAATACCTACTTTGACACTCAGCTTCCATGCTGATGAAGGTTCTCAGTCATCCAGGTCATAGTCATCCCGTAAAAATTCAAAAAATATCCACTGGACTTGGTTTTCAAGATTTGAAGACGTTTCGCCACCTCTTCAGGAAGCTTTCTCAATTCAAATGTCTGGATCTGCAGTGAGTTTGAGTCTTATATAGACATGCAATGGTAACCGATGAATGGGTCGTTAACGACCCATTCATCGGTTACCATTGCATGTTTCCAAGCGATACAAGGCATTGTCTATATAAGACTCAAACTCACTGCGGATCCGGACATTTGAATTGAGAAAGCTTCCTGGAGAGGTGGCGAAACGTCTTCAAATCTTGAAAACCAAGTCCAGTGGATATTTTTTGAATTTTTACGGGATAACTCAGCTTCCATCCATCCATCCATCCATCCATCCATCCATCCATCCATCGTTTATCTGACACGCTTTATCCCTAATCGAGTCGCACTCAGCTTCTTTAATTAATATTTATTTGAACTACCTTTTGCTGTAATTACACCTCCAGGTATCTTGGGGGTATTTTGTCATATTTCGATTATATATATATATATATATATATATATATATATATATATATATATATATATATATATATATATATATATATATATATATATATATATATATATATATATATATATATATATATATATATATATATATATATATATATATATATATATATCAGAGTTCCTATAATGAGTTAATATTATAAACAAATTTATTTAATTCCATAATCGCTTTAAAAAAGTTTAACCTGCATTTTATATTAATTTATTCCACATGGACTGATTATTTTTAATAGTTTCTTTTAATTTATAACTTCAATACTAAACCTTTTTACAATATTCTAATTTTCTGAGAAACTGAATTTGTGTTTTTTTTTTATTTGTTTTCTTTTTTTCCATGTTTTTTATAATCATCTAAATAAGAAGAAATAAACACTGGAAATATATCAGTCTGTGTAATGAATGAATACAATATACAAGTTTCCCTTTTTGATTTGAATACTTCAAATAATCCACTTTTTCATGATCTTCTAATAACATGACCAGCTGCTGTATATAGATTAGTGACACATGGACTGATCTTCAGCCTCTTCCTCTGTTAAAGGATGATGATTTTCCATATATAGCTAATAAAAACACATTTAGAGAGAATATTTCATCAGACAAAAAAAATATGTTCAGGTGATTATTTAAAACATTACATTATTTTCCTTCCATTTTTGGTGGATAGCCACATAAAAAAAGAGGTTTCTGATTGCAACATCACATACTTTTGAAGGGGATTTTAGGGAATAAAAACAATTATACATTTATTAAGTTTGTATCGGATGTGTTAAACCTCTTGTTTTTGCTATATTCACAGTCTGCTCCTAGGGCTGATCTTGAGCAACTGTCTTCAAGCCAGCTTTCCCCAGAACACCCTGCCTCACACAAAAAGTCGAGGAAGAGCACGTCTCAAAAAGAGGTAAAATACTAAATAAGGATCACTGTTGTCTGAAATGATCTAATCCTTTGCCAATATTCTGATCAGCAGAAATCTGCCATGAAAGATGGAAAAACTGCAGCAGTCAAGGAAAAGCCTCACAAGAAAGGTGATCGTCAGTGATGTATTTCACAAGGTGTCCTAGAGCAGTATTTGGTTTCTAATTGATGTCGTTTCAAACCGCTTCCAGCCTCTGATAAAAAGGAAGCTCGCAGCCGGAGTGTAACTAACGGAGGCAGAGAGAAACTGTTACCTGCTCTTAAGGTGCTTAAACATTTTTTACCACATATTAACATCCTCCATACTCATACACAGAGGTGTCAAGTAACAAAGTAGAAATACTTTGTTACCTTAAGTAGAAATTTTGGCTTTCTATACTTTACTGGAATATTTTTTTAGACAACTTTTACTTCTACTCCTTACAATTTCTTTTGCAATTATCTCTACTTTCTACTACTTACATTTTAAAGAATGACTCAGTGTTTTTTTTCATTTAAGCTAATGTTCATTATGGCCTGTTGATATTTTAAAATCATTTGGTTCATCCAGACAATTTATGTCTTTGTGGTTGGACTCGGTACTGCATCATTTTTTTGTTGACCACAAACTAAAATAAATAATTTTCAAGATGATGCTGAGTTAAATTTGACACTGTTAACATTAGTTATAGTATAAGGAGTATAGGGAAGTTATCATCCAGTATGGTAGAGAAATATTCCTTGAATAGGGTAGTGCAGTAACCAGTATAAAGCTTAAAGGATCTGGCCTTAATTTTCTTCCCAGCATTACTTTTATACTTTAAGTAGTTTTAAAAATTATACTTTTACACTTTTATGGATACTGCATACTCCTAAGTTCTACAAAACATGTTTTTAAACAGTAGGATTTCTACTTGAGTAATAAACATTAATACTTTTGACACCTCTGCACATAAAGTATATAAAGTATACATAAGTATATATAAAAATTTGGTCACACAATATGGGTTCTTTTTTTTTTCTCTTACAGGATAAATCTGTTTCCAACCTGAGTGAGGTTTGGCTTTTCAATATCTTATGGATACATCAGTTTAATTGATGCATCTGAGTGGAACTAACCGTCTCTGTCTGTACAAACAGGCAGAAACCATGGAGACAGGAACCCCCCTGCTGGACCCTTCAGTGTATCACAAGGATGGAAAGCTCTTCCTGCCTGGAAACACGACGCTCGAATCCCTCAATCTTTCAGGTCTGTGTACATGTTCAAAAATTTCTCATATTAACAATGTTTATATCTGTAGACAGTTGCTATACCCTAATTTTTTTAAACCCCTACCTCCTGTTTAATTTATACATTACAGAATATTTAAGGTGCTTCTTGATTTGCAATGTGTTTTTGATAGATTTATGAAAAATCGATCATAAAAGTCAATGATGCAATACAAAATGGATAATTCTTTATTTAGGAAACAAAATTACAGAGAAGTCTCTACCCCTGTTCCTGGCATCTCTGGAAAAGCAGCAGGAAGTTGGAGGGAACCTGTGGCGTCTTTGTCTACAGGTATGTTTTTACAGCTATATTAGGGGCAAAAACTGCTCTTGGTCTGTAGGCGTCTGTGCACAGACCTCGAAAGATGAACATGCAGCTGCACAGAACAGGGAACAGGGAACAAAAACAAATGAAATGCACCTTGGTGGGAAAAAAACATTTCCAAAACTTCACATTGTTGCCTGTTTGCTGCGTTTTTTGGTTGAGATGATGCACCAGCAGCAGGATACAGAACCATACACCAATGACACTGAATCTAACATTGTTGCTGCCTTTTTGTTCTGTGGAAGGAAGCCAGAGTGCCTGGAGAAAACACTTGCATGCACTTGGAGAACATGCATATTCTATACGGAGCAACAGAAAATAAAGGCTTTTCTTTTTGGATAGGTTATTTGAATGTGAGCAAGACTTTTTGCTGCGGCATCAGTTTTAGACTAAATTTGTTGTTATTGTTATTTTTTCTCTCTTACAATTGATGGGAGAAAAAGACATCATTAAAAACTTTGACATACTAAGAAGACAGTTATTAATTCAGAGCTTAATTAGGAAGTCTAGACTCCATTCAGCCAACTTTTATTTGCAATCTGGCTGATTCATTTACAACCTTATTCACTGAACACCATTTCTTATTAAACTGGAACATTTTGGTAAAAATTAGGTTTAGACTTCCAGAAAATTAGGAAAAATTAGGAAACATAAAGAAAAAAATGTAGCCTGATAAATTTTGATTTAATTATTTTACTGTAATAACTCATGGAAGCATGAGAAGCATGAGAAAACATGTCAACCTCTTCTATAAGAATTATTGGTGGGTAGCAGCCAAGTTGTTAAGCTCCAGGGTTAAATTTGATATTTGCATTCTTTGTCTTCTTTGGCTCTGCAGTCAGATGAATGAGGTGTGAACTGACATATCCTTGGGAAGAGAAGATTGTTTCTTTTTGTCAGGTTTTACACCAACAATAACTGGGTAGCTAAGAATATATGCCTGTGTAACAAAGAGGATTCCCTGTGTAAAAAAATGACCTATTCTTGTAATCTACTTGTACTGCTATTTTTTATTATAATTGATTTTCTCTCCATGTTTTTAAAACAAAGCTAAATAAAACTTGGGGGGTGGGGAGGTGATGGGTTTACTTAAAGGTGTGTGTTTAGTTAGACTAATGTTTAGAAACAGGGTTGTGTATTTGATTTCAAAAGAAAAAGATTGTGTTTGACTAGAGCTAATAATTTGACATTGTTCAAGATTGTACTGGGCCGAACAGGGATCAGAACTGCTGTCAGTAAACCTATAGAACAACATTAATTCTCAAGAAAAAAATATATTAAACTATAGTTTGGATTTGAACATATTCAGGAGAAGATATATCCACATTCTGAAAGATCGACGTACTTAGAGGCTTAAATAGTAGATAGTAAAGATTGTCGGGACAAAGTGGTTTGAACAGATGATAGCTCAGCAAGAGTCACAGGCAAGGGTCTAGTTGTATTTTATTTTTTAAATTATCCTTATATTTTCTGCTTTAGTGTTGGATTCTTCAGTAAATCTCTATATGATATGTTTCCCCAAATTTCAGATCTTATTTACAATAATCCGGATATTTAACCATGTCAGAATAATACCTACTGTAAAAAAGTTAATAGAGTTTACACAGGTATCACTAAAATGCAACTTTTAGGTTTTGTTTCTTGTCCTAATATTTTAAAGAAATAAACTGTATTGATGTTTTGTCACCCAATGTAAATCTTTTTAGCTGCAGTTTCTTATTTCTGATGACTTCTCTTTATTTATTGTATAGTTTAAATTGCATAATAATCAGGATAACCTTTATGCAAATTAAACAATGAACTTGATGTATTAGAAAGAAATAAACTCATTAGTTTTCAGTTTGAGTAAATACAGCAGGTAAAATAAGTATTTAATTCATTTGCCAGCATTTTTCTCAGTAAATATATTTCTAGAGGGGCTATTGACAAGACATTTTCTCCAGATGTCAGAAACAATCCCTGCAATCCCTCAGCAAAAGACTGCTCTTAGATGCACCACAGGAAATCTTTCCTGCCTGTGGTCATCAATCTCTACAGTATAACGCCTCCCTAAAGTGATTCAGACACCCCCCTTCTGTAATTTACATTTATGCACTATTTTTGCACGTCACTATCACTTTACTTGGATTTAGTTTTACATATGCATATATATATATACATATATATATATGTATATATATATATATATATATATATATAGATATATATATAGATATATACAGAAGAGCTTTATGTGTATATGTTTTATCTTTATTATCTTGTGTGGTTGGTTGTGTATATAAAACTGTAACTGAAGCGTGTAACAAAAGTAATTTCCCTCTGGGATTATTAAGGTATTTCTGATTCTGATTCTGAATCCACACAGAGAAAGAAATAAAACCATGGATGTCCAGAAATTAAGTTATGTGTAATAAAGCGAAATTGCATAGGGAACAAGTATTGAACACATAAATAAATGTAAAAGCTTGTTGCTCCATAACATTTACACAATCTGTGAAATATTTGGGGAATAGAGTCGGGTCAGATGAGACCAAAATTGAACTCTTTGGATGCCTAAATACTCATGTTTGGTGGTCAAAGCACTGCACATCACCCCCAAAAAACATACCAAGAGGGAAGTTTAGAGGTGGGAACATTGTGGTGTGGGCTGTTTTTCTGCATAAGGTACTGGCAAACTTAAAATAATTGAAGAATGGAAAAAATGTACAGAGAAATTCTTGATAAAAATGTGCTTGCATCTACCAGGATGATGAAGAGGAAACCTAGATGGACATTTCAGCAAAACAATGACCCCCAAATACACAGCCAAGGAAACTCTCAACTGGTATCAGAGACAGAAAATAAAGCTGCTAGAATGGCCCAGCCAATCATCTGACTTGAATCCAATAGAAAATCTATATAAATAACTAAAGATCAGGGTTCATAGAAGAGAACCACAAAACCGGAGGCATCTTGAAGCTTTCATTGCCAACAAAGGCTTTTGTACAAACTATTAAATAGATTTCAGTAAGTGTGTTCAATACTGGATGTTTTCCCTTTGCCATTTCACTTGATTAAACATAACTTAATTTCTGGACATCTATGGTTTGATTTATGGATTGCATGGATTGTTTCCCACATCTGGTGAAAATGTCATGTCAATAGCAACTCTATAAATATTTTTCCTAAAAAAAAAGGGGGGGGCTGGTGTTCAATACTTATTTTACCCGCAGCATACTTTATTAATTCTAGATACAATAAAGACAATTACGTATCTTAAATGAATAAGCTATATTAAACAATGAAATGACTATGAATCATTTAGGGTTTATTTAATAGGTGTGTGCTATAATATTCTAATAAAAGTAAATGGTAATTTTTTATGTAAAAGAATTGCATAAATTTTAACATTTGGTTGAAATATTCTTGTACTACCTAATGAATATGTACTTTTTGTAATTTTTGATATCTCTCAATTTCTCCTTTAGGGAAACCTCTTCCCTACAGACTCACAGTGTTACACCCAGATAAAAGAAATGGTGGCCCTCAAAGATCCTCTGGCCAAAAGTGGATCAACTGTTTGAAGAGGAGGGAAAATCTGATATAGAAAAAAAAAAAAGAAAATTGACTTTGTTGTCTTATAAAATAAGAGGCAATAGGAATTGTTTGTTTTTTTTTTTTTTAACCACAGTTAAACTTACTAAAAGTAGAGAAACCTTTGATATTCTGCCAAATATTTAATTTCATTGAACCTGTTTAGTTTGATGCTTAACTCTCAATACGTGGCTTTAAAATAAAAACATCAAATAAGAAATTGTTTTGACCATTTTTCCCTAACTTGTGTCTTAAAGGGAGTGTACACTTGCAAATGTGACCACCAGGCCTAGGTTTTCACTCCACTGCACTCCATCACCCCACATAACAACCACATCCAGTCCCTGACTGATTAATGCAACACAAAATTACATATTGTGGTTCTGTTGATTCTTTATGTGGAGTTAATGATATATATATATTTATATTCTGTATATTAGTCAATATAAGTAGCTTTTAAAAAATGTAAATAATGCTTACAGTAAAATAATACAACAACCAAACAAATATTGCGAAATAGGATGTTTTTTTTTTTAGATTTCCTAGCCTTTTACCTTTTTTTTTTTTTTTTGCATTCTATTTGTTAATTATATTTTTATTTAAAGGAATTATACAGATTTAAAAGGGATCAAAGAATAGGGAGCTAAGTAAATTTAAAGTTATAGAGAATGCATCCAATGACCAAATATCCAATGACCAAAATAATTAAGTTGAAATTAAGTTTAGAAACTGGTCCAAAGTAGAGAGAAACACTTTAAGGCACATAACAACCATTTTCTCTCATTTTTCAGTAAAATAAAGTTAAACTTACATTTTTGACCTCACCAATATGACCGCCATGTAGAGAGAAACACTTTAAGGCACATAACAACCATTTTCTCCCATTTTTCAGTAAAATAAAGTTAAACTTACATTTTTGACCTCACCAATATGGCCGCCATGTTTCTAAGATATCGTCACGTCCGGCTTGCGCTCAGAAGAGACGCCGATATGAACCCCTTGCTTCCGGTAATACCTCCTTTTCGGCAGCGGCTATTTACTCGCCAACATGCCAGTGAGTATCAGGAGGCGGTTAAATCATGTAATACGTACTTTAGACCGACGTTAGAGAGATGATACCGGGTTGAAGAGCTTTATAAGAATTTATCGCTTTCATTGATATCAGTTCGAGCCAGTTTGGTGTGGTAAAAGATGCTGTTTTTGTAGTTATAGTGGAGACCTCGAGCGCGTTTTATCACAAGATGGCTGCGCTCACAGCAAACATGGAGACAGTGTAGCAAGCGGTTGAAAACGGAGGCACGAGGAACATTTTCACGATTCGGTCTAAATCTTTGTTGGGTTAACAGTAACTTTACCTTCCGTTTAGTTATAGCAACATCGCAGATATTAATGAAAACACGCAGGCTGTTGTCAAACGTAGTAAAGTAGGCCTTGACGTGGGCCTGAGCGGGGCGATGCTAAAACAGCCATACATGTGAATCGGCCTTTTCTATTTTAGCTGAATAAGGCATCTGTTTCGTAGTTATTCACTTACATCTAATCTTTTACAGTAGATGGCGGGCTATCACACTCAGTTTTCTTTACATTTTTTAAAAATCATTTTTAAGCCGTTACTTAACGCCTGAATGTTTCCCGTTTTGTAATACAGCTCGCAAAAGACTTGTTGCACCCATCCCCTGAGGAGGAGAAAAGAAGGCACAAGAAGAAGCGGCTCGTTCAGAGTCCAAACTCTTACTTTATGGATGTCAAATGTCCAGGTAGGTTTCTGTCTTAGTTTTTCAGTTTCGTTAAAACTCCCAGACTAGCACTATGAAACTGATGGCGGTCCTTTCTCTGCAGGATGCTACAAGATCACGACGGTGTTCAGCCATGCACAGACAGTCGTGCTGTGCGTGGGCTGTTCCACGGTCCTGTGTCAGCCCACTGGAGGCAAAGCACGTCTCACAGAGGGTCAGTATCTGATAAACATGGGTTATAAAAGTATTAAAAAGTATAGAACTTAGACATTGAGAAGTACCCACTCCTATGGAGTAATTGTCTAAGGAGGAAGATCATTGACCTATATCCTACCTTAATTTAAACTGTAAATCAGTTTTAGTAAATATTAAGCGCATGTTAAGGGATGCTCAATTAAGGTTTAATAATGGAAATAGGCTGGGGGCTGACTTATAAACTTCAGCTTTCTATACATTCTGGAATGGGTTGATACTCTATTTGAATATACTTCAGTTATTTGGAAAAACATGGGGATCTAAAAAATATTTCCATATGATTTCCTATATTCATTCTCGTTAATCTGCTTACCCCTATATTTTTATAATAGCTACTGAAAATATTTGCCATATATTCCTAGTAAACCTTTGTCATACTCATGGGGCTCAAAAGGCCTGAGGGTATGTAAAATTTTAGTTTGATCAAAAACTTTCTTTTTTTTTTAAAGTGGATGGATTATTTGACTCTTTTAGATGTACTTCTACCGCACTGCTAAGTGACTGGACTTCCTACTCCATGGTTTTCCAATCTCATTCCAGTGCTAGATTAACCTCTCCTAGCAGAAGGGGTGAGCTTCCTCCATGGCTTCCTCCTTTCGAAGGCAGAGAACAAACAATATCTCTGATCGCTTTAGATATCTTGTGTTTGTGAAATTTGGAAAAATGCAGAAATATTCTAGTTAAAGCATGTGCTCAGCAGCTATGTGCCAAACTATAGCTGTGTTCTGACTGCAGTGTTTCTGCTTAGTGAGGCTTCTGTCAGCTGTAGAATAACAGGCTGTTTCCTCCTGCAGGGTGCTCATTCAGAAGGAAGCAGCACTAACCGTCTCCCTGTAGCTGGAGGGGAGAGGAGGGGATGGACTGGTTGATGCAAGAGTCTCCTGCCTCCGAGAAGACTGCGACGGCGGAGCCTGTGGTCCCGATTTGAAACAAGACCGGGCGATTTGACAGGACAGCAGATGCTTTCTCTGCTCATGTTGACCAAATGTTTGCTTTGGCTGCACCCTCCAACCCCGTCTCTCTAAATAAAATGTTTTGGCTAAAGAAATGGATTCATATCTGGTTCTTATTGCAGTTTGTACTTCATGTTGATATGAATAAAGTTTTCATTTATTTTCTTGGATTGGAATAGGAGTCATCGTTTCAGTGCTAAGTGCAAATTTGTCCAGAGTGATACATTTTAAAATATGCACTTGTATATTTCCAGATTTTAGTCAAATGATCCTCAAATGGGGGTGAAGGAAAAGTGAGCCCCTTCCATAAGTATGAATAAACTATAGTTAAAGATTAAATTCTAAGTCATGAACTACAGTTTCCATCTGTTTGAGATATTGAACATGCAGGAAAAACTAAAATCTTCTCTTATTACATTTGTAATTGAAGCTCCTGTGGTTCTGTGTGTAATATACAACTTCAAATTTTTGCATTAATTTCGCAGGTGTCTAAATTTATTACAGTAATTTGTAAGGAGATAACGGACACTATTTACAAATTTAGTTTCCTTGAAAGCTTCAGAATTGCACAAATGCAAAATTAAAATTACAAGTACTGTGCCGTATATGTAAGAATAACTTGTCTGAGTTACTCTATTGCTTGCAATTTGGCTTTGAGGAGATCAACCTGGAGTTCTAGGTTGTTCAGGCAGCTTTGTGGTCTCTGGGCATGCATTTCTTTGATTTTTTCCTCCCCAGTTCACTATTTTGGTTAATGTCAGGCCTACATTACATGCACTAATACCATACCTATTTTTGCAGGTTATTGATGCGTTGGATAGTTTGAGCAGGTGCCAAGTTCAGCTTGGAAAATGAAAGCATCCATGCAAAGCTTGCTGTCAGGAAAGAATGAACTGTTAAAAATTCTGGACTAGAGGGCTGTGTTGGATGAAAACACAGTGGACAACACGACCTGTCATCACCGAATGGAAAGTTCAAACTGCCTCAAGAGAGATTGATGATTTACATCTCTACATGCACTTACCTTGATTGATAAAAGGGCAAAATCAAACCCCAGTCCAAGGGGGGGACACACTTCCTTCTTCCACTAAGCTTTCCATTCATATATTTACATATAAGTAACAGTAAGCCTCTTCATCAGTGACCTTCAGCGACTTATCCTTCTAGAGGTGTCTGTGACAGTTAAGCCCACAGTCTCGCTCGTTTCTTATTTACAGGTGCTGGTCATAAAATTAGAATATCATGAAAAAGTAGATTGATTTCAGTAATTCCATTTAAAAAGTGAAACTTGTATATTATATTCATACATTACATACAAACTCATATATTTCAGATGTTTATTTTGTTTAATTTTGATGATTACAAATGACAACAAATGAAAATCTCAAATTCATCATATCAGAAAATTAGAATATTGTGAAAAGGTTCAAAATTGATGGCCCCTGGTGCCACACTCTAATCAGCTAATTAACTCAAACCACCTGCAAAAGCCTTTAAATGGTCTTTCAGTCTAGTTCTATAGGCTACACAATCATGGGGAAGACTGCTGACTTGACAGTTGTCCAAAAGACGACCATCGACACCTTGCACAAGGAGGGCAAGACACAAAAGGTCATCGCTAAAGAGGCTGGCTGTTCACAGAGCTCAGTGTCCAAGCACATTAATAGAGAGGCGAAGGGAAGGAAAAGATGTGGTCGAAAAAAGTGTACAAGCAAGAGAGATAACCGCACCCTGGAGAGGATTGTGAAACAAAACCCATTCAAAAATGTGGGGGAGATTCACAAAGAGTGGACTGCAGCTGGAGTGAGTGCTTCAAGAACCACCACACACAGACGTATGAAAGACATGGGTTTCTGCTGTCGCATTCCTTGTGTCAAGCCATGCTCTTGAACCACAGACAGCGTCAGAAGCGTCTTGCCTGGGCTAAAGAGAAACAGGACTGGACTGCTGGTGAGTGGTCCAAAGTCATGTTCTCTGATGAAAGTAAATTTTGCATTTCCTTTGGAAATCAAGGTCCCAGAGTCTGGAGGAAAAGAAGAGAGGCACTTCATCCACGTTGCTTGAAGTCCAGTGTAAAGTTTCCACAGTCAGTGATGGTTTGGGGTGCCATGTCATCTGCTGGTGTTGGTCCATTGTGTTTTCTGAGGTCCAGGGTCAACGCAGCCACATACCAGGAAGTTTTAGAGCACTTCATGCTTCCTGCAGCTGACCAACTTTTTGGAGATGCAGATTTCATTTTCCAACAGGACTTGGCACCTGCACACAGTGCCAAAGCTACCAGTACCTGGTTGAAGGACCATGGTATCCCTGTTCTTAATTGGCCAGCAAACTCTCCTGACCTTAACCCCATAGAAAATCTATGGGGTATTGTGAAGAAGAAGATGCAATACACCAGACCCAACAATTCAGAAGAGCTAAAAGCCACTATTAGAGCAACCTGGGCTATCATAACACCTGAGCAGTGCCACAGACTGATCGACTCCATGCCACGCCGCATTGCTGCAGTAATACAGGCCAAAGGAGGCCCAACTAAATACTGAGTGCTGTACATGCTCATACTTTTCATGTTCATACTTTTCAGTTGGCCAACATTTCTATAAATCCTTTGTTTTTATTGGTCTTCAGTAATATTCTAATTTTCTGATATGATGAATTTGAGATTTTCATTTGTTGTCATTTGTAATCATCAAAATTAAACAAAATAAACATCTGAAATATATGAGTTTGTATGTAATGTATGAATATAATATACAAGTTTCACTTTTTAAATGGAATTACTGAAATCAATCTACTTTTTCATGATATTCTAATTTTATGACCAGCACCTGTATATGAATTCCTGAAGTGTTGTATTTTGCCTCTTCATTGATCTAACATGTCAACTTGGTGAATTGAATTTGCGACAAAAACTTCAAGGTAGATTAATTATTTGTTCAGAGCTGTTTTAAAAACTGAGGAAGAGGAATTTTCAAAACAATCTAAATTGGAAGCAAACATCTAGATAATGTTTCTGACTTTAAGAACATGCTGATAAAAAAAAAAACCCAACAAGGTTAATCTATTTTCTTCAACATCATAAAAGCTGACTTACGTATAAATAAATTAAAGAAATTACTCTGACAAAGTGTAAAATGTGTATTAATTTTACCGTGTCTTTTCAAAATAATTTTGAATGTTTTGTGCTTTTATAGCAATACCACACAGTTTAAATATTTATAATGTTTATTGCGCAGTGACAGAAAAATGTGTTTACAGATGAAGCTCCTTAAAGACGAGGAAGAACAGTTCTATAAAACAAGCAGGTTGCTTTAAAACATTAAAATTACATTAAAACTGGAGAAACCATCCAAAGGGTGACAGTAATTTCTTACCAGGTCAACTGTAAAATTTGACTAAAGTAGGATCCGTAAGACTTAAATATTCTGATTAAGGTTTGATTTTCTTTGTTAATCCAGGAGAAAGGTCTTGAAAAAAAGCCATTTAGGACAAATTTCTACTCATGATTGTGTTTCTGCTACATGTTTTTCTTTTTAAATATAGTTTTATGAACATCAGCACAAAGTTCACTTCATAATCACGGAACTGATCCCACCTGAGCCAGGAAAACTGTCCAAGAATGGTCACCATAGCTCAGGAAAAAAAAAAAAAGCACTGGAGACAGCCCTCTGCTCCTCACCCCTCTGCCCCGCTGGCACACTCGCTCTTCTCCTCCCTCTCCCTCAGCAGGTGGCGGATGGAGGAGTTCTGTGTGGACAGGGTGCTGGATAGGAGCGGCATCAGGCTCCTGAAGCCCTCCCTCAGCTCCTCTACGTTCTTAACCAGGCTGTTGATGTGCGAGTCCAGCTCCCCCCTGCAGCCCTGCACCTCTGCCAGAACGTCGTACATCAGACTTTGCATCTGTGTGCAAATTTGGTGGAGATAGAGGGAAGACAAAAAGGACTTATACCAACGTTCAATTGAGCACTTTTCTTTTCAGGGAGGTACAGTTGCAGATAAAAGGATTTAATCCATGTTGAAAAATTGGGTTTGTTTGCAAAATGCATGAAGGCTGACTGAGAAAGTCTGTTGTCATAATTGTAGCCTAGTCCTGTTTAAAACAACCCAGACATCGCATCCATTGCATATGTCTTCTGTAAGGTTATTGGTATCAAATTGGGGTCAGCATCTGGTTGTGTTCCCGTGCACATCCTGTTAGATCATCCAGCTTAGTGTAAGGGAGTTTGGTTTGACTCCTGACATTTTAGTACAAACCCCTCAAGATTTTTAACGCAACATTAACTGTGCTAAGGCCTCTGAATGCCTGCTAACTGGGAAAAAAAAGTGTTCTCAAGGTATTAACAAAGAGAGCAATGTTTTACTTGAGAGGTATAGTCTATAAATCAAAATATCTGTTCAGATGTTGTTAGTTTTTCCAGTTAAGGATAATGACCTTTTATGTGGTTTAATCAAACATAATTTCAATAAACTCAAGTTTCTTTTCTTAGGCCCAATCCATAACCGGCCCCTAAGCATAATCCTGATTGCTAACCCTTCGTTTGCCCTTTCAGGCGGATGGTCCGCCACATTAAGTGCCATCCCAAACCCTTTAGTTGTTAGGGTGAGTGGACAGTTCAATGCTTAAATAGCGATACTGCATTAAGGGCAGGCTCTTTGGAATTTTGCAGCAAGTGTAAAAGCGGCTCGATGGCAGAGAAAACACGTGCATTAAAATGTCCCGATTTACTGCATCTTCATCACACAGAAACATCTCAAGTGAGAAAGAAATGCATTTAATTCCAAAATGGAAGGTCCTCTTTTAAGTAGGAGAAAGGGACAGATGTTATATTCTATGTCACCCTGTGCAACAGAGCTACAGCCACACACATGGTGTCACTGTGTTGCCTTAGCAACAACTCATTTCTTTTTCCATATGAGGGAAGAAGCCTTCCCGTTCTCGTTTATACTCCCCCACCTTTAATCAAGGTGCCTTCCACAGCTGCGAGTGTGACTTTATTGCGAGTGAGACTTGATAGTGAAGTGTTAGTGCTTAGGGAGCGGTTTGGGATTCAGCCATAAAGATACAGTCAGAATGATTTCCAGATTCCTAAGGACATAGGGGTTTAAGAGTTCTATTTGGTGATGGGTTTGGAAGTCCTAATTGTTATTGTTTGATTTCTTGACTATGGGTTGCATGCTTTTATATTTAGCTCACAAACCAATTTCTCTTAGGCGGCTAAATAATTTCAGGTGCAACTGTACATGATGCCTTCACTTGCCTCTCTCACCTTGCAGAGGTCAACCAGTGAGTTTCCCTGATCTGCAAGAATCCTCTTTTCCATCTTCACTCTCCGTAGCCTAAAGAGGGAAAGACAATCACCACTCATCAGGAGAAATGGAAATCTGAAAAGCTTGCATGCATTTTGGTTAAGTCCCCTCTCTATTACTTCTACATAACATCCAAAGAAGCCAGTTGCCTTCCAAAGTCATTTGATTAGTGAAAAGTTTCTAATTGCGTCTAATTTGATCTCAGCATAAATCCAGCTGTTCTCTGAAGGCCTCAGAGATTGATTCAGACAACATTAAAGACCAAACCATCTCACAAAGACTAAGGAACAGAGCAATCATAAAACGGTGGAGTTTAAGTTTCAGCCTTTAATATTTCATAGAGCTCTATTTAAGGTGAGTATAGTAAAAGTAAAAAGCGCAAACCCCCTTAATTAAAATTAGTGGCTGGGCAAGTAGAGCCTTAATGATAAGGCCAATGCTAACTCTGGATGAGTTACACAGATTTAAAGCTCAGGTGGGAGGATCTGTCAACAGGCCAAAAATTTGTTCTTTACAAAAAATTTTGTGCCTCAAATGATTGCATTTCCTGCCCAGCAGCCTTAAAGTGCTGGAGAGTCCTGTTGATCAGACAATAATTAAGTCAGGTGTGTGGAAGTTGGGGAACACCTACAACATGTTGAGGAACAGGGTTAAATACATGTGATGTAGAGGACAGAGCAAATATTTGGAACAAGCCACTCTTACTGGACCAGGACTAGAGACTGATTCAGGTTGAAGTGCTTTACAAAGTGCAATGGGAACAAATTCCAGTCTCTAAAATGTTTATGACTGTGTTTGCAACAAAAACTGATTCTAAAGAGTGGCTTGATATAAATGCATTCCACACTTTTCAGATTGCATTGTAAAAACATAAAACAAAACCTTTTTATTCCTCGATAATCAAGCCTACTTTGCTGAGGTGTGTAGTTGCTATGGGACAAAATGTATAAAAGGATGTAGGGAAACACATGGATCATTTTATAGATAACAGAATGTTTCCATTGATGCCGTCTGGACCCCATTCTAGGGGTGGATGCTCATTTTTAACTGATTAATTTAAGTATCAGTCTCTAGAGTGCAGATGCAGCAAATTCCATCTAAAAAGAAGAGTTATAGAATTTAACTGTAAAGAGATGACCTGTGTATCATGGTGGCAGGTGCTGCTAAATATAGACAGGAAGCTTAATAAACCTGAAAACATATACCTCTTGACTGAGTGGATAAAATGTTATGTAATTATTTATTTACATAAAATAAAATATTTGATGCAGAAATGCTTTTTTTTTTTAGCTGTTTAAGTGTAGTAAACTGTATCCAGATTTAAAATAAGATTAAATCTGATATTTGACCGTTTCCCTGCATTAAGCAACAACACAACGTTTAAAACAGAAAAGATGATATGTGCAAAACAAAACGACAAACAAACAACAAACATGTCTTACTGGTGGATGGCCAGCAGCAGCTTCCTCTGGTGCATGCGGACTCTGGTGTGGTCTCGCTCTCTTGACAGCTTAGTGTGCTTGTAGATAAGCCAAGTCTCTCTCAGCACATTTGCAGCAGCAATTTTTATCTGGTGAAAGGATGCAGAAAATCAAGAGTTATTGTGTGTTTATGCACATAACCTCTAAGTGCAGCTAAAAACAGGATGTGCTGACTAACACAGACAAACCGTATATAGAACTGAGAGCTGCATTCGTCGTTTTGACTCATTAAAAACTTTTACAACAACTTTTATAACTAAAACAGGAGTCTTCTCCTGTTAACAGTGTTAAACAGTGAATAAATCCACTTGTTAGGGGAAACAATGTTTGTGTTATTTCCAGTGTTTTGCTCTTTTTAAATCACCTTAATTTGGATTTTTGTAGATAAATGAGGTGCAAATTTCTAATATGTTTTCATGTTGATCTACATTAAATACACAAATATATGCTAACAAAGTAGGTTGTTGTTTTCATTATTAAGAGTTATATGTTTATCACCCTTTTGGAGATGTGGGAGTCCATCATGAAGTTGTGGACGTGTTTCTCGGCTCGGGTTAGCTCCAGCTTCCTGGCCACCACTGCCACCACCAGGACCGTACAGCCGGCTCCCTGTTTGCAGACCGAGATTGTTGCTTAGGATTTGGTGAAAGTGGACTTTGTGGTGAATTAAACAATCTTCTTCTGTCTCACCATGATCCCAGTGAGCAGGCAGATGCTGCGGCCGCAGTAAGTGTGAGGGACCACGTCTCCATAACCGATGGACAGGAAGGTGACAGAGACCATCCACAGGGCCTCCATGTAGTTGCTGCTAAGGTCTCTGTAATTGTGGTGCCTACAGGGAAAAATAAGACCAATTTCCTCACATTGTTGAACTTTACTCCTGTTTCACTATATCTGTATACCGGTTTGAATTCATTTAGGATCTTCTCTAAATCATTCGTAATAATACTTTTCCTTATTGTGAACTGGTTCATAGGGGCAGCAGTCTCAGTAGAGACTCCCAGACTTCCCTCCACCCCAAACACCTCGTCCAGCTCTGCTGGAGGAAGCGATTCTACTCCGAGCCTCTCCCCAATGACCAAGGTTCTCACCCTATCTCTAAGGGAGAACCCAGCCTCCCTGAGGAGAAAGCTAATTTCAGCCAACTGCATCCAGGATCTCATTCTTCTAGTCATGATCCAGATTTCATGACCATAGTTGAGGGTAGGAAGGTTCCTTTTCACTCACCTCTCTCTTCACCAAGACAGACAGGTGCAGCGTCTGCAATATAGAGACAGCTGCACCAAGCTGTCTATAAGAGGTGGGTACTAACTAGTAACTTTTACTCGAGTAATATTATTGTAATATATCTCTGGTTACTGTATCCTCTGTGAGTAATTAGAACTATTCAGTTGCACAGTTTCTACCTTAGTCCGTTAAATAACATGCTGCTGTCATTTTGCACATCTCTGATGTTGCTGCTATTTTCAAATATCCATTACTGTAAAAATGTCCTTAGCTGTATATTGGTTATTTATTCTCCAGGTGCACAGTTTTATATTGTTAAAACACTTTACAGTACAGTATGTTATTGTTTATCTTCTAACTCTTCACTAGTAAGTTATTCTTATAAATTTTTCTAAGATCCACATTTGTCTGACCATTTTTTTCTATAATCTTTTTGCTGCTGTAAACACCATATTTTTCCTATTGTGGGACATAAAGAGATTTACTGTTTCTATTTCTAATTCCAAGATCACATACTTAACAATACACAGTAGATATTATCAGTGGAAGGTCCTTATCCTGTTCTGAAATGTACACAGTTGTTACTGTAAGGATTGGTTTTCTACATTTTATGCGGAAACAAAATATGGAAAAAGTATTTCCTCTGCATTATTTTTTCATACAATTTTTTTGTTTTTAACACCAGATTTTGCACATTAAGTGTGTCTGTCTGCATCATTTCTAAGCATTAAATTAGATGCTACTATCCAACAATTACTCAGTACTCAAGTAGGCTTTTTACCAACTTTTTATCTTTAACATAAAAAAACATTAAAGTAGTGCTTCTCTTACTTGCGTTAAACTTTTGGCTCCCTACCCACTTCTGCCATCTATGGATCTCCCGCTCCCTTATCCCCTCACTCGTGAACACCCAAGATACTTGAAGCCCTCCACTACAGGCAGGAACTCTCCTTCTAATTGAAGGGGAAAAGCCACCTTTTTTCTACTTGAGAAACATGGCCTCAGACTTGGAGGAGCTGATTCTCATCCTGGCCACTTCACATTCAGCTGCCAACCGCCCTGTATCCACTGTATGCTGTGGATCTTGGCAGGAGGGAGCGAAAAGAAACACTACATCTGCAAAGAGCAGGGATGAGATCCACTGGTCTGCAAACCAGACCCGCTGCGGCCTTTGGCTACGCCTAAAAATCCTGTCCATAAAGGTTATGAAGAGGATCAGTGAAAAAGGCCAGCCCTGCTAAAGTCCTAGAGAATGGGTCCGACTTAATGTTGGACCACCCGCTCCACATGTATAGAGACTGGATGGCCCCACGTAAACAGTCCTCTGTATCAACTATGCAGTTTGTATAGTAGGAAAAATATTGTAACACTCTGAAATTATACTTAAAAAAAGCGACAACAAAAAATAAGCCAAACAAAACAAAAAAACTGCTATGATTTAAACAAAATCAGCAGTAAAATATTAGTTTGTCCAAAGCTTTGATTGAGAAATAAATACACGGTTTTGTGTTATTAATTAGCAGGGAGCAAATAATATTTCAAGTTTTTGAAAATAATTAGATTTGATAAAGTTTTAGAAATGTATGCAGGGGATTCATCAGAACTGACTGGAGATTTTGCTTGATCTCTTTGAGAGCAAAACAGAATAGAAAATGTGAACACACATTATATACACAGGAAAACTGGTCAGTGATGTAATTAGGGAATTTGTGAATTGGACTACTCTACAGCATGCAACCAGATTTTGACTTACAGGGATGAAAAGCTGCAACAGTTGGGATGAATATATTTGCACACATTTTGTTTTTCAATTCAATTGCGTAGTCAAGTTCTCATTAAAAGGAATATATTACTGAAGCTCCCACATCTCAGCTCTACGTTGATAAAGCTCTGCAGATCATTAAGGACTGCTCCTGTTTGCAGCCCTTTCTCATGGTCTTTTATAGAGATATATAAACATTTTTAATTTATATGACCTACTATGAGTATCCTCAAACAACAGAGAAACAATCAACAGGCCTACCTTTCACACACATGTAGGCCCCATGCTGCCACAATCCACAGAGAAACACTGAAAATCATCAGGACGGTGCCAGGGTAGGTAGTCATTAGCGTTTTCCCAACAAACCTGGTGTTGAAGTGGATCTAACGATAAAAAAAACATGTATTATGTCATAGTTTTGAAAGAAAAAAAAAGAGATGGTACTTTGCCAGACTATTTAAAATAGCACCTGTCAGATTATCCTTACATAACACAGAGGAGATGAGGGATAAGAAGAGAGTTTGCAATCTGTCTGGATACATGGACAATAGGTTCACTTTTGGGAAGGAGGGAGGGATGCAGGCATCATTTTCATCAGTTTTAAATAGCACTAAAATGTGAGGGATTAGCCGGGTGGACATGTGCTGATATGGAAAAGGAAACGTAAAGGAGTCACTGAGGGACAGTATTAGCATGTTTAAGACCAGCAGGGTAAATGAAAGTGAAACTGTTAGTCACACCTCAAGCGTCACACTTCTACAGACCTCTCGGCCCACCTAGACACAAACAGATGAGGATATAAACAGATGAGGATGAAATGCACAAAACTGAAAGCTAGCACAAGTCATTGCCCAATATTTTCCCTTTAAGACAGGTTGCTTCCCCCTGAACACTTTGTAATTAAAAGTCTTAAGTTTGTATTTACACATTAATGTACAATAACTGCCGTTGGGCCAGATTAAAGAAACCAGGTCAAGGAAAACCTTCCCCCGACCTTGTTTAGTGCTCCGATGCTCCGGGAGGCCGTGTCTGTGAAGAGGCGGCTGTGCAGCATCATTGCTCGACCCAGCAGGTACAGCCTGAGAAACATGGGCAAAGCCAGCATGATCTCCAGCTCCGTCTCTGAGAGCGTGGTACGGACCTGGGTCTTCTGGAAGTATGCCAACAGCCCCACCGGATAGGGATGGATGGCCACTATTACCAGCTCCAAGACAATCAGAGCAAATCGGTCCGTGGTCATGGCTATCCTCCAGTCCTCTGCACCAATATCATGAACGTAAAGCTGTCACAGGGGTGAGAAAAAAATATGAAGCTGAAGCAGGATTCTATTCTAGTTTTTTATTTTGTTTAGGATAAAGTGTATCATAATAAATAAGCTACTTTTACCAACTCTCTCAATTTTAACTTGTTTTTTTTATTTAAAATGGGATACCACATGGTAGCTCCCTTAGTCCCCTGTTTTTTAAGTTATATATAGGATTGGGAGGAACAACATCTAAATGATGTGGTCATATTCAGGACTTTATGTAGAGGGCATTTGTTTTGGTGAAAAACTGTTAGGAAAAAGTTCTAGTCTAAAACCTTTCCCTCCAGTCCTTCCATTGGAAGAAAGCCCAGGGAACGGCCCAGGACTGCAGAGACTATTTCTCGGTGGACAGCATTGGAAAAATGGGAATTGGAGAAATAGACCAGAGATAAACAACATAATCACAACTCCAAGATCCATTTGTTTTCCGCATTTTATTCTAAGTTGGCTGAAATCGATTCGAATTTTTCTAAATCAAACTTATTGTGGCAATAAATATTATATTATATATTATTCATCTTAAGGATGTCCAACTTTTCAATAAAAACATAATATTTCTTCACATTTACACTTTAAACATAAAGATGTGCTCATCTTCATATGATCTTGGTGCTATAATAGAGAGCTTCAGCCATTCGCTAAATTTTGTGTTACAATTTTCTTTTCTGTAGTCTTTTTTTGGAGGCTGTATAATCTAATATTCAAAATCTTATGTCCTCGAAAAAACATGAAAAGAAAATATTAATTTCAGCAAATTACCGTATGTGAAAGTATGGAACAAACTCAGTGTTAAATTAGTTCAATGAGATTGTTTAGGAAAAGGCTTGAAGTGGTTTTACTTTGCTTACAATGGTTGTTGTGTGGGCTATGGTTAATAATTGTATGAATCAAGATGTATATAGGCAGATGTAAATATGTATGTGTATGTTTGTTATGTTTATTACTAAAAACATTAAATTAATTGTACACTTGCATTGCAAGCTGGATTGTCGCAAGATCTGAGTTTTCAGAACAAATCCATCAAGCCACCGGCGGGTCAGACCAATCGCATGCCCGCAGTGTTTTTGGGGCGGGACATGTAGGAATGAAGATAGTCAGAAAGATCTTGCTGGGACCTTACAAACACTGCAACGCTGGAGGACTAACCTGTCGATACCACAATTGACTCGATTTTAGCTAAAATAGCGAAGAAGCACTTTGCTCATTTGTAGATGGAAAATATTTCTGTGCTTTTCTTCTGACAGGATTTGGAAAAAGGGTGATTTATCAGCTCACGATATGTCACGATTCGCCGCTACGATTGGCTGAAAGCGTATTATAGAAGGCAATCTTCCTGATTCCTACTTTACTTATGAGCCCATGCTACTCAGAAGTAACCTGGCAGTAGCCAGATTGTTATGTGTAGAACTGAGTTGAGCTATCTGGCACGTCACCCAATTGGCTCGAAGTATTGTACTATCGATGTACATCGATTTTATGGACAGACTGAACGGCAGCCATCGCAGATTGATAACGTAGAACTAAACTCAATTCTACACATATCAATCTGGCTACTGCCAGGTTACTTCTGAGTAGCATGGGTTCATAAGTATAGTGGGAATCAGGAAGATTGTTGGTGTTACAGACTAGAGAAAGGAGCTGAACCCCAAACCGCTCACTAACCACTAACCCTTCACTATTAAGTGTCACTCGCAATAATGTTACACTTGCAGCTGTGGAAGGTGTGCAGGTGCGCAGGTTAACATTTGCCATTTTCCATCCATCCATCCATCCATCCATCCATCCATCCATCCATCCATCCATCCATCCATCCATCCATCCATCCATCCATCCATCCATCCATCCATCCATCCATCCATCCATCCATCCATCCATCCATTTTCTGACACATTTATCCCTCCTGGTGTCACTGGGGGTTCCTGATGCCTATCTCCAGCTTTCTACAGCCTAGAAGCGGGGTATACCCTGGACAGGTCACCAGACCATTGCAGGGCAACAAAGAGACAAACAGGACAACTAACCATTCACGCACACACCTAAGGAGAATTTAGAGAAGCCAATTAACATAACAGTCTGTTTTGGAGTGTTGGAGGAGGCTGGAGTACCCAGAGAGAACCCACGCATGCACAGGGAGAACATGCAAACTCCATGCAGAAAGATCCTGGGTCGGGAATCGAACCCTCTTGCTGCAAGGCAGCAGTGATACCCACCATTTTCTTTAAAAAAAAATCTATCCATTCAAATAAAACTATTTAAAGAGGACCTTCCATTTAGGGATTAATGACATCTTTTTCTTTTTCCTAACTTGTAATTTCTGTATGTTTGATGAAGATGCAGGAAACCAGAGGTACTTATATTTGAATGCACGTGTTTCCTCTGCCATTAATTCACTTTTACACGTGCTCCCAGATTCCAGCAAGCCAGAGCTGATGCACTATTTAAGGGCTAAACTGTCCACTAGCCCTACCCACTACGTGGTTTGGGACGACCCTTAATATGGCTGACCCTCCACGGGGAATGTGTAAAGAGAGGGTTAATGTTTAGGGGACGGTTTGGGATTCAGCCTTCTTCTTAACCATTTTCAGACATAAGCACTAAATTAAACATATAATGTAATCTTATATTTAATTAATTATATTTTATGTTTTTATGCATTCAATTTGTAATCTTACTAGACTGTCTGAGATACAGTACAGTTCTTCATTTATTGTCCCAGTTTGGAACATTTTTTGTTTTCTTCTTGTAATCCTTCCTTAAAAATGAGGGAGTAGGAGCTAAGAATGTCCCCAGGAGCTACAATTAGCCAAATTTGGAATCAGCAAATATATAAATCTCTCCTCTGTTTTCAAAAAGTTTGCATTCATACCATATTTTTTAAAACACAATTCAGGAAAGAAGATTCTAAGAAAGAAAGCAGTCCATTGTAAGCTTTTCAAAGATACCATAATAATAATAATGCCTTTGATTTCAGAGATTTCAACAGATGCATGGAGGATCATTTCAAATGATTTAAGAATGACCAGCTGTTTTACCTGCACCTCACAGCAGTGATAGGCAACAATGAGGCCCAGTAGGATGAGCGTTGACAAACTGATGACAGACTTGAAAGAAAGGGAGTAGATGGAGCTCTGGAGGAAAAGCACATGAAAAAATATTCACAATTAACATCTTTTATTTTAGCTGACCACTGCAAACACAAAGCTGAAAAAATGCAAGCAGAATAACGTAGAAGAACTGAATGAGAGATATGAAAGATTTCACAAAATGTATATTCATTCTCAGTATTGACTTATCTAAAATATTTTGCATTTTCTACCCCAAAAAGGCAAATGAATGCAGAGATGTAAAAGTAAAAAAGAAAAAAACTAATTGTGGTGCTCAAACTTGCTGCTAATTGAAAACAACTTAATCTAATGTTGTATTTTCCTGCTCTTCATTATAAGTTGTGAACATATTAGTCACTAGAACTAGGCATTCGGGATAGGGAAATAACTCTTGCAGAGTGTTAGTACTCCAGAAGCACTCTGACCTTGCTGTAGATGCTCCAGGACAGCTCCGTCTCCATCACCATCATGAACACTCCAAACAAGCCCACGGCCAGGGCGCAGTCGTTCAGCCGCTGCCTCCTCAAAAACAGGGCCCTCCTGCGGACCAACCGCCAGCCGATGTTGTGTGTCCTCCAATATGAGTCCTTCTTGGCGTCCTCTTTGCGTCTGGGGCTGTGCTGAGGACTGGGGCTGGGGCTCCTGCGGAAGAGCTTGGCCCCTGGCAGTGGACCCCTGGTTTCTCCTGGGCGCTGGTGAAATTGTGGCGTCTTATGCGGTTGCTGTTGAACGTTGTCATCCTTACTGGTGATGATGATCTCTGGGAGACTCTTGCGATCATGCATTTCCAGAGAAACATTGCCCGACTTGCGGCACCCTCGACCTTCAACATCCCTGATATCCAGGTTGGACCTGCTGTGGCCCTTAAACGGGGATCCACAAGGGGAGATTGGTACATCAGTGAAGGACGTGACTGTCTCCTGGAGTCTATTTGAGCCAAGATATTTAGCTTTGCTTTGTTGGTTGCGCTCCTTTGTTCCTGGATTTTGTGGCCTTTTCTCATATTTTTTCTCCTTGCCCTTAGTTTTCTCTCTCCTCCTGCTGGATCGAGGTGTTGCCGTCACATAGAGGTGGCCGTTGTATAGAGGTGTTGTAGCCATTGCCTGGGTTCTGTCCAACCACACTGTGTGATCAATGGACGTCTGGACCGTGTGGTGTGGTCCACACTGGGGCGAGTAGGCCTGAGGTGGGACCATCCGTGGTGGAAGGAGGGGTCGGTGGTCCTCCGGCTCGTCTCCATCCACCACTGTTGAGTTCATTGACGGGGAGTGCTCCATGGTGAAGGGAATCTTTTAAGGAGTTTTAAGCTGTAGATGAATGATTTTATTATACAAAACAAGAGAAAGGGTTAAAACTGTTTGAACAGATGGTGGCAGCAGTTTGATGGAACTTGGATCTGAAGCTTAGTAAGAAGAGATTTCCCTCATTTTCCTTATCTGTCAGATTCATATATGCTCACCTTTTACAAGTCTTCAATGCAATGCCCGTATCACTTCTGCATAGCTCTAAATCTAAAAGGGAAAATATTTTTTTCTTCTATTTTTTTGTTCCTACCTTACTGTCCAGGCTCAGGTCTGAAAGTAATTCACAGCAAGGATTAAAAAGCAGCTTTGTCTGCTTGCTCAGTCCTGGAGGTCACATCAGCCTGAATCAAAAAGATCTTCATGTAAACTCCTTAAAAGGACCCAGCGGGATCATTTTGATCCGAAAACCATTAAACAAAGATTCAGCACCAATAAACCTGGTTCCATTCACAGCCAAATGTGAATCCAAATGTTTGCACCTTTCATGTTTAAGCTTTCCAGCATGCAGTATCAGAGAGATCCTCCAATAGATGTAGATGTTGCTCAGGAACTTCCCCTGAAGGCAGAGAGTTGGAGCTATTGATATCCATCGTATCTATAGACATTTATTCAGCTGCTTTATGATTGTCCGCCATCAGGGCATCCTCCTTAAAGCTCAGAGGGAGCTTAATGACAGCAAAGACTAAGTTACAGATGTTGCAAAGGCAATGACTAGGTCATCTGTCAGAGGGGATTGGCAGACTTCATCCCCTGGCCTGTGGGTGTGTTTATGTGTTTGGGTGTGTGTGTGCGTTTGGAAAAGGCCCCCAGGGCAAAAGATCAACCTGGAAAAATTCTCAAAGTCCGCACAAATATGCTATTTTGCTACATTTCATCTATAATCTCTTTAATTGGACTCATTATTTCAAAATGGGAAGAGCATTTATGATACACTCTGGAAAAAAAAATAAAAATAAAGAAATAATCCTATATCAGTTCAGCAGATTAGTATAGAAGATTATTCAGGTGAAATAGAGATTGTGAGGTGATGAGATTATGAAATATTAAATATGTCAGCCGATTCGAGCAATAGGGTGGAGTATTAAGGGCCGGAGTCCTAACAATGACATTCAGCGTCATGAATTTATCTAAATCCCTGTGACAGATGGGTGCAAAGATAATAGAACTGCCTCCGAGTGGAAATATCCAAGGAGCAAGAGTGGGTGGAGTGCAACCGGATAGTACAGGACAACAACAAAAAAACTGTATTTAATCAGAAGACAGCATGTATTTAAGGGCGGATTGAGTGAGAAAAGCGGTGGAGTAACAGCAGGTATCATCCACTCTGATTTGAACTTCTTCAGACTCCTCCAGATGAATCCTTAAGTGTTTTAAAGTATTCAACCTTTTTGGGAAGGTTTTATTTAATGTAGCATCACAAATACTGCCCACTTGTTAAGTAGAAATGAAAATATTAAATGTTCTATCTAGGTGTTGACTTTGATTGGACCATTCTATAACATGAATATGCTGTCATTGCTGAACTGGCTTTATGTATAGGGTCATCGTCCTGCTGCAGCATCAGGTCTGTTGCGACCTACCACAGGGATCCATGTCACATGTAGACACATGCTCTCCTTCTCTGTCCCTTTTAAAAAAAAATTGCACTCAAAAGATTGATTCCAGTTCCGATGCTGAACTTGCACCAGTTACCTTTGCATATTTTCTGGGTTTGTGCGTCAGCATCCTTTCCTGAATACTTTGTTCAATAAAAATGAAGACATTTATATATTTAGAAATGGCAGTGTACTTTTTGTACAGCTTTCCAATTCCAAATCTTAATACTCCTGGAGTATGGATGGATGGATGAATAGAAAATGTGCAGTTTCAGTTTGATTTCATCTTCAGCAGTGAATTGCAGGATAAAGCCTGGCCAGGGTTAAATCTGTTGCAGGGAAACATGGAGACACACATGACAAACAACTATGGACAGAATCCAGGCATGTGAAGAGAGAACAAGCAAACTCCATGCAAAAGACCCCAGGCTGGGATCTGAACTCAGACCTTTTTGGTACAATGCAGACTGCAATGACATCTAGTAAAACCAACATTTTGGTTTCATTTAAAGGAACTATATTCTCCCAGTTCTTTCCTGGCTTGTCAAAATGTTCTGCAGCAAACTTTAAGCAAGTTTCAATATGATTCTTCTTCGTCAGTGGAGGTTTGCTCTGTGAACAAGCATGCCATGATAAATCTATCGATGCATTGAGTGCATTACTCACCATCGAAACAGCTGCTTCTGCTTAATCCTGTTATTTCTAAAGCTCTCTTTGAACACTTCTTGGCTTTTGGACAGCTGCTCTGATTATTTATTGGTTTCCCTTTCAGAAATATTGTAAGATTAAAAAGAAATCACTCAATTCACTTCAAGGCTAGTTTACAGTAAAATTACATCATGGTGCCAGCGCTGCTTCCTGGAACATTTAGATACTTTGAAATATACGTAATACCAGTACTATCAATCAAAATATTCTGCAAAAATAATGGTTGGAAGGAGTGTTCAGAAAACTCTCTGCTTTAATGCATTGTGAGATTCATCTTGAGGCCAACATTAGGACTATATAAGGTTAAATGTATCTTATCCTGATTGTATGTCTATATTTGAACTTATCTGCATTTCCATGAACAGTGGTTTGTGAGAATATGTCTGTGAAGTTCAATTCATGAATAAATGAATTCATACTGAACGGGGGCAGTGTTGCTTTCTAAATACTGTCAGATTTCTGCTGTTTTATTAGCCTTCTTGGTTTCCTTTTATTCATATATTTTATTACCTTCTCCTTTTGAAAAGGTAAAATAATGTTTAAGTAAAAAAAAAAAGATAATGTTCACAACCAATATTCATTCCCTGTTATATTCTGAATTAATACACCTAACATGACCCATTTATTTCTTTTTACATTTTTTTTAATGCACAATTTTATCTAATAGTTCCATTAAATCTATTTACCTAAAAAAAACATTGTGAAGTTTAATATTGATTGTATTAGGCTTAATGCTCATCATGGTTAATCCCAGTGTTGTTCGGATTTTGTGTCTGTATAGTACAGGTATACAGTATAGTAGCCCGGAGGTGCAAATGCACTGGAAATACATAAACAGTCAGCAAATACAAAAAGTACTAGAAACAAAACAATGGGACTATAAAACACAAAAAAATTGACTAAAACAAAATACATGCAAAGGAAAACACTGCAAAAAAGAAATGTTGCAATCAGAGAAAGTAGAGAACAGTAAGGTTCAGATGCACTGACAATGTAATATGTTCTGCAAACAGTTGAGGGTAACTAACAGAAAAAAATTATCAAAACATATGTAGAGGTTAAATGCTAAAAAAAAAGCGAAAACAACTGTATTTTCAGAACACCTGCAAACTAGCTATGGACAATCAATCAATCAATCAATCAATCAATCAATCAATCAATCAATCAATCAATCAATCAATCAATCAATCAATCAATCAATCAATCAATCAATCAATCAATCAATCAATCAATCAATCAATCAATCAAGCTTTACTTATGTAGTGCTTTACAGCTCCTGCTGAATCAAAGTGTTTTCCACAAGTGCAATAAAAACAGTTTCAACACAATAAATAAAAAATTTATACATTTTACATATGCACTCAGCAGTTGAAAAACAGATCTAAACAGGTATGTTTTCAACCCAACTTTAATCAGTGTTGGGTCAGTGATGGCTCGTAACTCAGAAGGGAGAATGTTCCAGATCCGAGGACCAGCAACTGAAAAAGAACAATAACCTTGCTGCTTACTTTTGGTCATGGGATCTCCAGCAGTGGTTGTCCTGCAGACCGCAACGCTCTACTGGGCTGATGTGCAATGAACAATTCACATAAATAAGAGGGTTTAAGTCCATCAATTGATTTAAAAACATAGTTTATTATTAACCCTGGCATGTACTGGGATAACAGAAACGCTCCACACCACCAAGGGGATAAAATAACCGACTGATATGGGACCATAAGTGCGTAAAGGGGATATTCAGAGATTAAGTGTTTTAAAAAGTTTCAAAGGAGAACTTACCTTTTTTTCCCCCTCAAAATCTCCTCTGGTTGGGCATCCTGTTTATATTTTTGCTAAGGGTCTGCCTTTAAGGACCTTTAAGTTGGTGAACTCCTCCCTTTCTTAAGGTTGTGTCCCAGTTTCTTTTAAACATGATGTGGTACAACCTATTCTTGAAAGAAGAAACTTGGATCTTGAACTTAAAGCCAATTTCTATGCTGCTTTTTCTCTCCTAAGTACTAGAAAAGGTTGTATTATCACCTTTAAAGACTCTTTACGATCTAAACATTTTTCCCAACATTGCTTTCATTACATCTCTTTTGAAAGTATCTCTCAAAATTGATTATTTATTCAAATCATTTCTACTAGTCTTCCCTGTGAAAACACTGCCCCTATTGGTTCTTAGTCTTTGGTTTTATGGACCCTTACATATGTCACACTTTTCAGATATTTGTTGGTTAGAAAAATAAATATCTCAAAATCTAGTTGTATTTTGCAGTTCTGTTCTCCGGCATGCTTTATTTGCTACATTACTGGCAATTTTGAAATAATTTCACTGTTATCGTTGTAACTTAGTGTTATACTTTGATTATACTTTGAGCTTTTTAAATCTGGACCATTCAGTTTGCTTCGATCGGAGTGAACTATTGCATTCTATGTGTGTTCCAGTTACAGAGGCCATAAATGTTCCTAAATGATGATGTCCTAAATTATACACATCTGCAAGGCTTCCAATTAATTCAAACCTCCTGCCAAAAGCCTGTAAATCCACACCGCTATAGCTGGTAGCTGAGTGTCAATTTTTCTTGGCTCGTTGGACAGAAACCAGCAAATTTTCAGTTAGTCTCCTCTGGAGCAAATCCTCCTCTGACTGTTAAGAAAGTGAAACGAATCGGGGGATATTTTCAGCCTCTCTAATTGCTAGGGCTGGTAAGTGGCAAATCTGCTCCATGCCCTAAATCTTCAGCCTGTGCCAGTTTATCTGCTGGTCAGGTTAATTGCTTCAGTCCAATCTGTTGGGAGAAAAAAAAAAAACATGTCTCCCTTGAACGCTGATAGGGGGAACAAATTAGACTTAAAATGATAAAGGTTGTGATTAGAGCTTAAAGATTTGTCCTACATTTGTGACAGATCTTTCCAATATTCAGTTGAGAATCTCTTAATATAAGTAAGACCTCTAAACAACCGGCTAATCTAATCAGCATGATCTTTTTCAGTCTGAATATGCATGTCCAAAAACATGCTCCCCTTGCAAGTCTTGATTTCATACCTGTAAAATGTGATCAGGATCTATCTTTGAAACAACAGTGATTCAAGTTTTCTACACAGACTACAAAGGAGTCTGAAAGGGAAAAAAACAGCCACAGTTATTTTTGACCCTGCTGCCTTCTGGCTACTGATAAAAAAAAAAAAAAATCTGGCACAAGCGTTCTTTGCGTGTACTTATCTTGTTCTACAGCTTAACTGTTCAACTCCTTGCAGTTTGTGTATTAAAAAAACAGAGGTATATTAATTTACATGGTGCAGTTGTTAATTATATCAAATGTTAATAAAACATGAAACAGACCAACAGAAACAGCAAACCCCAAAAAAAGATAACTGACCCACTAAATCTTAAACTGATTTT